GCGCCTCGCGTGCTTGGTCGATACAGCTGTTTCGGCAGGAACGACGATAAAATTCATTAGACCTTTGCCCGCTCTTCGCCCGTGTAGCCCTTCCTTTCGCAAGCGATGCTGACTCTTAAAAATCTGTTAAACGAATACACGGCAGATGCAGCGGCGCGTCGAAAAGAAAAAAGCAGCGAACGGAGAACGGGAAGATTTTGATTCCTTTGGAGAGAGATAGAGTGAAAGAGGGGAAGATCTCTTTTTATATAGCCTTTTACCATTTATAGAAGGAGATTATGGTAGGTCAAAAATTATTTGCTTGTTTTTCGGCAACGCGGACGAATAAAAAGTGAATTACCAAAATAAAACGTCGGTGTATATAAGTACTTCTTTCTCTCTGTCCTTCTCGACATTTCCGTCTGTGAAGATATTCGAGAAAGAGATATTTATTTTTCGACACTTGTCGCAAGCTGAAAATTGGTTCCCGCGTGCCACTCACGCAGTTCCTGCTCGATCATTCTTGAACGGCGTGGGAAAAAATTGAAACCAAATGCACATCCGTATTCCGTTAACAATATTTATTAACAGAGAAAAGGGAAAAAATTGATTGCGTAGTATAAAAAGGAGATCAAGTGTTCTTGTACGCAAACATGATTAGAACGCGTCGCAATAAGGCGAACGTCGTCGTGCATATCGAGAACAAATACACGTATGTGTGTATATATATATCACTTGGCAATCTCATCGTAGCGTTGCTGAGTTTTCTTCCAGATGACCTGTTTCTTCTCGACCAAGTGAAGATCGCTTTCGTCGTCGGCGGCGGGGCAGGCAGATTGACTGGCGCCCAAACCGGCTTTATCGACCTTCTGCAGCAGCGGCACCTCAAAATAGAAAAGCCAGTGTTCATCCCCCGAAAATCCACGATAAATTCGTCATCGTCGTGTCTTGTTTATTAATAATTGCGTACTCGGACATCGAGGGAGCGAATCCGCAGCGCCGGCTCCGAAATTAGAACGGCGCTCGATTTTTCCAGGCAGCGACAACAGCAGCAAGAAATTGGCGAGCTCGCGCGGAGCTGTTTGGACGTGCGATATTGCATTCGGGCCAAGAGAGGCAGTCGTCAATTGTCTCTTTCTTTCTCTCGAGCCGCGAGGCTAATTGTTGGTGTTTTACGAGCTAGATGTCAATAACGGGGTGAGAGACCACTTGACTTAGTTACTCGGTGGCGCGCTCGAGTTGATTTCAAAAGAATCGCGCGCGCGCCCCCACGAAACACCCGCGTGTGTTCCCCGTCGGCGGGGGATCCTCTAGAAGCAGACCTATCGATTTCTCATTCTGCAATCGGGATACGGCGGCGCTGCGTGGACACTCGATTTAATGACCGCGGCGAAACGTACGGACGCTTGATTGCTCCGGACGCTTGATTGCTCGGATTTACATCGCGCGATAAGAATCTGGCGTCGCTCATCGCTAACACCGATCGAGCGTAACAGGCGCGGAAAGCGAGCGTTTGAAATATCATTCGATGACGCCGCGCGAGCGCAGCGCGGCGCTATCTTAATTATGCATCGTTGCACGTCTCGCGCGCGATTTAACGATCCACGCGCTGCAATCGAATATTTAAAGCGACGCGCGCGCGCGCGCCTAGTGCGATTCAAGCAGGTCTCGCTGGGTCGGCGGCGACCACGTAAAAAGCCCTAAATAATGCGTCACGTCGAAACGAAAAGAAGCGCTCGATCGAGCTCCTTGCGACTCGATCCGTCGCGGGCAACAGGCACCCCGGCGACGTCCATGCATAAAACAGCCGGCAAAACTTTTTCAATATAAAATCTCGTCTGCGCTCTCTCTCTCTCTCTCCTTTATACAAAAGTTCGCGCGCGGACTAACAGAGCCAAGGTAGAGAAAAAGAGCGAGAAAGACGAGGAGGGGAGGGGATCGTCTAGACGCGCTAATCTCTTAACGACATTTTGATTGACTGAAATTCCAGTTTTGTGCCACGGGACTCTCTCGCGACCCAGGAAAATTAACTCGAAAAAAAAAAAACGCAGATTTTGGAAGGAAAAAAAAACTTAAACAGTGCCCGACCAATTTCGCGAATTTAGTTTTTTATATTATTTTTTTTATCCTTGAGCGTGCTGCATCGCCGTGTAATTCGCTTCAATTGATAGGGACACGGTGTCTCCGGCGAGAACGTCTACATGCACACGGACACACATGCGGATCGCGCGGGAGGGGATGAGCAGCCAGACGACCTGTGCCAGTTCGAAAGTTTGTCCCGGTTTGTCTAGCCTGTCATGGAGCGCGAGCTGGAGAGGGAGCAATTCCGATGCAGACAGCATTATGGTCTCTCAACGTCGGCGGCGGTGGCGGCTGGTTTGCATATATATACATACCGTCTCGTCGCGTCGCGCGCTCGACTGCAAACTTTACCGCCGCCGTTGCCGCCGCCGCCGCCGCCGCCGCCGCCGCCGCCGCCGCCGCCGCCGCCGCCGCCGCTACCGTCGACGCGCGAATGCACTTTTATTCGACGCTTGCACAGCTGCTTCTGCTACTATACTGCTGCTGCTACCGCCGACGCTTAATTAGCGTTTGACCCATCTAGTCTAGACTGGCAGTAGTACCAGCTTAAACTAGATAAACACGGCAAAGACAGATAATCCTCTGATTAATGTCCTGTGAGCTTCCTCTCTTGCTCTTTCTCCCTCTCTCTCTCTGTCTCTCTACCTCTCTCTTCTCTTCGTCCGTTCGGAGTTTCTGTTTACACAGACGCCGTTAAATTTTACTCGAGTACCCGCTACTCTAACAACCAGGGAGGGAGGGAGGGAGGGAGGGAGGGAGGGAGGGAGGGAGGGAGAGAGAGAGAGCGAGAGAGAGAGAGAGAGAGAGAGAGAGAGTTTGCCGATTGATATCTGTGATTATCTGTGAGAGCAGCGTGTGTGCGCAAACTATAAAAGAACGACGACCCACCTTTCCACCTGTTGCCGCAGCCCTGCGAAGCCAAGGCCTGCCGCGATAAGCCGCGTTGACAAGCGTGTTCCGAATTTACACGCGCGCACGCAGCCTGCTAAGAGCGACAACAATAATGACGAGCAGTTGTTTGCATTTCGATTGGCTTTATTAAAGAGGCGTGACCGTTATAACCCTCTCTATCGAAATTGAATGCCACTTGCCTGTACATTGCGCGTCGATATAGATATGCTGTGGAATCGCGCGCGAGTCTAATAATAGAATCAACGGAATAAAGAAAACTTGTGAGCGGACAATCATTACCGGTTATTTTACGGCGCTTACAAACCAAACTCTTAAAAACCACAAAATGTCTACGTTGCTTTAACGATATATTGATTGTCCGCAGTTGTACGTGTGATATTCATCGGTCGTTAAATTTGTTTATTACTCTTACTGGTTCTGTGAGACCGGTGCCACTTTTGCCGAGAGACGTGCCTTCGGTCCAACCCATCTTTGCTAGCATTTTAAAACCTGGATTATCCTTTGATATCGATCTGTGTAAAAAAGAAAAGTGGTTCCGAAAAACAGACGATTAGTTGGAGAAAAGTTAGCGGAAGAAAAAACTCACTCATTCAGAGAGCTCTGCTGAGTTTTTGCGAATTGACACGTCGAGCCGACATTGTTCCTCCTTGACTGCGCTCGGTCCTGGTATCCCATAGCTACGCGACTCGCTTCGTCGATATTATCCTCTTCCAGGCCGTATTTTTGCTTTATCCTCTTTCGTTCAGATTCATGTTCGGCTTTAGTCGAGCGATACGTTGGCTCAGCCGAAATAGTCGTTTGTAATAAGCCTGGTTCACAATGACCGCAGGTCTCACTGCCTTTGTGAATGTGACACAATAGTTTTGTACTGCCTAATTGGATAATTGCACCATGAACGATTTCCATTGCTTCGGATTCTTGCTTCGCCGCGGAGATTCTTTTACCGTTAACTAACGTGCCGTTGCGCGAACCAAGATCGATGATTTCGTAAAGCCTCTTTTCTGCGTTATATTGCAGTTTCGCGTGATACTAAAAGTTAGAGAAATTTATTATGGAACAATGAAGACTAACTTTTTTGTGATAAAGATTATTATAGTTATTTACTTTGCTTATGTTTATATCCCGTAACAAGACCGGATGATCGCCTTCTCGACCGATAGAACCACCAATGCACGTTACGAGAAACAATGTTCCAATCTTGAGTTTAGATATTTGTGTTTCTTTCACAATAATCCGCATGCAGGGAGGGTAATCTTTAGCAATATCTGAAAAATTAAAATCAAGTATTTCTTTAAAAGCTTCAATTTATACTTAAAATTTATTTAAAATTTAGAGATATGATAGTGATGAAGTAAAAATAAATAAAATATAATTAAACCTTCATTATTATTTTCAGGGGAGCCAATAGTAATTACTTCTACAGAACTTGAACTACTCTCATTATCACTATCTGAACATTCTCCTTCTTCAACTTCAATGACATCTTTCTCTTTAGCTTCCTTGCTCAGCTTGATTTTTTTGGTCCTGTCCTGTAAGATAAGATATACGTGGATATCAAAGATTCAAAATTATTACCTAAGGCATTTTGCTTGGATCTTTGTATTGATATTCTGAAAAGGCCAGCAATTAGGTCATGAATATCACTCTGAACCTATAATTGAGAAAATATTCAATTAATAATAAAAAGGCTAACAAGAATGTACAATCATAATCTAAATAGCAGATGAAACAATACCTTATTCTTTTGTCTGTTATTTTTTTCCTTTATGATGCTAGGAGATATGTCCATAGGTTCAGCTGACTCTCTTGAAATTTGACTGTGAAATTTGTAAGACTTTGAACCCTCATCATAGTAATAATAAGTTCCGGAGTTTCCATCATAATATAATCCAGATTTCTAAAAAAAAAAGATGATGAGTAAAGGAATTTTATTTTTGTTGTGTGATTATGTCTAAATACATACTGGATCATAATAATATCCAGACTCATAATGATAATATAAACCTGTGGTTTTTTCGTAGACAAAACCAGTCTGCAATATAGCTGATTCAGCAGCCTCTTTTACTTGGTCAGCTAAAGTACCTGCTTCCTTGGAATTGCTGATTACCCAGTCTTGAGGTGATTTGTCTCTTGGCAAATCTGTCTGTGTGTGATTATCTACAAGGCTTTTGTCTGACAAATCACATTGAATTTCCTACATAAAAGTATAATGTCATTAAACGAAATTATTCATTAACAATTATATTGTAAAACTTGTGTTTGGCTTACTTTGTTTTCTAATACTACAGTTAACTTAACTATTGTATTTTTTTGTACTTTTATTTGCTCTTGAAGCTTTTTAATATATTTTAATATGTATGGAAAACCTTCAAGTTCAACAGAAAAATCTTTGTTTTCTAAATCTTCATTACATGTTTCAACTTTGTCAATTAGTTGAGGTTCAAATGAAAATTTCTTATTTTCCAAATTCTCATTTTCCTCAGATTCTGCAGTCTTGTCAATTACTATTTCATTCCCTTCCATTATCATTTTGTAATATTTATCAACAGCTTTACACCATATTCTGAAAACATATGATACTTATAACAAATTTAATTTGATAAATGAAAAATTAGTTAATCAATCATAACATACCAAAAAATTATATAAACGTTTATTTATTGTTCTTATAAAACTTGTTACTGATGTTGTAAATTTTATTTAGTATTTTAAATGGCAGACTGACAATATAACCTCCTCTACGTTTGTTGATATCAGTCGGCCTTGTATTGACATATTTATTTGGAAAATCCAATAAAGTATGGTGTTACAGGTGATACTGACATTGCATGACGAAAACAGCAGATAAAGCCATCAGAGGAAATTACAATGATTACAATGAGCAATAAAATAACACACGAGTTAGAAAAAACACGTAAGGGTGTTCACAGAATAATTCTGACACTTAGAAAATGACATGAATCCTGACATGTCATGCGCAAAAATAGTTTAGGCATAAAAACCCTGGGGGCCTATTCTGAAAAAAAATTTTAGCACGGGGCCTATTCTGAAAAAAAATTTTAGCACATGTCATAAGCATTTATCACATCTAAAGTGATTAATTCTGTGGTAAACTGAAGTGACAAACTGATTTACCACAAAATTTTTTTTCAGAATAGGCCCCCTGATGATGTTCAAATAATAGTATCTTATAGTAATATAACTGTAACAATAGAATATATTTAAAAGCTTTTTACAAAATGGCACTTTTAAAATAACTGACATGATTAATATAGATATACATTTAATTTTATGTCATTTGAAAAACGCGTCATCAAAAAAAAATTTTATTATTATTGTTACTATATTATTAAAATGTTACGGAGATACCATATTCCACATTAAGGAAATATTCCTGTGACGATTTTCACGTGATTTTATATCTCCTAAAATATCTTAAAATGTTTAAGTTATGCATTAACCGCGATGCATGTATTTCTATAATGATGGCTGCCTAAAAGTATATATTTTATTTGATTGAAAAAATACCTTATAAAAAGAGCAAATGCATTTTCCGCGTTTGACACTTCTTAAACTATATAGTATTCCTATCGGAAGGTAGATGGTAAACTGTGTGGAAAGGCACTTACTTGTACAGGAGAACTTTTACTTTTTACGCTCAACAACTATTTTTGAGCATGTTATATGTCAGAATTCATGTCATTTTCTAAGTGTCAGAATCGTTCTATGAACGCCCTAAGTGCTGTGATTGTCGGTGCTGACATCTTGCAAAACAGCTGACAAACAGGCTGGCACAGGACAAGCAGGCGTATACACCCCCCGGTCCCTAGGAGCTCAGCAGTCGGGCTATCATGGCCGCTCCCTGAGCTAAAAGATCGTCGGTTTTCAGATGATCGCGCGGTTAAATTTTGCTCTAATGTATTGACTTTTCTTTGTTACTAATTAGCGAAACAGTATCGTCTAACGTTCACGTAGATTACGACTGTTGAATGCAAAACCTCAAGTTTCTGTGTTGCGACTAAGTGTCAAACGATCTATTGTTTTATTGTAAATATTTCAATGTAAATAATCGAAAATTAGACTCATCAACAGTGTTTTACGAGACAACTAGTAAATGCACCAGGACGTGAAACAATGATGCCTATCAAAGACAACCAAGATGTTGCCTGTTTTCTGGTTACGAAGCATTCATGGAAGGGAAAGTAAGTTTTACAACTTCTGATCTTGTAATTATTACGTTTATTTGAATAAACATTTTTTATTATCTTTTAGAATATTTATTGGCCACTTCTTTATATAACATTTATTATTTACAGATACAAACGTATTTTTTCAATTGGATCCATGGGTATAACTACATATAACCCAAATACTTTAGATGTCACAAACAAGTGGGAGTATTCTGATTTCATCAGTGTCCAGCCTACTAATAAAAATCAAGTTGGCTCTCATGAATTTTGTATTACAATGCGTAAAGAAAGAAAAGTTGAAAACATGAAATTCAGCTCAGAACATAGGGCTCATTTACTTACTGAGGCTCTTAGGTATAGAAATCAATTTGCTGAAAAACCAAAAGATGTTATGGTAAGATTTGATATATTTTATTAGCAACTTTTGTTAAAAATAATAATTTAAAAATTGCATTTTATTTCATAGAGGTTTTCAGCTTACAAACATCATTGGTCAGACACTAGGCTACCTGTTGTGCTAGAGATTACTCCTTATAGTCTTGACCAACTTGATCCAGCTACAAATATGGTGCTAGCTAGTTATTGTTACAAAGACTTTGAAGGTCTGGTAACTGTAAAAGATTATCAGAATGGATTTGTGGTAGTCTGTGGTGGTTTTGGACGTTTGCATTTATTTGCTTCACAATATATAGAAGAAATTAAAAGGAAATTAGTAGAATCTGCAATGAATAATCTGGGTATCAGCATAAGAGTACCAAAAGAATCTATAAAACTTGATGACTTTTTTGCACAAAGACTTGGCAAGTTCAGTGGAGATGAGCACATTACTAGTGTTTCTGAATTCACTGTTCACAAAAATTCATCAAGGCATTTAGAGCCCCAGCGCAGGACACTTTGTTTATCTGATACTTGTCTACTAGAAAGAGATCCACAAACTTACAATATTTGCACATTAAGACCACTGTCAGATGTCTTTGCATTAATTCGTGATAATCAGAATCCTCAGTTATTTACTATTCAGTATATTAATGGACAAATGCGTAGTTATACAGCAACAGATAGAGATTCGCTATTGGCATCTTTGTTGGATGGAGTGCGAGCATCTGGCAATAGAGATGTTCATGTTAAAATGTATCCTATCGCACGTGGAAAGAGATTAGGACCTTTGAGTCTACCTGTTGACGAGGAAGTTGAAATTTTAAATGTGAAATTCCTTCAGCAACCACCTGGCAGTCGTCAATTTGCTGAAATTTTAGAGAGGTTCAATGCAAATATTCCTTACAGTGGCCTTCTGTATTCCATTACACAAGATGTAAGATGTCACTGTTCTTCCATTATTTTAATTTTGTTTTTACAGCATAATTTTATATTTTGCTCTTTACAGGGTCTTTTTACTGAAAATAAAGATAAAATTATTCTTGGAGCACTGAATACAGTAGTGAATAAGGATGTTGAAACAGATTTTGAAATAGAGGCACAATTCCATGCATTGAGAAGACTAGTTGCAAGTAAAGTTGGATTTACAGCTTTCACAAATTTACCTGGCTTTCGCGAAGCAATTGGCAACAAAGTTGTGAAAGCTTTGAAACGTCAAGATTCTGGATGCACTCAAGCAGCTATTGATTGTATTTGTGCTCTTATGCAGCCTATGCATGATGACTGTGATTTGAGACAAGAACAGTTGAATAAAAGCAGTTTGCTGAGTAACAATAAGTTTCTAGAAAGCTTACTCGAAATGTGGATGAGTCACGTTGTAAGTTTACCTTGCTTTTCAATGTACCAAAAAAAAATACATTAAAGGAGAACACATTAACGTTATCGTTTTTGTTTGCAGAATCATGGAACAGGCGCCCTTGTAGTGTCAGCAATGTTAGATCTCCTAACATTTGCTCTATGTGTTCCATATAGCGAAACAACGGACGGCAAACATTTTGACAACTTATTGGAAATGGTAGCATCAAGAGGTAGATCTTTGTTCAAGTTATTTCAACATCCTTCGTTGGCTATTGTCAAAGGAGCTGGTCTGATTATGAGAGCAATCATTGAGGAAGGTGCGCAAGAAGTTTCAGCTAAAATGCAAGAGCTGGCTCTTGCTGAAGGTGCATTGCCTAGACACCTTCTCAATAGTTTGTTTACTGCTGGTACCGATGGCAGATTATTGACGCATAGACAACTATGTCGTCATTTGGTTGGGCTATGGGTTACTGGTCATCCTACGGCTATGGCTTTGTTGAAGAGAATCATGGTAAATTTTGCAGATGACTATAATTTCGACACACTTTTAGAAATTAATATTTATTTTTTACAGCCAATTGGACTACTAAACTACCTGGATTCTGAGGAAAAAGTGCCAGATACATATAAGGAGGAAGAGAGGCTGGATCATCGCGATAATTTGAAAATAGCAATAGATCATGCAACTAAAAACAAAAAGAGTCCACAGTGGATAGCTATAGAAAGACAGATGAGAATTATAGAGAAGCATCTAGACAATGCGCTCGAGCATTGGGGCGCAAAAGTTGGTATCGAAAGACGAGAAAAAATCAAGGAAAGACCTGTGGTCCTTAGAAAGCGCCGAGAACGAGTGAAATCCGAAGCGAATTGGAAACTTTTTTATTACAAATTCAGTCAAGATCATGCGCTTTCGAATCTCATTTGGAATCATAAGACTCGCGAGGAGTTACGTACGGCTTTGGAAAATGAAATACGCGCTTTTACTTCTGATAGAGATTTATCTGGTGGAACTTTAATTGCTTGGAATCATCGTGAGTTTGAGGTTCAGTACCAGTGTTTGTCGGACGAAGTGAAAATTGGCGATTATTACCTCAGGTTACTGCTTGAAAAAGATTCTCCCGATAGCCCTATTAGAAAGTCGTAAGTACTTGTAATTGTTGCTCTAATGAATGTATGGTTTTCATTTTCAAGACTACTAATGAGTATTTTTTAATTGCAGGTATGAATTTTTCAATGATTTATATCATCGATTTTTATTGACAACTAAAACTGAAATGAAGTGCCTTTGCTTACAAGCTATGACTATTGTCTACGGACGCTATTACGAAGACATCGGTCCATTCTCTGACACCAAATACATCGTAGGAATGTTAGAACGCTGCATAGATAGAACGGAACGGGATCGTTTGGTGATGTTTATCGAGAAACTTATTCTGCATCGAAGAAACGTCAAAGATATCATGGATCAAAATGGAATTAGAACGTTAGTTGACCTATTAACTTTAGCTCACTTGCACACTTCTCGTGCAGTCGTTCCAACTCAGACAAACGTTATCGAGGCTGGTCCAGATCAAGAGTATATTTTGGAAAAAGAATGGTATTACAACGACGGTGACAAAAGAAAAGGTCCGATAAGCGTAAAAGATCTAAGAGATTTATACGTATCAAATCAAATATCACACAAAACGAAAGTATGGGCACAAGGACTCGACAGCTGGCGAGTCTTATCTCAAGTACCTCAGCTTAAATGGACACTAGTTGCCAAAGGCACGTCCGTCATCAATGAAAGTGAATTAGCAACGCTGATTTTGAATATTTTGATCAAAATGTGCGAATACTTTCCCAGTCGTGACTCTGATAATGCTGTTATCAGACCTCTACCTCGCGTCAAACGGTTGCTGTCGGATCTTCAATGTCTACCACATATTGTGCAGCTGTTGCTTACTTTTGACCCAGTTCTCGTCGAGAGGATTGCCACTCTGCTTTGTGAAATTATGAGGGACAATCCAGATATTTCGAAAGTTTATTTAACAGGAGTTTTCTACTTTATTCTAATGTACACCGGTTCTAACGTATTACCTATAGCTAGATTCCTACAGTTGACTCATACTAAACAAGCTTTTAGGGGTGACGATGTAAGTTTGTTTTTTATATAATTATCGTTCAAATTCCTATTATATACAAATATATTCACCATTTTCATTTATATTTGTAGACTCCATCAGACATTATGCAGAAAAGTATTCTCGGTCAACTGTTGCCTGATGCCATGGTTAGTTATTTAGAGAATCACGGAGCTGAAAAATTCGCCCAAATATTCCTAGGGGACTTCGATACTCCCGAAGCAATTTGGAACGCTGAAATGCGTAGAATGTTGATTGAGAAAATCGCTGCTCATATAGCCGACTTTTCACCAAAGTTACATAGCCACACTATGGCGAGATACCAGTATATACCTATTCCCGCTGTTCGCTATCCACAGCTGGAAAAAGAACTGTTCTGCCAGATATTTTATCTGCGGCATTTGTGTGATACTGTGAAATTCCCTCAATGGCCCATTCCAGAACCTGTTAGTATCACGAACATATTTTATAAAACTCGTAAAAATACTTTTAAAAAGTTGTTTATCAATCGATTTGTATTCTTAGATAAAATTATTAAAAGATGTCTTGGATGCTTGGAAGAAAGAGGTCGAAAAGAAACCTTCTATCATGACTGTCGACGATGCGTATAAGGTTCTTGGATTGGAAAGTGGTGAGTATCATGATGAGGCTATAGTTAGGAAATCGTACTACAAATTAGCCCAGATATACCATCCAGACAAAAATCCTCAAGGCAGAGTAAGTAATATGGTTCAAAAATTTTTAATACGTACGTAAAACAGAACTAACATGTGTTTTCTTTGCACAGGACAAATTTGAGGCTGTAAACCAAGCCTATGAATTCCTTTGCAGTAGAAGTTGCTGGTCAACTGACGGTCCCAATCCCGATAACATTGTGCTAATTCTAAAAACTCAAAGCATTCTATTTCATAGATATAAAGAAGATCTTGCACCCTACAAATACGCAGGATATCCTCAACTGATAAAAACAATCAAGTTAGAGACTGACGACGAACGGTTATTCTCAAAATCGGCACCACTGCTCGCTGCTGCAAGTGAGTTGGCCTACTACACTGTCCACTGTTCATCTTTGAACGCTGAAGAACTGAGAAGAGAAGGTGGACTTGAGGTTTTGTTAGACGCTTACACGAGATGCGTGTCCGTGCTAAATAAGTCTAGTAAAGGAAGTGAAATTGCTGTCCAAGTTTGTACTCATATCACTAGATGTTTCGCTGTAGCTGGATCTTTCAGGGGTTGCAGAGATAAGATCGTTGAGCTTCCGCAGTTGATTAAAGATCTGTGCAGAGTCTTGCATTTCAGGGTAAGTTACATGGATGCTTCAGTTTTTATTTGAAATATTCTAATCCGATGATTATTATTGTTTACAGCATTTGACAAAGTTGTGTTCTGTAGCAACAGAATGCGTCTCGTCACTTGCGACTGATAGCGTACTGCAAATGCAGCTTTTACAATCCGGAGCTTTATGGTACCTATTGCTTTTCATGTTTAATTATGATTTCACTCTGGAGGAAGGTGGAGTCGAAAGAAATCAAGACGAAAACAGACAGGAAATTGCTAATAATTTGGCTAAGCAAGCTGTAAAAGCTTGCGCAAAATTAGGTGGTTATATGAAAGCTGAAGACGAGACTCCTTACAATCCGGTGACTGTAGCTGCCTTGGAGAATTTATTGACGCCTTATTTGTCTAGACAGCTTGCCAACGATAAGCCGGAAGATATTCTTAAGACTTTGAATTCTAATTGTTCCAATCCATACTTGATTTGGGATAATGGAACGAGAGCTGAGTTGATTGAGTACCTTGAGAGTAAACTTCAAGAAAAGATGAATAGCAATGGTAACATTGAGCACGACTTTGTCAACTTCAAGTATAATGCTCACAAAGGAGAACTTGTTATTGGTGAAATATTTGTTAAAGTTTACAATGAGCAACCTAATTTTCTGATAGAGGTATAGTAGATTATCTTATAAATATGATAATGTTGATTACAGTGAATACTTTCTTTACAGAATCCGAAAGGTTTTACAATAGACTTATTGGATTTTCTTGGAAAGTCTGCGGAATATATTGGCTCTTTGAACGCCAACGTTAATTTAACGAAAAATGATCACGAAAAATTACGAGGTATCGTGATGTCATTAGAAGCTTTAAAAAATGTCATCAAAAGCAATCCTGGAGTGGAAATCCAGTGTATTGGTCACTTCAAGCTGCTCTTTAGCTTAGCAAGTAGCAGTAATTTCAAACCCATTCAAAGAGCCGCTATTGAAGTTATCAGTACCGTGACAAAGAACCAAGAGTGCGTCAACGATATAGCAGCCAATGAAGTTGTCTTGCATTTATTATTGTGCTTAAACAGTTTAAAAGATAGTCAGCTGTTGATTTTAGAAACTTTGTACGCGCTTATGAGTACAACGAAAATTGTTAAGGATGCTTTGAATAAAGGTAACATCCTGTCACCGAACAGTTGTAAAATAAAACAATATTTCAACTTTTATATTCTATTGCAGGAGCAGTGATATACATTTTGGACTTATTTTGCAACTCAACGAACTTACAAATACGTGAGACTGCTGCTGAATTATTAGCGAAGATGTCGTCCGATAAATTAGCTGGTCCTAAGATTAAGTTAGATCTGTCAAAATTCTTACCTCAGTTATTTAGTGAGGCTATTCGTGATGCTCCTAAGCAGTGTGTGCAGATGTTTGAGACTAAGCAAGAGAATCCAGAATTAATTTGGGACGATGACACAAAGGCCAAAGTACAAAAATCAATTACTGAATTAAAAGAAGAGTCAGTATTATGCATAACAGTATTTATCAAGTTATTATGCGATAATTAACTGATTATTTTTTTGTTTAGGTATTACAATTTGCAATCCCAGAATCATAATGCTGTATTGAAACTTCCTGAAACTCAAAACAATTTAAATAGCATAACCAATGAGCCAGTAGTTGGCGGAGTATATCTTAGATTGTTCATATCTAGTCCGGCATGGGCTGTTAGAAAGCCAAAGGAATTCCTAAGCGAGCTGATGGATACAACTTTGAATTTGATGTCTAAAGAAAAGACTGACGTGAGATTATTGAAACCAACTGTATGAAATAGAAAAATTAAATAACGTTTGTAATTATAAAAATATCTTTTCTAGTTGGATATGCTAGAGTTATCGACCCAAGCTCTCGTCTGCCTTTTGCAAGCTCAACCAGCTTTAGCAGATCAAGTACCTTCCTTGGGTCACATACCGAGATTATGTAGACAAATGTCTGTACAAAATACTCAAACGTCAGTATATAAAGCCGCTATTTTGATTCTTCATCAGCTTGCTCTTAGTGAGGTAAGCATTGTGATTGTTATATTTATTTTTTTCTGTACACCGAATTACTTTTGGAATAATTTTAGATTTGTATATCTTCAATTTGCCAAACTGAATGCATCAGCCCTTTGAAAAATGCAATGCAATTGAGAAAAGATATGATTGCCGTAGCATGTGAAACTTTAAATAGGTTATTTTCTACCAACGAAGATAGACTTATCAAACAGGTAAACTTAAGTCAACGAAAATATATTGAAAATAAAAATAAAACATTTATTTAAATAATCTTACTCGCCTAGGCTCTCGATGCCGAAATGGTTCCATATCTACTTAATATCCTAGAAGGCCGTTTGGACATCCTAGAAAATTCAGCGACGACAAAGGCACAAATAGTCAAAGCTTTGAAAGCTATGACGAGAAGCTTCACACTCGGCGAAAAAGTCAGCGCGATACTTGAAAAGTCGAGCATATGGGCAGAGTACAAAGACCAGAGGCATGATTTATTCATTTCTAATACCTCCATGAGCGGCTATCTTACTGGTAAAGCACTTGTTTCCCTTTCCCGTTTATATTAACTAAGCAATTATTAACGTTTTCTTTTTGTTTTTACGATTGCGTTACAGCCGGTACACCTGTATCGGCTGGCTACTTAACGGCAGGATCTAGTGCATCGATTCCGACAGGACCCCCACCCGTCGACAAGGACGATAGCTTTTACAACAGGAAAGACAGTATCTGATACGGGTAGCAGGTGAAAGGTATTATGAAGAATAGTACTCACCATCGAGTAATATAATAGCCGTTTATTAAATGCTGGTGCATCGAAAGAAAGAACTATTTTATCTGTGATTCTCGTAATGTTTAGGACGTGTGTAAAAAAACAAAAGGTGTTCATCTTGAATTTCTTCCAAATTTTTAGGCAACATACGGTTTTTTTAACAGTCCAATTTTACTTGAAACTGCACGACTTTTCTGTAACAATAATTTTAATCAATAACACACATTTCTTTTTCGAGCAAAATTTTCAAGTATTTTTTACGTTTATGTAGAATTTGACATTTCGATTCGCAAAAAAATTTTCGCAATAAAATCAAATGTAATGCTGACTCGGATAGTCAATAAAAGTATTCTGTGATAACATGATGCACAGGAAAGTAAATCAAAGAAAGCACGCGTGTGCATATATCTAAATAAATCGTGCATTTTTAACTGTTAATTTGGTGATCAAAAATTAATTGAATTGCAATGTTGTTGGAGTATACGTGTTTTTTTACTGACTTTTGTATGAATAAAATCAACAAATATTGGTAACGTTTTACTAAAGCATATATTAACTGTTTGAACATACCTATTTGCACTGGTTTCTAATTAAATTTTTATCCGTTAAATGTATTTCAAATATAAAGAGAAAAAGATAATTTTATTAATAATTATCAGGCTATATCTCCGTGTCATTTTCAAGAATAAATGTTTCTTTCGATTACGCTAAATGATTTGCTAAAAAATATTGTAGATCTGGAAGAAATTTTGAAAAACATTTTTTATGTGAATATTTGCAATATTGTCGATGAAGAAAAGAAAAGAATGAGAGAGAAGATGATACACTAAAATATATTAGTTTTTGCACTCGTGTAAATGCTTACAGCAACTGACCATTTTAAATAATATTCTACTTTTATATGCAATTTTATGTCACGATGAACGATACGCGCGTGAGTTTTCTAGCTTAGCTACAATCACTATACAGATCTAAGTAGCAGGGTAAAAATTTACTATAAAATTTTTTCAAGTAATCTTACGATATATAGATTTGTAAATATTCTATAAATATAATATATTGAAACAAAAAAAATATAAATAAATAATTATATGTATAAATGCATATGTGTATATAAACAAAAAACTTATGCACACATATGAGATGGACAATTTTGTACATCGCATTATTATACATCATGTTTGAAGTAGAAAAAAAAGAAGAGGATTACGGTTTCGCTGATAGTTTTGTACAAGAATTTTTTATCTGACAGGTTTTACAGTTATAAATATGCACATAGCTTAAAAAAAGTAAGTTGATAAGCATGCATAATGATGTTCTGATAACAAATTTATATACTATTAATTTGATGAATTAATATGCGCTTTGATCTTAAATAAAGTCAACTAATTATTTGTTACACATGATCAATGCTTCTTTGTTGCCTATACAAGCAAAATCACAAGAACATCTTTATTTAGAAAGCTACGTTGTATCAATAAATTTTTTCATTTTTCATTTAAAAAAGTATTATTCGCTCATCATTATTATATGTATTCGATACCTTTTAGTTTCTATCTTTAAAATGTGTAGTGAACTTTTACATTTCCAAGTTACTGACTAGTTTTAATCCCAAATGCCTTAATAGTATTGTTTCACCTATAATCACTCGAGAGAAAGAAAAATTGAATAACATTTTCTAACATTCAAAAACCTGAGTACTAATCAATTCATTCGTAATTCTATTTAACATTATATTTTAGTTATCCGCAAATTTAAGTGATACTTGGCATCATTAATATATTTCGGTCTTTTCTTTCGAACGCGCCAAATTGCCGGAAGTGCGGCTCTCGTAAAAGTACTGTGAGATTCAAGTATTCGTTGGAGGCCATCGTGGAAATGAGCTTGTCAAGATGTAGCTTTAGTTCGTTGAACGACGGTCTCTTCATCGGATTTTCGTGCCAGCACAATCGCATTAGCTCGTACCTGCAAAGGAAAGCCGAAGGTAATTAGCGAAGAAAGCTGACGTCCCTTCAATCGAGCCGTCCCGTACAGTTGGGATCCGCAGTTCGACGGCCTTTCCATGCGATATCCCGATTTGAGTAGATGTAAAATTTCACCGGCCTCCAATGCTGGATACGGGTTGCCGCCCAAAGTTACGATCTCGTAAAGCAAAATCCCGAACGACCAACTGAAAAAAGAAAGAAGCCCCGAGTTCCGAGTCTCGCGACGGAAGTAAAATTGTGCGCAAAGATATTATCAATCGTTACACGTCGCTCTGGCTAGTATAAACTTGATGAGTTAGAGCTTCGATGGCCATCCATTTGAATGGTAGTTTACCGTCGCCTTGCTTCTTGTATACGTTCTCTTGATAAATGTCACGACTGAGACCAAAGTCGGATATCTTCACCGTTCTGTCGGCGCACACGAGGACATTGCGAGCAGCGAGATCACGATGCACAATGCGATTAGACGACAGAAACTCCTGTTTAAGCACATCACTGTACGATGATCAAAGGCGAGATTGTGGAGGTACTCGAAAATATTAGCCATGATTAAGCTTACCATACCCGAAGCCACTTGCCGAGCGAAATTCAGTAGGTCTTTTGGGCTGATTTTACTTTCTATCAGAGCTTCCGCTGTAAGAGAGAAAGGCAAATAAAAAGTTGTGCATTGAGTTGTGTAAATTTGCTTGGGATAATGCTGCGGGATCCTTGCCTGTTTGAACGTCGTACAAGCGGTTATTGATTGCACACGACGAGTTGGCATTCTCTTGAGGCACTTGCAAAATAAAGCGGTATCAGATCAATAAATTACGCGGTGTACATTTGAATTTCAGTTCAATCTTTCATCACTCACGAAATGGTGAAAGTTCCGTATGCGCTGGCCACTCGATTTGCTTCGAGAAAGCTGTCGTCGTCTCTTCCAACATCTACCAAAAAAAAAGTCAAACGGCACGTTATACCAGCCGCGGTTGAAATAGCAGTATCGCCTCATACCTGCTTCAAGTAAGACAGCAAGTCGCCTTTACTGCAGTACTCGACGATCAGCACGGGGTATTTGCTGATGGTACAGCAGCCGATCAAAGATACAATGTTGGGATGATTGCCGGCGGACTTCATCAGCAAAATCTCGCGATGGAAATTTCTAACGTCCTCCGCACTCGCGTCTTCTGCAATGAAATGACGCACACTAGTGAGGATGTTTACATTTGGTAATCGAGTCGCCGGGCAGCCGCAGCGATACCTCGCAGCACTTTGACGGCCACGTCGTAAGTTCGTTTTTGGTCGTCCTGCAAAGTGGCCAGCTTGACTATGCCACCGATGCCGCTGCCTAAAATCTTTTTTACACGCAGGCGATCGGCAGCTATCTCGAACTTGTCCTTGGTCTTGCTGCTCTCTTCCAAGTCGTAACCGAGCGACGATTTCAATGGGCTCTTGATTACGTCCAATGTGACGCCGTTCCGACCGATGTCCTGAAACGTGCCGTTGTACGCGAGCAGCAACAGTTCGCGTGACAGGGGGAAGCAAGAAGGGACGTACTCACCTCGAAGAAATTGTAATGGCAGTAATGGACGCCGAGTTTCTTACAGCGGCACAGAGTGCAAACGATCATGCCGAAGATGAAAAGCGTCGCCAGAGCCGAGACAGCGACGGCGGGATGCATGCCAGCTGCGTGAATCGACGAAGGAATGGGTAAGACTCGGTTAGACTTGCGACCGAAAAGCAGCGTTCTCGCGACGCTCGGTTGAATTTCTCGCGAGCAAGCTAGCGAATCGATGAATACGTGTAGATATGTATTGGATACCTATGGACGACTCCCTCGCCGCCGAGAACAGCGTCCACTCGAAGCTCGAGCCTCCCTCCGATTCCGCGATAATGCCGATTTTGTACTGGCGATCGTACGACAATCCCAAGATCTTTGCCGCGGTCTCGTTCTGGACACGTTCACAGGGATTATCTCTTTGCAGATTGACGCTCGCTTGGCTTTCTTACTCACCCCGAAGACACTGATTTCCACGCTGCAATTGTCGCAGTCCACGGGCTGAACGACTATCGTGTAATTGTCTGGATGCATCGCCGGCTCGTCCCAATTAATCGTCAGATCCACCGTGTTTACGCCTCGGCGCTGCTCGACAATGCCGACTCCCGTCGTTCGCGCGGGTGCTGCTCATCGTGTTCGTTCGTTCGTTCGTTTGTTGGTCGCATCGCACCGCGTCGTTCGCGCGTGGAAACGGTAAGGAATGGTTGAATTAGCGGAGGGCACGCGAGACAACGGAGGCGCTCGGGCGAGGCCCGGACTGCTTACCGCATATGCTCAAGTTGTGGTGGAAGCCGAGGCACGAGGGCGTGGCGAAGGTCAGCGTGACGTTGGCGCTCTCCCGCAGATCTCTCTCGTTCCTGGATATCACGTAGACGGTGTGGCTCCTGCCGTACCGCAGGCGATTCAGCTCGTAACGGAACCCGCGCTTCTGCGAGTCGCCGAGAGTCTTGATTGCAGTCTCGATCGCAGTCTTTGTTGCGATTCGGGGACGTACTCACCGCGTCGAATTGGTAATGGTGCAGCTCGTGCCCTTCTGCCCAGTGAACGATGTGGTACAAGCAGTTGAGATCTGACGACAATCGAGAAAGCTCTGTGACTGCTTGTCGGGCTTACGCGGGATGGTGGCATCGTCGTCCATTACCGTCGGGGGGGACAATGTGCAACTCGGCTCGTAGCGGTCCGGACTGCTCGTCGCTCGCCTCGATGCGGCCGATCGACACGCCCTTCGCTGCTCCCGGCACGAATCGTCCTGCAAGCAGCGAACAGATAGCGCACCGCGTCCGACGTCCTGCTCCGCGTCGTAGTGGGCAACGCTCACCCCCGTGAGTCCGAAACCAGGGCGTCACGTCGGGCCTGGCCACTCCGGCCGCCGACACTCTGCTGGCGCGATACCGGTACTCCGCGCCGTCGCTCAAACCGAGAGACTCGTGGATCGTCTCGCTGCTCTGCGAACGATCGAAGCCCAATGACGCCTGCGCTAACTTAGTTCCATACGGGCTCTTACGATTTCTGGATGAGTCCAAATGTCGCTACCCTTGCTCTGGCGCTCGATCACGTACAAACCAGGATTGTGCCTTATTACTAGCCGATTGCTGTCCTTGCATTGCAGACTTACGTTGGACAGAGATGGCTGGCCGAGGCGTGGGATATCTAAAATGCAATTTCCGTGCTTATTCGGATTTTACGATATTGCGTACGTGCATTCTCGAGGTGGCGATACAACGAGTGTCGATCCTCGCAGCTCGCGTACAGTTATAGTCCTGCTCATCGAGTTATTTTACGGAGCTCTGACTACTTCTTTTTGCTTGTTTGATAAACGACTTTAATCTACGTTGTGCGCGCGAAGTAATGAAAAACAATTCTTTAAACTTGCTTGCCACGTTTTCGGGTGCCTCATGACATTCCTGCCGGCATTGCTCCTAGAAAAGAAAAAAAGAGTGACCGAACGCTTAGTTATTTTGCGTGGAATCGTACGTCGCGAATAACTGCGCTTCTTCTTTCTTTTTCCGGAACGATGAGAATGTGCATTGCTCGCTGAAATAAGAAAGACGAGGCGAAGAATAAGAAAGTAAGAGAAGGCGAATCGATATCACCTAATTCCATAGCATTTGCATGTGCATGCATGTGAAAATTTGAGTGTCGGATAAGCCACGGCAGCGAAATTCACGCATGCATAAAAGAGCATATGCTGATTGATTGGCTGTAGTAAAATGCATCGAAGACGCGCATCAAAGTCAAACGCGGAGAATAAGCGATTTGCCAGACGCGCGAGCGTCGCCAAGATTCGCCCGGCGACCGTTGCTCTCTCGGGCAAAGCCGTCGCGGAAGTCATCGCCGCTGCCAGTCTCGAGTCTCGATGACGATCGCGCGCCCCGTCGAGAATGAAAGGAGAACGTTCGGCGCGGTGGCGCGCGGTGGCGCGCGGTCTCGGCCCGAAAACACTTGTTCAATTATTGCGTCATCGACCGCAGAGCCGCGTGCTCTGTCACCCGAGCCGGAGCAACGTAAGCGAAGACGGCGCGATAGCGCGAAGGGGTGCAACTTACTTCGCCGGAACAGCCCGCGACGCAGAGCGCGAGCACGAGCGTGTCGTCCAGGGCTCCGCCGCGCGCCAGGCTGACGGCGAGGGCGAGCACGAGCGGCAGCCAAGTGTTCATCGCTGCGCGGCGTGAGTCGTCGCGTCGATCGTTGGGTCGGCAGCACGCTGCTGCTCGCGCGAATCGCTCGCTCGGCACTGACGCTCCGCCGGCCCAGGTGCACGACGCGAGGCCCCGGAACACGCCGCCGCTTCGCCTCGCGTCCTCGACGACGATCGTATTATACGCAGCCACTGGCTTGATCGATCACGTCGCGATCACATCTGTGCGGCTGCCAAAAAATTGCTCGAGGCGCTCGGCGCTGTTTGCGGGCTACGTGCTCCACATCTCGCTACTCCCGTCGCAATTTCTTCTTATCGGGATTACGCGGCAGGTGCTTTCAGCCACATTTCGCAAAGTTCGTTTGCGCTGCTGATTTCTAGATTTCAAAGCCTACTCTAACGATGTCTTTACTTTATTCGGCATTTTCCTTTTTAATCCTACGATTCGATCGATTTGTTTTCACTGTGTTGATCGTTGGAAAACTTTTTTAATGCGAAGCTTTCGAGTGCAATTTTCTTGAAATGGTCCTAAGACGAAAGTGCGTCTTACTGTCAGGAGAATTTTTTTTATTGCAAGAATATTGTACAAAAGCACAACAGTCAAGATTTTTGTTCTTTACGTGCAAAATTAAATGTCGATCCCCGCCATGGAAAAGAATGAATTTACTCAATTGTTGCGCAAGCTTCATATATCTTCGCTACGCTGAAAAATGCATGAATTCCTTAGCAATTGTAAAAAAAAGTAACTATTTAAATTACTTTCATTGACTTACGCGTGTGATGAAAAGTATTATTTTATGCGCACAAAATCTACCTTTATTTTGATATTTAAATCTGTAGGTCCGATCATGATACGTGTTAAATTTTCTTCTCCTGCACCATTTCAAAAAACGGTGGTCTACATATCCACCCGGGTATAGAGGAAATAACCAAGACTAATGCGTACAGATACCTAGTGTACCTCTGAAACGTTCCACGTGGACATATATCTTGGAGTTACAATAACAATAACAATATTTAAAAGTTCAGGTTTATGTAAACATGCAAATTTTCTCATTCAATATTACAAAACTTTGTCTCGTACATTTACTGTTGAAAAAAAGTTCTAGTATATCTAGCATAAATTAACTTCATCAAAGCATTACTTGTGTATACAACAGTAATATAGTCATAGAATTATCAACATGAATACGCATAAAAGTGGAGTGTGTACATGAGGTGTAGTGTGTGTGAGAGAGAGAGAGAGAGGAGCGAGAGAGAGCATCCATAAGACTCACTTGTGGCGTCATATGTGTTTTTATTGTCATTGATAACTTAAATTTAAGGTGAGTAGGGGACCTTATCTAATCGAGAACACAGCCAGACTTCAATACTTACTATTTGTGAATGTGATGTGAAGTTTTAAGTTTTTATTTTGATATATATGTATTTCGAAAAAATAGTTTGTTACAATACTAAATATATATATATATATAAACATTATTAAACATGTTACTTGCATATTAAATAGTTTTTAGCTAGATAATATCATGATTATTAATCTAATTTTTCGTTAATAGTTTTTATGATTTTTGTCTTTTTCGTCCGATATTATCTTTATACATGTAACCAATAAAGTGTGTGTGCGCGCGCGCGCGCGGGATGTGTTATAAATAAACAGAACGCAACTCTTTTATAAAATAAAGAAGTTGCGCTAAAAGCTGAGAGAACCTTATTTGAGTAATAAAAATATATATTGAAAGTTAAATGTACATTGTATTTAAAGAAAAATTGAGTTAATTAAAAGAAATGTGACTAGAGCAGGCAGTATAGCCTGCTTCTCGTCGATCCGTCTCTCTCTTCCCTTTACCCTCGGCCAGGCTCAGTGGTCAGTATTAGGCACACCTTTTCTTTTTATGCACCTCATACTGTACCTCTTTTCCAGCTGCCGAAGATTGCCGAGTCCGGCCAAGAGAGAGAGAGAGAGTGAGAACTCTGTAGCCGAAGAGAGAGAGAGAGAGAGAGAGAGAGAGAGTTAGAAAGAAAGAGAAGGAGAGCGCGAACGTATGCACGCACTATGCAGGCTCAGGCAGGCGTGCCACGCGCGACTAATTAGCGTTTTTGTCGCACGCCCCCTAATAAGTGGGCCAAGTGGGGATAGCCCGACGAAAGCGCGGTCACTGGCCGTGCATTATACTCTCGCATTCGTCTCTCGTCATCGGTGAGTTTTCTGGGCCGGTCGGTTAGAAAACTCTCCCTCGCGCTCGCCCTTAGCTTCGGTCATCGTCTTGTTCCTGCGAGCCGTCTTGCCGTTTGCCATCCTGCGCAGCACCACGCTTCCTGGCTGTACGTTGTAGCGTGCAGCACGACGCCCTTCTACGCCGACAGCAACAGCGACGGCGAAAAGCCCAGCGACCGACTTTGTTCTGCTGCTACCACCTTCGCCTCCCCGGGATCGTCAAGAAGAATAAAAAAGGTCAGGTTGTCTCTCTCTGCCGTTGCGGTTGTTTTCTCTCTCTCTCAGCGAACTTATATAACTCTCTTGTAGGTAGCCTGGCGATCACTTGCCGGCTACCTTTGTTCAATTCCTCGCCGTTCATTATTTGTATCGCGTGTTTGGTTGTAAGTCCGCAGTAGCCAAATGTTCACTCGCCGGCTACTTTATAAGGTTTTCTGTATTAGGATAAGTCGCGTTTGTTGTTCTATTAGCGTACATAATGTTATAAACGTTCAATTAATATGTTTGGATATGTGATTAGTTTAAGCGCGCGTTTGTTTTTGATTGTAAGGTTTTGTCGTTTGAAACTAATAAATGTGGTTTATTTACTCGCCTACTTTCCGATTGCAATTAGAGCTAAAGTGTCTCTCTTACCTTCCCCTTTAAAATAGGTAGCAGCGGGTCAAATCTGTTATAGAAATAATAAAAATAAAACTAGAGAGTTTTACTCACTAAACAATGTGCAATTCAAAATTGGGTTACAAGTGAAAGAAAACTGAATATTAGGAATAAAATTTAAAAAAATAAATAAAGAATTTTACTTAGGTCTAAAATCGAAATTGAGAAATTAACGAAGAAAAGTTTCACAAAGTTGGAAATTAATAGAAAAATAATGAGTGAAAGTTAATATAATAGCACCAGAAATTCTGATAATTTTGATAAAGAACAAAATGATATAAGTGACTGAAAAGTCTTTGAGTTATAAAAGAAACGAGAGTTCCAAGAGTCTGACGACGAACGAGTGCAGGAAATAGCCGAGCGAAGCTTTATCGTTGTGCGCACGGCATATAGCAATGGGAGTTTAAGTGTATAACCAATCGCACGGGTATAGGTAGACCGAACTATGTAGTTTTTACATTATGCAATATTAAATTTTTAAGTTTGTTTCTTTTAATATTCAAACGTGGAATGCTTAAGGGAGTTAAATTGATATTAAAAGTTAAATGTCTTTTCACGTGACATTAGCATGCTCTCACTCTTTGTGGTTTATGTGCGTGTGCGTCGGTGGACTTCGTGACGATCTCGGGCGCCTTGTGCTTGAGTGAGTTATATAGTCTTTCTTGCGCACGCCTCGGCTCGGCTCCTTGAGTTAAAGTGTAACGCAACAATTTACGATCGCCGTTTCATAGAGAAGCCGAAGCTTACACTTTAACGAAGTGGACGGAGTTTTGTCGATTCACAGGAATATTTCTGGGCCGGTATGTAGACTGGGGAGTGCCCTTGGTCCGCGCATGCTGTTTTACTCTATTTTACATAGATATATGAGGCTTACATTTAAAACCAAGTTGTGGTTAAAATAACATTTTTTTTCAGGTCTAGAAGAATATCTCATTATGCAATTTAAGAGTTGAAATATTTTTAATGGAGTAAAAATCACATACAAACTGTGTTATATAGGAGTTTGAGTTTTTTTTTCGAGAGAAAGAAGTCAATCAGTAAGGTTCAAAATAAAATATTGCTCAACAAAAGGTTTTCAATTCTGTCAGAAAAATAAATTGCAAGTTCTGAGTAAGAATTTTGTGAGGATTTTCATTAATTGCAGATAATATCACGATAGTTTCATGAAATTTAACAATTCACTTGAAATAAGTTCTATGCTCACTGCTCAAATGAAACTTGTATCAAGAATAGTCTGATCACAGACTAGGGAAATTAACAGAATATTCCATTTGTGTGACTCACACATGTACCTGAGAAACCGACCGACACTCATGTGGTAATAGGCGAAGTGTCGTTAGTCTATAATCTGTACGGTGGAAAAATTTGATTTCTCATTTCTGATTAAAGTAATATTTGTTGCTTGATTACTTTGATTCAGAAGCGCGAAATATTGCTTTATTAGTTAAGAGAAAAATTATCTGGTATCGATTTGTAAAGTACGTTTTTATTTCGACTAAAATGTAATTTGTATTAGGTCCGCCGAAGGAGCCGCGTCAACGCTTCGTTTTATGGCAGGACAGTGTACCTTATTACAATATTTATCAAAATTTTTCCGACAAATTGGTATAAATTATTTTATTTTCCTAATAACATTATTTAATTTATTATTAATGATGTTTAGATGTTCACGAAAATTATTGTTCTAATCATACCACTTAAATTTGAGCTATGAATGTTTTCTAATTTACTGACAAAGGACAGAAATCTTTATAGAACAGAAAACAAGTTCAATGTAAAATTGAATAATAACTTTAATATAATTATTAAATTGTCTGGAAAAATACTGAGAATAACGTATGTTAATAGAAATGAAAAGTTATATTAAATGAAAATTAAAAATCTTTTATTGTAGGAGCTTACATACTTTATTAGAGTATATTATAATTTATTGATGGTTAAATAGACAACATGTCTTTTTTTCTCATCTTGAGTAATTGGCATTGATGTAATGATAAAGGAAAACCAAAAAGAAGAGAGTTACTCCCAAGATGTTCGAGAAAATTGCTAGCTGCACGTCAGTTATCATCTGCAATAACAACATTCACTTTACTTTTAAAAATATCCATTACACAAATGAAATAAATTAACAATTTATATCTTAATGAAATTATTTTTACTTTACTAAGTTGAGTGTGGTTAATTGTTATACGTTGAATAGAAAATGAAACGTTTGTTGACGTGTTAAAGTGTTACTTCTGTTGATATAACATAACCTATATGAACATTTTGGGAGCATTCTGGAATTAGTATTAGATATTGAAATGTTGGCAATCATGATGTCACGTGCTGTGACGCATGTGCAATTGCAAAAGTGTAGGCGGTCTTGTTTAAAAAAAGGCAGTTACTTTTGTGATTAACATGTTTATTAACGGATACAAAAAGTAAGAATTCACATCTAGAGTAAAAATATAATATTTATTCATAAAATTTAGATTTAAACTGTGATAAAGCCAACTAAGCATTGCAAAGGAAACCATTGACAGATAACGACTGCTTTGCCTTAGCCTTTAATACTGCAGGTAAAGATAGACGTGAAATACTGCCAACAAATTTTATCTTAAACCATGTTATTTCACGAGAAAAACTCTATTAAATTAAAGCGTTTTAAGCAAAAGTGATAGAATACTCTTATAAAGTATAAAGTAAAGTAAAGAACAACTAAATAATGTTGATAAACTAATTAATGGGTAAAAACAACTGTTATACTTTTTTTCAAATACATTTTTTTTAGGTTAATTTTGATATTTTTGTAAACAAAAGTTTTTTCCCTTGATAAAAATAAATCGTTTTTCTTGATTACAGCTTATGTTATGTAAAGGTTAACAGTGCACACCTAATAGTTCAAAATGATTACACTTAGAGGAAAATTGAAGAAAAATTCAGATGTGTTGAGTAACAAATCTGATGAAATTCCTGGAAAAAGAATTTCAATAAGAGATAAACTACTTATAAAAGAAGTAAAATTTAAAATATTGCATTGATTTATTATTAGTTTATTGTATTGATATCTTATTTCTAACTACTAATCTCATTACTTTTTTTAGGCACAAGAAATGGAACAAAATCTTCCTAGTAATTGTAAAGTTACCTTTAATGATCCACATTGTTTGCATGAGTTTGATTTACTTATTGTGCCAGATGAAGGTTATTGGAGTGGAGGGTACTTTCATTTCCTAATCACTGTGCCAGAGGATTATAATATAATTGTACATATTATAAATTTATAGCTGAACACATCAAAGTCTTTGTAGCAATTATTCTTAAATTTTTTTCATTTTAGCCACCTACAGTCAAATGTTTGACAAAACTATGGCATCCTAATATAAATGAAGATGGACAAGTTTGTTTATCAATTCTGAGACAAAGTAGTATTGATGGAATGGGATGGGCACCTACACGTAAACTGAAAGATATTGTTTGGGGTCTATGTTCTCTCTTTAGTGTAAGTATTAAATATTTTCATATGTCCAATTAATTCCATTTAATGCTTTAAGATATGATTACAGGACTTATTAAATTTTGATGATCCTCTAAATAAAGAAGCAGCTGATATGTTCTCCAAGGATAAAGAATTATTTTATATTAAAGTAAAAGAATATATACTGCAGTATGCAAAAAGATGATTGAAAGTAAGATTACTGCAATGCCAAAAAACTGAATTCCTAAAATTAAAATTTTTGAGTAGCTGCATAGTGATGCAGAGAACTTTTCCGACAGATATGTGTACACATTGAGAAAAAAACATTTTGATTTGCGCTTCTAATTTATGAAAAAGTAGATTGTACCTACAGTCTTTCTAATTAACTTAATTAAATCATGTTCTTTATTTGTTCCTTGTTAGTGTACTGCTCTGAATGTATCTTTTTATTTTTATGTGCTTGCAAGCCATTAAAGCACAAGCTTTTCCTTAACGTAAAATTAAGAATTGTGATTAAGAAATTATTGATTTGTAAATAAATACAATTATTTAATAATGACAAATCAAGTGAACTTATTCATCTTACAAATCAAAATACATAACAATTATTTTTCATAATATGAGGTAACTATAGAGAGAAAAAATAAATACCAGACTTATCATTTTATTTTATTAATACATCTTCTGCTGACCAAATAATAGTAAAGAACATAAAAGATTACGCACTTCTTTCTAAAAATAAGAATACATCGTGGCCGATTTTCAGGGCATCAAATCTAAATCCAAAGGAGAAAGAAAACGTATAATCGGAGAAAAAAATAAACAGCCGGAACCTTCTTATATAATCTTCAAATTCAACAGTCGTCAAAAAAGAAGAATCACAAATGGTAACAAATAACAAGATACATTAACCAGTTATCAACGAGACAACGTAACGCTTTGTGTCGCACTTATACATTTAATCCTGTTTTGGTTTTTTTCGGCAACGCGCAACGCTGACTAGATACTTTGTCATCGCGAGTTTTAATAATAAATAATTAAATACAATAGAGTATCCATAGAATAAGAAAAAAACGCGGGCTTATTATTTTTGTTTTCGAGGTTGATCTTGCTCTTCAGAATGTTGTGAGCAGTTCGTCCTGTATACTAGTGGATCGTGCGAGTTGTCGCTGGTTACCGAAAGCTTCGCTCAGTTTATCGCCCTGGATCGCTTGTTTGCGCTTCTCTTCATGGTACTCCTCGCTGTATTCCTTTAGACGATTGCCAAGAAACACCGAGCGCTCGCGCTTCTTTTGCATGTAGTCGTTCGCCGAAAACCACCTGTGCTCCAGGCACTCTTCTGCCGTAGGTCGTTTGCTGCAAATTTATCGAATAAATGATCAACCGTTATTCCTATTCATGCACAGCTTCAGCTAAACTTATCAATAAGACTGCAGTAAGTTGTCTAAATTGATGTGGGCTCTATGAACTACAAGACTCGAGCAACTTTTCAAGTTGTTAAGAATGAAACTACATAAGAAATCATCGAGACGACTGCGACTGATTGTAAATTTAAGTAAACTAATCGTGAAAACAAAATCTCAGTTATAAGCGACATTTTGCGTCTACTCAAACAGAAAAAAGTTTTCCCGTGTAAAGTGAAAATAAAAAATGTATAATTACCTAGGCGATCGTTTGAAGACCAGCATTAGAAATCGCGTAGCCTCTTGAGTAAGCTCCTTATACAAATACTCAAAACGATACCTAACGAACGTGATGTTCTGACGAGTCTCGTTAACGTCGGCACCTCTGAACGGCGAGACACCCGACAGCAACACGTACGTGAGCACACCTAGCTGCCAGATGTCCGACTGCGGATAAGCAGGCTCCGAGTTGAGCACCTCGGGGGAGGCGTACTCAGGATGCCCGGTCATCGGCACCTGAGTGCCGATCCGCGACACGCGACGCGTCGAGCCGTAGTCGACGAGTTTGATCTGAGTCGCTCGTACCGACGCCATCACCACGTTGTCCGGCTGGATGTCAAGGTGACAGTAGCCGCGCCAGTGCAGGTATTGCAGAGCGTCAAGCACCTGGTTGACGATGCTGGCGACGCACTGTTCCGTATACTCGTGACGACTGGCTAGGTAGGTCAGCACGTCAGCACCTTGTAGTTTCTCAAGGACGAGGGCTGCTACTGGAGAGCCTCGTGGCCAGAAGGCTGCCTCCAGCAGAGCGATGCGCTCGTGGCAAAGCGAACGGAGCGCCTCGAACTCCTCTTCGACCTGTAAAGTCGCGTCATTTTTGTAATAGATTTTGTTTTTTAATTTTGTTTTTGTTTTTTTCTACGATAACGTGTTAGGCACCTTTTGCTCCGTGTCGGGTCTAACTTCGAAAATCTTGGCCACGACGATGCGTTCCTGGGACTTTTCGATGCCCTTAGCCACGAGCGAGAAGCGTCCTTTGTGCAACTCCGATACAAAACTGTACCGTTCGGAGATGCGAGTCTCGCGATCCCAATCCATGGGCATCAATTCCCGCGAGTAATCGAGGGTTAGCCTTGGTTCCTCAATCGGCACCTCTCGTCCCGATTCGGTCAACTGCTGCAAGTGTTTCATCGCTCGCGTGATCTGCACCTTGGGAACTTCCTCTTGTTTGGCTCTCGTTTTGGTCAATTTTGTGGGCACGCCGTGCTCACTCCAACCGATGCGATTACGCGCCGCTAGTCTGAAGTTGTAGCTGGTGTTGGGCTTGAGATCGTGCACGAGGAAGAACTCGTGGTCTATGTTGCCGGCCACCTCAACCCACTCGATACCGTCGCCTTGGCGGTACTGCAAACTGTAGCAGATCACCGGCGAATTGCCGTCGTAGCGGGGTTGCTTCCAACGCAGAAGGATTTCGGAGTCTGACGCGTCGGTAATTTCGGGGGAGTCAGGCGAGCAGGGTATCGTCGCGCAAACCAGTCGAGCCCTTGCTACAGTTTGGCCATTCTTATTGCGCGCTACCACTTTGTAAACGCCAGCGTCGTGTTCCCGCGCTGGATTCATACTCAGAATCGAGCGCCCGTCGGCGTCTTGCGCAATCTTGACGCGATTGCTCTCCTGCACAACGCAGTCGTTCTTGAACCACTGGACGATTGGTTGGGGATCACCGACTGCCAGACAACTGACTTGTGCTGGTTCGCCGTCCTGGATTGCCTTCGGATGTGGCTTCTCGCGCATGAACGGCATTTGACCCTCTTTCTTCGCCTCCATCATCGCTTCCATTTCTGTATATGTATCCAATCGCGTGCCTAATTCGTGTTTCAATCTTCGTAGGGTTCCCGTGTCCACGTTACCGTACTGATTGATGCGCGCTCTTCGCTCGTCGTCGATCTCCTCGTCCATCACATCCGTGAAACGTCGCCGTTCACGAATAACTGGTGTCTGCTCGCAGTGTTTCAAGATTATTGTGGCTCTTTTCGCAAGAGTTGATAAATTAACGATTCGCTAACAGTAGAACATACTCGCGTTGTTTTGTAACGTGGCATAGCGTATACTAGGATGAGTGATTGCGATGTACAGAAGTAGGCTTGCTCGAACTCCTGAATGCTAAACTACGAGACCACGATCATGTATATTTATAAGTACTAAAAAAAATTTATGATTTTATTCGAGCTAAGTTTTTTTTGCCATCTGGACTATATACATAAACCACTCGTGGGTAGTTCAACGCTTTAGAACTCTCAAACAAGCGTTGAAAACCAGGCGTAGTGCTATCGTAGTAAGTACGCAAAGCACTAGAGTTCTAAAGAACCTAATGACCATCGGATGTCATAGATACGAAAGCGAAGGACAGCGCACGAACTTCCCAAGTTGCTCTTGTATATTCCGTACATTATGATCACTTATCCTGGTGTACGCAATGCCACGCTACGAAATAACTCAGGTATATGCAACTATGAACGAACCGCAACTTACCCTCCAATCGTAAGCATCGTCTGAGAATTGACGCGGGAAGCCGGTTCCACGATTGTACGCTACTTTCATGTATTCACGCAGCCGAACTGGGAAATCGGTATCTCGAAGTTGCAGAAGATATGTGTCGGGACCATTTTGATAACTGAGCAGAAAAATTAATGAATTATCGACCATGCGTTGTCGAAATGAACAACCTTTCATCTTAAACTTACTGGCTCTCGTTCTTAATAAGTCCTATTTCCGTATCAATGGGTTCCCTCGAGGGCACGCGGCTCTCCCATGGTTTCGGTGGTGGTGGCGCTTTTTTCGTGAGTGGAGGTATAACGTATTGTCTCTCGGGACTCCTCTCAGGCGTAAACCTGTGTCCTGGTGGGTAAACCATCTTCGAAGGGTGCTCGAAAGCGCTTTCTAATTTGCGTTTACGGTACCACGTACGACACGATGCGTTCTTGTACCAGTCTCTGTAGTAGACGTAGTAGTTTTTGAGATACTCTGAGGGTATCTTGTATAAATCACTCGGTGGTTTATCCGCGTACAAATTCAGCCAAGGATGACGAAGTGCAGTTTGAGCATCCATACGTCTCTCGGTTTGATACGATAGAAGGTTTCTGATGAAGTCCTTGGCTTCATCAGAAATGTAACTCCAACGATCTTCGTCGAAATTCCATTTGCCCTCCTTGATTTTGGTGAGAGTCTCACGGTCGTTCACCCCGCGGAACGGAGAAATACCAGATAGCAGGATGTAAGTGATAATACCTGTGCTCCACATGTCCATGCCATAGTCGATACCCTCGCCGTTGGTTACTTCTGGTGGTACGAATTCTGGCATACCGTACGTGAGGGTCATGAGCTTGTTACGAATGATGCGACGCGCTAAGCCGAAGTCGGCAATCTTCAAGTCGTCGCCGTTGGGATGTGAAATTAACAAGTCACTGAGCTATAAAAGGAAAATAGTAGAAAAATGTGTAACAGTCCATTTAGTTGATAAATAGTTGTAAGAATGAGCATGTAATACCGTTAGACCACAGTGAGCCCAACCATTGTCATGCATGTAATTCAGACCCAAAAGCAATTGCCTGATATAACCAGCGATGTCGCTCTCCGTGTAGAATGGATGTCTTGTAAGATTATCTACAAGTTCACCACCTCCAGCACTATTTAAGTTTTTGAGTTATGGAAGCACGTTTATTTTGATGCCTAATTAAAGTTAAATATTATTTTGAAATTTAAAAGGATACAGTTCGGTGATGAGAGTAAATGTTCTGTCCGTCTCGTACGAATCGTGCAATCTGATAAGCTTACGATGGTTCAAGTTATTCATCGCATCAAGCTCGTTGTACATTAAATTCCTGTATTCGGAACCACCGTACATTTGCTTGGCAGCGTAATTCCTACCAGTATTTCTCTCAGCCGCGTGATAAGTAATACCCTGAGTGCCACGTCCGAGTTCATCGCCAAGATCGTAATCCTCAGCCATGGGTTTAGATTTTGGCTTCACGTCAGCTTTAATGGTGTAATTTTTGTAGCGCCAGTCAGCTTCGCACTCGACCACATGTAGCATAGCCGAGCTTGAGGCTGATCCTGCGACATTACGCGCGGATAGCGAGTAAAGACCTTCGTCTTTCAAGATTACATCTTCAATTATAAGAATTGAGATGTCTGGCTCAACGAATTGCATCTACAATTGAAATAAAATTACAATCGTTAACATTTTATTGTATTTTGAAAGAAATTTTAATTGAGAAATTACCTTGATACGAGTTGAAGGTGCAAGAGGTTTCCAATCTTTATACCATTTGAGCTCTGGATATGGTACTCCGGTAACTCTACACTCGAATTTAGCACATTTGCGTATCATCGTATGAGTCTCGTCAGGCCGAGTGATGAATGTCGGATATTCGGCGATTTCAAGTTGCACGCGTTGTCTTGCCACGCCGTGTTCGTTTGTGGCGACAGCTTCGTATTCACCAACATCACGCTCAAGCATTTTATTGATAAATAATGTAGCTTGTCCATTCCTCGTATAGGTATAATCGTAACGACCGCCAGGTTCAATCAATTGCCCATTGAAGTAGTAAGTCATCTTTGGCTTGGGATACCCATAGACGAACCAAAAGAGTTTTGAGTTTTGATTCTTGACGCCATATTGTGTGTCGTGCTCTTGTCTTAAGAACCTCGGCGCCTGAGCATAATTATCGTGTGGTGGTCTTTCGATATCAAAATCCTTCGGAAAGTACGGGCTTGTCTCAGGTCTGAAGTCAATACCCGGAGGTAAGTATGGGTAAAACTTGGGTGGATCAGGTTCCAATTTCGATCTATAAGTCTGAGCGTATGCCGAAGGTTCGCTGATTCCGTATTTGTTCTCAACACGTACACGAAAACGATAGTCACGGAAGGGTATGAGATTACGAATGTCACAGACACAGCCACGAATCCCACTGCGAGCGCTGAACCAGTCGCCATCGGGTAGCTCACACATTTCAACTTGGTAGGTGACGGGTACACGAGGGATCGTTGGAATGGATGGTTTCCAGGAAAGTGTGAGATGACGATCCATCATGCGACTGATGATTGGACGATCGGCAAGAGGTAAAGGTACACCTGATTTACGGTATTTATCAAATTCGGCGTACTGATCGACCAAACGCTTCTTCTTTGGTTCCAGGGCTGTAAATGGACACATAAAGTTATCGTAATTTTCCTCGTGGATAATTGACTAATTCATTTTAAGTGTAAACTTACTTTCGAAGATCATGTCACCGGTAGATTTAGCTTCACCATGCGGATTCCAAATGCGTAAAGCATATTTGCCAACATCATCCTCATCAGCGTGGTAAATAGACAATCTTAACAGACCAGAACCTTCGTTCTCAATAAGAATACGATCAGTAGGCCAGAGTTTAGTATTGTCACGATACCACTCAAACTCAGGCTCGGGGAATCCAGTAACGCAAGCTGTGAATTTAGCAGTCATGCCCTTGTACACTTCGCAATCATTAACCCTCTTCAGGAAAGACGGTGCTTCTACCTTTTGTATCTTATCCCTAATTAAACAAATCGTTACCATAAAATGTTTGTAAAACTCTTCAGGTTCTTTTTTTGTAAAGAATTAATAATTCTTACAGTTCTTTAACGACAGACAGATTAGCTTCGCAATCAGCTTTGCCTTCTCTATTAGAAGCACGGCATTTATACCGCCCAGTATCGGCAAGACAACAATCTTTTACATATAAACATACAGATTCTCCATCGCGCTTGATTTTGTATTTATCATTGTCAGCTACAATCGGTTGATCGTCAAAGTACCAGGTGATTTCTGGTTGTGGAATACCACTAACTCTTGCAGGGAACTTGGCGCTGTGGCCAATCATCTGCTGCAAATCACTGAAATGTTGAATGAACGACGGTGCTTGGAAGACTTTCCGAACTGTGACCGGAGCTCCACCTTTAATGACTCCATGTGGATTACGTAATTCACAAGCGTAGTGTCCAGTATCTTTGCTAATACTCGGGTTAATCTCAAGTTTGACCTTACGACCATCGCAACTTGCAAGGACACGATTGGACAATTCCAATGGCTTGTTATCTTTCGTCCACGTAATATCAGGCAGAGGGTTGCCAGTGAATAGGGCTTCGAGGATGAGAGGTTCTCCTTCTTCAACGCTAATGGGATGGAATGGCGAGAGAAGTTTGGGACCTTCCTCTGGCTCATTAGCACGGGTCTTACCGATGAGTTCAAGTGGTGCTTTACACGATTGTTCACCTTGATCACTGCTAGCTATCACTTCGTATTCTCCTGCATCAGCTGGTCCGACTTTGTCGATTACCAGAGCTTGACTACCGTCAGGTTGGTCTACGATTTTTATGTGCTGACCATCTGGAATAATCTAAGAAAAATAAACATGTTTAGTTTTGAACAAATTTACTATAATTAAAAAATAATAAGACCCATTATTAATTAACCTCTACTCCATTGTGAGTCCATTTTAATAAAGGCGCTGGCTTTCCAATAGCCTTAACCTCCATCTTTGCTGGAAATCCTTCGACAACGCTCATGGGATGAAGCGTGCCGACGAAAGTAGGTGGTTTTTCGATTTCTTCGACTATAACTTCAGATATACCAGTAATCTCGCCTATGTCGTTGGAAACGACAAGTGAGTAAGTACCAGCGTCTTCTAGTTTTAATTTCTCAATAGTCAAACCGATGAGACCATTGGGCTCGTTAATGAAGTAATTATCCTTTGATGGATAAAGCGGTCTGCCGTCTTTGAGCCACTGAACTGTTGGATTGGGAAAAGCTACTACTCGAGCTTCTAATTTCAGTAGATCACCGACTTTGGCTTTTACGTCATCGAGAGACTTGGAAAAGTATGGTTCCTTTGCTTCAGCTGAAATATCATTTTCACGATTTATAAGATATTCTTACTACATTGCCTTTTTAATATTAAAACAGAACTCACGTCTAACTGCAACAGCACATTGAGACGGGTTATCACCACCAGTATTAGACGCCACAACCTTGTATGCTCCGGAATCTGTCGGTTTTACACGGTCAATGAATAACCTCATAGTACCATCTGGTAAAGTTTCAATCTTCAAATGATCATCTGGCTTAATAAGTTCACCATCCTTGTACCATGAAACTTTAGGTATAGGACTGCCATCGCATTTAGCGAACAACTCGAGAGGCTCGCCTTGGTCAAGATCCAGTGACGGAGGTAGTGTTGTGAAGAATTTGGGCGGAAACCTCGTCAATGATAATTCAGATACACAGTGAATCGTACCAGCCATATTGGTCGCTTGACAAGAATAATTTCCAGCATCCTTATCACAGAAACGTTCGATGGTGTACTTGCTAATAGTTTCTGGTCCGTCAACGGTTACTTGAATCGTATTCCTCATGTCGTCAAAGATTTCTATTCCGTTCTTCATCCAGGTGATCGTGGGACGAGGATATCCTGTTACACGCACTTCGCCTTCGTAGTTGTTTTGATCGCGCACGGACTCATAATTTGGTAGTTCCTTTGTGAAGACTGGCGGCTCAGCTAAATCGACGAAAGCAAAAATGTATTAGTTACATATTACAAAATGAAATTGAAAGAATTTACTATACTCACTGAAAGGCTTTAACAAAGCTTCCTCAGATGCCTCTCCCATATCGTTAGTCGCAACGATTTTATAACACCCAGCGTCGGGAATCTCAACACCTTTGATTTTGAGTTTATACGTCTTCTTTTTATACTCATCCTCCGTAGTGAAACGCTCATCTAAGGTAACATCGCGACCATCACAATACCATTTGATAGTAGGTCTGGGATTTGCTTTGATTGTAGCTTCCCAAGTGACATTCTCGCCAACTGGTGCCATTAGATTCTTGAATTCCTCGATGATTGGGATAATGCGCAATTCCAAATCGGCCTTTAATGTAAAATGAAAAGTAAGGTGCGTGTAAAATTAACAAAAATTTATTTTAATATTTAAAAATATTCTTACATTTGTTGAACATTCGCCGTATTCATTCATCACTTGCAGCATGTAATTACCACGATCTCCAGGATTAGTTTGAGTAATCTCAAGGGTATAAGTGCATTGTTTCAGAGAATCTTCAATAACCTTATGAGTAACTTTTGCCGTGTGTCTTCCATCATCAAGGTCAATTATTTCACCATTTAATGACCTGTAAATTTTATTTTCACATTATTTTTTCATAAAGTTCATATATTTCGAGTACAGATGTCAAGCTTTTAAGTGAAATTTGCTTACCAAATAGCTTCTGGAATTGGATCACCAGTAATAACAGCCTTGAAAGTACCAGTTTTACCTTCATCTACATCGGCATCGGTAAGTGGTTCGTTAAGTTTAGGTCTACGTAATTCATCAACGGGTTCGACGGTCAAGAAACCTTCAACCGATTTTTCACCCAACTTATTCGTAAATACGACGGTGTATAGGCCAGAATCTTCTTCAAGAGCTTTCGTGACATTAAGTGTGAAGGTTTCACTGACATTTGCATACTGAATGCGTTTGGACGTTTTTAGTGGTTCACCATCTTTGAACCATTTAGCTTCTGGTCGTGGTAAACCAGTTGCTTTCACTTCGAATGATGTACTTTGTGTTGCGAAGATGTCGCGATCCTCGAGCGTTGAGCTGATTATTTCAGGAGATGCTGCATTAAAACAAAAAATTAATATCAGATTATAGAATACATATCTTAAAAATAAATATAATACTGCAGAAAAGAAGACTAAGCGGCAAAATTCTCTATAAAATATTTCGAACATACATACGTTTGTAGGATATACTCATCTGAAATATGACGCACCTCGTAGAGGACGTACTGACTCTAGTGTTTTCGTGCTGGCAAAGCGCATGCATGTAAACATTTGTTTATGACAAATGCGGTGAAGGTGCAATTATAACACAAATGCGTGATACACAACAGTAAATTACTAGCAACACATACACATAAAAGTGACGAGAGTGATAAAACAATGTGCTATTGAAAATGTACATTTGTTTTTTGATGTTTCAATGAACGAACTCTTGTAAAGATAATAAAATAGAGTGTAAATTAATGGATATTGTGTGTAAATGATTACCTCCATTTTCGATCTCTTGTTTATCTGATTTCTCGTTGTGTGTCGACGTTTGATATTTTATACTGTCTACATTTTCTTGATTTTTCATTAATTTTTGTAAGTCATGCTTCTTCGTTACCTCAACTATGCACTTATCAGAATCGCTTCCATCGCGATTTTTTATTTCAACTTGATAAGTAGCCGCGTCATCCTTCATCATTTTAGAAATTTGCAAAGAATATCTATTACCATCTTTTTCAATCTTGATTCTTTCATCTACGTTTAAAGTTTTTCCATCCTTCATCCAAGTGACTGTCAATGGAGAATAAGATTCAACCTCAATGTACAATATTAACTGTTCACGCTCCTCTATCGAATGATACTCGCCAAGTTTCTTCGTAATTCTTGGCGGATATCTCACTGTGACTTCTGCAGACTGCGATACCTCAGCAACTTCATTCTTAACTACCACTGAATATGTACCTTCGTCTTCCATTTTAGCATCGTTGACTACAATCGAGTACATATTATCATCATCCTTTAAACAAATAATTCTACTGGACTCTTTGATAGGTTTGTTATCTTTAAACCACATTACTTCAGAAGTTGGTGATGCTTGAACTTGCACAGATAATTTAATCGTTGCTCTACGAGGAATGGAAATATCACTCATATTTTTAATGATTTTTGGTCCAGCCTGTGAAATAGACGATTTTCGTCTAACATCAATATCTTCACTTGGTTGATTTTTTATTACATGAATAACACATTCATCAGAACATTTACCGTCTTGATTTGCAATTTCTACTGTGTAAGAAGCAGAGTCATTCTTGATAAGATTAAATATTTTTAAAGAATATTTATCACCGTCTGCTTCAATTTTAATTCTATCATTTGGGTGAATTATCTCCCCATCTTTCATCCAGATAACCGTCAGAGAATAGTATGATTCAGCTTCAATAGATAATGTCAAAATATCACCTTCTTCGATTACTCTTGAATCGCCGAGTTTTCTGATGATTCTTGGTGGATACCTGACGGAGACACCAGCAGATTGCGCTACCTGACCGATTTCATTTTTAGCCACTACTGTATACGTACCAGCATCTTCAAGGCAACCATCTTTGATTGAAATTGAGTATGTATTAGCGTCATCCTTATTATAAGTGATTCTACCGGATTCTTTAACAGGCTGGTTGTCTTTGAACCACATTACTTCTGGAGCGGGTATTCCGTGAATTTGAACTGACAATATTACCGTTTTTCCGGGAAGTACAGAAACGTCACTTAGATCTTTAGTAATCTTTGGTGCGATCTTTGAAATCGACGATTTTCGCCTTTGACTTTTATCTTCGCTTACTTGCTTCGCCAGAACTTCAACTCGGCATTCGTCGGAATATTTTCCATCTTGATTTTCAATTTTAACTTTATAAGAAGCAGAATCATTCTTGAGAAGTTTAGATATCTGTAATGAATATTTATTACCATCTGCTTCTGTTTTAGTTCTGTTGTCGGCCTGGATTATTTCATCTTCTCTCATCCAAGTAACTGCCAATGGAGAGTAAGCCTCAACTTCAATATAAAGTACTAAACTATCACCCTCTTCGATCAATTTGGGCCCACCTAATCCTTTAGTGATTCTTGGCGGATATCTGACAAATACATCTACCGATTGCGCTACTTGACCTACTTCATTCTTAGCCACTACTGAGTACGTACCCGCGTCCTCTAGGCTTGCATCTTTGATTGTAATCAAGTACATATTGTCATCACCTTTCGTACAAATTATTTTATATGATTCTTTAACAGGTTGATTGTCTTTAAACCATATAACTTCTAGAGCTGGTGATCCTTGAATTTGTACAGACATATTGATTACCTCTCCCGGAAGTACAGAAACATCACCCATACTTTTAGTAATTTTCGGCGCTGTTTTGGATACAGACGATCTTCGCCTCACTAGTTTATCTTCGCTTACTTGCTTTTTGATTACTTTAACTCCACATTCATCAGAACATTTGCCATCCTGATTTTCTATTTGAACTTTGTAAGAAGCCGAATCATTCTCTTTAAGATCAGATATTTGTAAGGAATATTTATTACCATCATTTTCTGTTATAACCCTATCACTGATTTTGATAACTTCATCGTTCTTCGTCCAGGAAACCATGAGTGGATAGTGCGATTCAGCTTCAATATATAATACTAAACAGTCACCTTCCTCAATTAATCTTGGTTCACCAAGTTTTTTAGTAATTTTTGGTGGATATCTCACGCAAACATTCGCAGATTGTATTATCTGGTCAACTTCGTTTTTAACTACTACTGAATAAGTGCCTGCATCTTCGAGACTTGCATCTTTGACCGTGATTGAATATATTAAATCAGCATCCTTCATAAAGGCAATTCCATCAGATTCTTTGATAGGCTTGTTGTCCTTCAACCACATTACTTCTGGTTCTGGTGTTCCTTGAATTTGTACAGACATTTTAATCATCTCTCCTGAAAGTACGGAAATACCACACATCATATCTTGAATGATTTTGGGTGCGATTTTAACAACTGACGTTTTCCGCCTAGCAGGTTTATCTTCACTTGATTGCTTTTTAGCTATCTGAACTCTACATTCATCAGAACATTTTCCATCTTGATTTGCAATTGTGACTTTGTAAGTAGCTGTATCAGCCATAACAAGTTTCCTAATTTGTAAAGAATATTTATTACCATCAGCCTCGATCTTAGTTCTCTTATCAGTCTTTAGTATTTCCTCATCCTTTATCCAGTTGACTGTTAATGGATAATGGGACTCAGCTTCAATATATAATGTTAAACTATCATTTTCAGCTATTAATCTATGTTCTCCAAGTTTTTTCGTAATCTTAGGAGGACATTTTACTGTCAAATCTGCCGATTGCGAAGTCTGGCCGATGTCATTCTTTGCTGTTACCGTATATGTACCTGCATCTTCAAGTTGTGTATCTTCGATCGTGATCGAGTATATATTATCAACGTCTTTTGAGATTAAGATTCGATCAGATTCTTTTAGAGGTACATTATTCTTGAGCCACTGAACTTCTGGAGCAGGTGTTGCTTGGATTTCTACAGGTATTTTGATTATCTCTCCTTGCTGTATAGATATATTGCTAATACCTTTATTAATCTTTGGTGCAGATTTAGAAAGAGATAACTTTCTTTTAAGTTCCTTATCTTCACTTTTTTCTTTCTTTAATACTTTGACAGCACATTTATCCGAGCATTTACCGTCCTCATTTTCAAGTTCAACACTATAAATAGCCGTGTCAGTTTTAACAAGGCCTGAGATTTGCAAAGAATGCATAATACCATTAATCTCGATTTCAATTCGCTTGTCAATTTTAATTGTCTCCTCATCCTTCATCCAGGTGGCCGTTAGTGGAGATTCTGATACAGCCTCTACGTACAACGTCAAGGTGTCATCCTCATCCAGAACCTTTGACTCGCCAAGTTTTTTAATTATTATTGGTGGACATTTAACGGTTACATCGCAAGACTGAGAAGCCTCATTGACTTCGTTTTTAGCTACCACTGTATATCTAGCTGTATCCTCGGATTTCACGTCTTTGATGATAATCGAGTAGGTATTGTCAGTATCTTTGGAAATCGATACTCGATCGGATTCTCTTATAGGTTTATCGTCTTTGTACCATTTGACTTCAGCAACAGGTGATCCTTCAATTTGTACAGGTATTTCTATGGATTCTCCTCGTTGAACAGTCACGTCACTGAGAGAATTACTGATTTTTAGGGTAGATTTGGATTGACCTTCGTTTATTGGTTTCTTTATCACCTGAACCTTACAATCGTCTACAGCTATTCCATCTTGATTTTTAACTTCAACATTGTAAGTACCAGTATCAGTTTTAACAAGATCTGCGATTTTCAAGGAATGTTTGTTACCATCTACCTCGATTTCGACCCGCATGTCTATTTTAATTACCTCGTTATCTTTCATCCAGATAACCTTTACTGTTTGTTCTGACTCAACTTCGATATTTAACGTCAAACTGTCACCCTCTTCCTGGACGCTATATTCGCCGAGTTTCTTGATGATTCTTGGCGGACATTTGACCGACACATCGCACGATCGTGATGTCTCACCCACTTCATTTTTAGCTATCACAGAGTAAGTAGCTGAATCTTCAGGTCTAGCTTCTTTGATAATGATCGTATAGTGATCTTCAGTATCTTTAGATATAGATACCCGGTCAGATTCTCTAACTGATTTATTATCTTTAAGCCATTTGATTTCTGGAGCGGGTGTTGCTTGAATTTGTACTAACATTTTAATAGTATCTCCGCGCTGTACAGTAACGTCACTCAAAGACTTAAGGATCTTTGGCGCAGACTTTGAAATAGATGATTTTCGTCTACTACTTAAGTCATTATGTTCTAGTTTTTTTTTCACTTGAACAGTACATTCATCCGAACATTTTCCATCCTGATTTACAATAATGATCTTGTAAATAGCACTATCATTCTCGACAACGTTAGATATTTGCAAGGAGTGTTTCATACCAATATCGTCAATCTTAATCCTATCATGATACTTTACCACCTCCTCATCTTTCATCCAAGTAACCTCAGCCGGAGTTTCCGATTCAACTCTGACATATAAATTCAAATAATCGCCTTCTTCAATTAATTTGCATTCATCAAGTTTCTTTATAATTACTGGTGGATACTTAACTTCCACATCGCAAGACTGTGTTATTTCGTCTGTCTTGTTCTTGGCCACCACTGAGTAAGTACCTGCGTCTTGATGTCTTGCATTATCAATCGTAAGCGAATAAGTAATATCATCTTCCTGTGAGGAGTAAACTCGAGAAGATTCTCTGATGAATCGATTATTTTTTAACCACGTAATTTCAGGAGTAGGTATTGCTTCTATTTGCACAACCAACTTAATTGTTTCACCTTGTTGTACGGTTTTGCTGTGCAATGGTTTAATAATTTTTGGAGCTGATTTGTAGCCGTCAATTTCATCTTTTGCTTTCTCTTCAACGAGAGATGTTCGTCTTTCTTTCTGCTCCAAAATTTCGTCAAGTACTGATCGTTGTCGTTTAATACGGTCGAATAATTTCTTCATATCTTCATCATCTTCCTCTTCATCAATCAATTTAGTTCCTTTAATAGAATTTTCTCGCGATAGAGTTTTTTCTCGAGGCTTTTGATTCTCAGTAGAATTTAGTTTCTCGGTTCTAGAGCTCTGCCTAGACAAACCTTCCTCGATAGATCCTCTCTTGGATGTCTGTCGCGTGAGCGTTTTTTCTTCAACTTTGTGATTTTCTACGGATTCAAGTCTCTCAATCTTAGAATTCTGCCTGGATAATCTTCCTTCGTCAATAGAGCCTCTCATTGAATTGTTTCGCGAAAGAGTTTTTTCACGTACTTTTTGACTTTCTGTAGAATCAAGTCTTTTAAATTGTGAGCTTTGCCTCGAGAGAGATTTAGCCTTTTGCTTATCAGGAAATGATAACTCTTGATTCTCGGCAAAACTCTCCTGAGCTAAGATACTTTGTCGTCTTTCAGAAGTTTGCCGTTTATATGCGCTTTCTTCCAGTTTCGCATTTTGCTGGATCGAACATTCGGACATTTCTTTAACGAACTTTATGTCCGAAGTAATGGATTCTCGCTTTTCGGCTTTTTCTTTTTTAACGTTACCTACTGAACTTGCAGTCGACTCGCGTCTAGAGACCGATGCAGATCCATCAATCGATTGTTCTTCGATTATCGTTTGCGTGTAAAGTGCGCGCTTGGTAGAACTTTCCTCTATAACATATCTCGGACGTTCTTCAGTACCACCATTGACAATGGTATACTCTTCCGAATATTCAAAATTAGTGCGCACATCGTCGCAACTCACATCTCGTGAGATACCCTTACCACTCGTATTATCATCGTCCGATACCGATACGATTGACACGCCCCTGTTCACTTTCAGAATGTCGCTTCTACCATTATTTCTTCCGTCCTCACTCTCAGAATAATATTCCTCGACTATTCCATTTTGTCCTCGCAACGAATTCTCTTCTTCTTGGAGTGTATAGCTGTAAGAGGCAATTTCTTCCACCTGTGGACCGTTGATCTCGCTGGTCATTTCTTGACATTCCACCTTCGTTGAAGTCATCTTGCTAATCGAGTGTCTCTCATCAGGACCTGCGAAAGCTCGTCCTATTGTCAGCGACCGATTTGTCGGTGAGATTTGAAGCGTAGCAGAGCATGCGCAAGTTGTTGGCGGTAGTCGCTAATAGAAGCAGTTGCACGTGTTAGTCAAGCTTACAATTATGCTCGATTGTACACTCTAGAATTATTTTCGTTAACATTTACATTTTTTTTCAAATAGTGTACAACTTCACTAAATCTTATGATTAATAGCAATGTTGGTATATTTCATTATTGTTAAATTTTGCCAAACTGAGGACGTACATCATAATTTTAATTAATAAGCATCATAAATGGCAGTCATGATTTTGTTTGCAATATAGCATCTGGGAACGTTTTTATGCTTGTTCAGTATTATGTTGTATACATAGTTTATTAAGTAATTTTATTACTAACAAAATCAATAAACAGATGAAAAATGCTTTATCTTCTTGAAATTATTTTGAATTGTAAGTTGTAAGTAACATTATGTAAGTGTACGGTGTTTGTACAACGATACCTGATAACGTGGACTCATGCTCCGTGGTTGATTTCACAGAAATCGTGATAGTTTCTCCATGCGGACCTTTAACAACTTCGACTTTCTGTTTCTCCACTTTGACACGACCTATGTGCATCACAGATTTTTTCGTTTTCTACAACTACATCTATAAAGCTTTAAAGCTAAATGGGAGATAGAAGCTAAGCTTACAACTTAGTATTCCGATATAGTATTCGTTTTTTGCGCAAGGAAATTATAGGGAACTTAATTGCACGAGTCTACATGAATTTTATATGGTTTAGTTACGTTTATCAATGTGAATATTCCGTTGAGAATTCCATTAGAGAAATCGTTTATTTTACGACATATTGGTAACTTTAGGCATTAATTCAAAAAAAGCGCTTAGACACAACTTCAAATCGAAGTATCTCAATTCTTAATACCTGTGCATATATACGACTTGTTCCGTAAGTTTTAAATTTATCATGCAAAGCTATAATTTTTTTATTCTTCGAGGTTCTCAAGTTAATGAGCTTTGAAAAAAATTATTCGAAAAAATTATTACGAGGCGTATTTACAGTGTGTCAGTGGAGTATGAAAATATAAGAATGCAAACCTTCGGGTTCAGCTTCTTCAGCTTTTTGTGTCTGCTCTTTTATCTCTTCAACTTTAGCAACTTGTTCCTTGTCTTCTACCATTTCTTCAGATTTGGCTAAGCACAATAATTACGTTATAAAATTATTCACTATTCTATTAAAATTAGTCATTGATATTGGAAGGTCGAAAAAGATATGGAAGGATACATTTAAATATTTGTTAAGACTTGACATGAAGACAAAGGGTTCAACTCGAAAATACTCACTGAATAATTTAACTCTGCTAGTCGATAAATCTGGGGTCCTTTTATATTGAAATCATTATAATAAAAACAATGATAAAAAGTACTTACTAAGAACAATAATCTTGCTCTTACTGCTGACAAATCCAAGATCGTTAGTCGCTCGCATCTCATACACACCGCCATCGCTACCCTTTAATAAAGTCACCGTCAGATCGTAATTTTCCAATCTTTGACTATCTCTCGTGATTTTAATTCTTGCATCAGCAGAAACTTCTTGTCCGTCTTTGAACCATTTAATGACAGGATCCGGCACAGAAGATACTTGTACTGAGAGTTGTAGAGTGTCGCCTTCTTTAACTTTCTGATCAGCTAACTTCTTCACAAGTTTAGGTTTGAAATGGACTACCAGAGGAGCAGCAGATTTGCTAGTGCCAACCTCATTTTTGGCTTTACATGTGTAAATTCCAGCTACTTCCGTTTTCGCTGATTTGATGATAAGCTTATACGTATTACCTTCTTCGCTCATGGTAAATTCTTTTTTGGCTTCGGTGATCTGAGAACCTTTGAAATACCATTCCACCTCTGGTTTGGAAAAGCTCTCAATTTCTACAGATAGCACAATATCTTTATCACCCTCTTTGGTGACTGTTTCTTCAAGCCCCTTCCTGAATAATGGAGCAGAGCGCACCTACGAACCAAAATCTTGGTCAGTTAAAAATATCCAATTCGAAAAGAACAATTAATAAGTTTACCTGAATTTTACACTGATCAGAACGTTTTCCATCTTGATTTTCAATTATAACTTTGTAGTTTGCAGTGTCAGTGTCAACGAGATTAGAGACTTGCAAAGTATACTTGTTACCATCTTCCTCAATTTTGATTTTATCACTGATTTTGATCACCTCCTCGTCTTTCATCCATGTAACTGTAGGCGGTAAGTTCGATTCAGCTTCGATGAACAATGTTAAGTTGTCACCTTCTTCAATTAGTTTAGAGTCGCCAAGTTTCTTGGTAATTTTCGGTGGAAATTTGACGGACAAATCCCAGAATTGCGATGTCTCATTGACCTCATTCTTAGCCACCACTGAGTATGAACCTGCATCTTCATGTCTCGCATCTTTGACTGTGATCGAATACATATTGTCAGCTTCCTTGGAGACCGCAATTCTGTCGGATTCCTCAATGAGCTTGTTATCTTTGTACCATTTGACTTCTGGCCCGGGTGAGGCTTGAATCTGTACAGACATCTTGATGGTCTCCTCGTGCTTGACAGAAACGTTACTCATACGTTTGGTAATTTTTGGTGCGGATTTAACTATAAGCTCGATTTGAGTGTTATCTTCACCGAGTTCGTTTCTCGCGCGTATCTTGTATATACCAGCATCCTCGATCGTCACGTTCTTAATGACAAGAGACAAGGATTCTTCGTCCTCCCAAAGGTACTTTATTCGGCCACCGGCGATAATCTCCTGACCATCTTTGGTCCATGTGATATTTGGCTTCGGGAATCCTTTAACCTGGAGATCGAGCATAGCTGAACCGCCAGCGCTAACTTCTGAAGTCTTAGCTTCAGATTGCAGTGCAGGCTTCTGTGGTTCTTTCATCAACTGATTAACGGTACCCTGTACGGTGAGTTCAGCGCTGCAACTAATGTTACCAGTGCTCGTCTGAGCCACGCAAGTGTACAATCCAGCATCTTCGGGTTTAACGTGCTGGAATACAAGGGCAAGTGTGTCTTCGCTGTCCTTGAACAGAACTTTGAAACGTTCCTCGGGATCGAACGGGACGCCGTCGCGTGTCCACATGAACTTCGGCTCAGTGCCAGGCTCAAGCAGACCCTCCGGTAGGCCAGTGAAGATGAGTTTCTCGTCGGTCACGGTAACCGTGGCTTCGCAACTCGTCTCGCCAAAGCGATTTTGTGCCGTGCAGCTGTACTTGCCGGCGTCTTGGTTCTGCACGTCCGGAATGACGATCTCGTAGAAACCCTTGTCCGCCTTATCCTTGATGATCTTGATGCGCTCGTTCTTCGAGTCGATGAGGACATCGTCTTTGAAGCTGCAAATAGCACGTTTTATGATTAATTGAATGCAATTAGCGGTCTGACTAATGGGCAACTATCCGAAAATAAGACTTGAAATTTTGTCAAAACAAATTTTTATCGAACAGAGAGAGGTTCCTATTTCTAGAATTTTTTGGAAGTTGAATCGAATCCAAGAAAAAGGAGAAGTAATGGTTATGATATTGCGGAACTCACAATTTGAGATCAGGGTTCGGATCGCCTTTAACTTTGATCATGAAGCGTAGGTAGGTGTTTTCTAGAAGTTCCGTGTCTTTTAAACGGACTAGGAAGATTGGCGAATTGGCCTCTGCTCTGACTTTCTTTTCTTCAACAGTTACTATGAAGTATAGAGAAAAAACACACATTACAGACGCTACTTATTTGATATCTACAAGTAAAAGCTTACGCTCTTGGACAACAAGTTGTGCAGTGCAGGTAGCTTGGGCATCGCCGTTACTCGCGCGTGCAGTGTAGATGCCAGAATCGGATTCCAAAACGTTCTCGATTTGCAATTTGTAATTGGTACCGTCGATAGTTGTCTTGACGCGATCAGCCAGTTTGTCGTCCATGGGTTTGTTATCTTTCAGCCAAACCATCTTGGGTAAAATGTCAGATGATTTCATCGTACACTCGAATGTTGCGCACTCTCCAGCTGTCAATCATCATTCGGAAAGTGAATGTATGGGTATTTATAACGAGTGGCTTGATCAAATTATAGACAAAGCTTATGTTAAAAAATAATATAAGCGAAGATGACATGAAGTATGAATCACATTATATTTAATTCTTCTGAAAGTCATGAATTTTTTTGTGCTTCGAAAAGAGAGGTAATGAAAGCTATGGGAGCTCTCAGAAGTATTAAACATTGATACTGCTCGTCAGGATAGCATGATATATACCTAGAAAGTATGATTAATTTATTCTGCTACAAACGATTTTAGCGTACATCAATAAAAATAATATATACATATATTTTAGTCTTTCAGCTCCTTTATAGTATATATCTTAATACTAGTCACATAAATACAATACAAAAAGATATGCGTCAATTTATGGAGCATTCAATGTGAGTGTGAATTTGAATAGATGTGGGTGGTTGTGTGAGTGTAGAATTTAGATACATTACTGAAACTTGTTACATAGGAAAATAAAATAATCTTTTTCAAAAATTAGCATTCAAAAGTAAGCGTCTTAAATTGGTGAACACTGAAGCACAGTTGTGTGTATAAGCGTTCAATCGATCATTTTTTTTTTGTAAACAATGAAGCCACTAAAGTAAAAAAAAGTGAATTAGAAAAAGAGATAGAGAAAAAAAAACAGCCGAAAATGAAAATAAAACGATGCCTAGTTTGAAAAATATAAGTAGAAGAAAAAAAATTTAGTTAAATAAACGATGAAATATATACACCACGCTATCGAGTTGACTTTACCTATGACGTGTAACATAGCCAATTTTGCTCGAGATTCTAGAACAAGGAGAAATGTAATTTTTACAGTCTGAACACCAATTCATTATTATTCATCGTTCATCATCAACTACTTTATTGCTTTTATTGAATGAGACAAACGTGAAATTTTCGTTGATGAATTAACCAGGTACCGTTTCGAAACGGGGGTTCCTTAAATTTATTTAACAGCAAAAACCAAATAAATCATCGAATTATAGTCGTAAACTTACGTTCAACTTGACATCCTTCGATCGTCTTCTCGAATTCAGGTTTACCAGCTGCATTTGTTGTTAAACCGAGCCTAGCAGTTGTATTACCGCCAGCCACTGCAGTCTGCTGATACGAGCTCGAGGTTTCGATAACCGAACCACCACTTTGTTGAATGTTTGTTGTTGAGCTTGCCGCATAGGAAGACGAAACTTCCGTCGACATTCGGCTGCTCGACATGCTCGTGAACGAAGACTCTGCAAAAATATAGCAACGTTTAACTATTGTTTGATCGTTACTCAACCACAAGGAATATGAACTCGTAATATTGTAACAGCTTATTATTCTGATGCAATAGTAAAGTTGGCGACCGTCCAAAAAAAAAAGTCGCCTGATAAAACAAACGAAGTGCGTCGATTAAGCAAAGTTTCACTCGCGTACGAACCTTCGATGACGTTGGACGAGGCGCTGAAGCGACTCGACGAATATCGGCGTGACATATCTCCAGCTGGTGGTAGCGCCTCCGCGGGTGATGATACCTTGTCCTCGGTGAGTTGCAAATCGTCGGCCGCGTGTTCCGCAAGAGCTACGACATCGCTTGCGTGAAGACGGATTTCCTTCAGCCAAGTCTCCTTTACTGGATCCTTGTGCGCGGTGAAGCTTATCGGATGACCTGGCCCCGGCGATTCCTTCGGATGAAGCTCGAATTTACGAGTGTCGTCGGGGTAGTCCTTTAGCTCGACTTCTGGTAACTGGCGAGATGGGCAAACGACTTAACCGACTCCAAGTCGATGTTTCTTCTGGCGTATAATCGAGCGTGAAATTAAGTTGAGTTGACTTACTCGGATGATGTCCTTGAGGATAAACACAGATCTGTCTTCCGAGATGCGTCTGACCTTGCAGACTAAAATGCGCGCCTTGAAGAGGAAGAGGTAACGTTCCTTGCTCTTGCCTTCTTTATCGGTCACGGTGAACCATTCCTAGGAATCGGCCGAAAAAAATGCTCTCGATGACTCTTTTCATTAGTTGGAAATCACCAGTTTGAAAATCTGAAAATCGATACTCACGTGCGTGAGTAATCTACCAAGTTTGTGGATGTTGCCTTTGAAACCTTCGATATTACTGGTGAATTTATTATCACTTGCTTGGTGTGGGATACCAAGCATCAACTCTAGAGCCTTTTGGAGATCTTCGCTATCCTCGCCCAACCGGGTCGAATACTTTACCAACTCCTACGATTTTGTTTCATTCGATAATGTATGTTTTGAAGATATTGATATCGATTAAAACGTTCGTGTGACAAGGTATTCGTACATTCTAAAATACTTTGTTGGTGGCATTAATTTGAAATAATTTGCCTGCTACGAAATTAGATAATAATAAAGGAACAGCTTATTTATAAAGTCTAGCTGTAAAATACCGGTCTATTTTCGTCCTGTTGACGGTAAATATGAAAATATTGCTGAAGGAGATTTTTCCATCTCGACTCTGGCGGAGTTCCATCGGATATACAAACATCCGCAACGTTTAATGCGATAAACTATATAAATTTGACATTAAATAAAAATCATCGGGAGTGATATAAAAAAGAATCGTTAAGAAAGTAAGTCTTCATTTCCCACGTGCGCGTTCGCAAATCAATGAAACACGCCGTGCTTGTCTCGTAAGATTTTTTTTTTTTTTTCACAAAATCAAATCACTCCGAACGTAAAGAGCTATTTTTAAATAAAAGCGCGCAACAGCGCAAAGCGTCGAAAATAACCGGTGCAGAAAGCGATGGGGCGATAAATATATTCGCGCGGAAGTGAATAGGCTATGAAAACATGACAAATGTGACGATCTATCTTGGAAATTATATAAAAATCCGTTGATCCGCTCTAAAGGGACGAGACGAGTTGGATCGGACGGAGAGCAAGCAGGAAGATACGTCGGGTGGTACGCGACAATCGCGATGAGGTGTAAGGCAAGGAAGAGATCGCAGCTAAATAGTTGACCATGCGTATCGCGCGGCCTCGCGAGGGGGATGTAACACGATCTACGGCCACGGTATTGGACATGATCCAAGGCTACAATATCGGCGCCTTATATCGACGAGAGAACGGCTGCTTACCTTGAGCAAAAGTTGATAGTCGTTGATGCGCTGGATCGGTAGCTTCAGGTGCTCCGAGAGACTCTTGTCGTCGCCGAGTTTCTGGCTCAGCTCCTTTTTCGGGCAAAACAAACCAGAACCAGCGATCAATAGCCCGCGAATAAAAAGAAAATAAATAAAACAAGCGCTCGCCGCCCAATGATTTTGCAATGAGCTAACGGCTAATATCTGGCCAACTTTCAAAACAGACGAAATATGAAAAAGGCCTATTAATAGCCGTCCGGCGCCGAATAGTTCGTCATGGTATTGGTATTTTTGGAGCGATCGACGTCGCACCGCAAATATAGCACTTACGAATTAAGGGCGCACTTGGTCGTCGCAATTAGAGAAAAGAAAAAAGAAAAAGGAGAGCACACGTGACACAAACACACAGCCGCGCACCTAGGGCGAGACGGAAGTGGAGCGCAAGAGCTTGTTGTCGAACGAAAAGAAGACAGCAGCGCGGCGACGGTAGTGGCGACGGCGGCGGCGGCGGCGGCGTCGGCGGCGCTCGGCGCAACAGAACCAGACTGGACCGTCTTCATTCTCTCATTTCGACATTCGGGATGGTAGTCGGTGGTTAGCGAAATCCCTACCTCCGCGACGTCGATGTTTAGAGCTAAGCATTTCTCTCTCCCTCTCTCTCTCTCTCTCTCTCTCTCTATCTCTCTCGCTCTCTCCCACCCCCGCTTCGCGCTCTCTGACTTTGAGCGTTCGGAACGTATAAAAAGCGCGACGGAAAAAAGAAGCCCGACCGACATATCGGCCAGGGTTAACGCGCGGCGATATTCCTTTTGATTCGGCGACCCGTCGCTTTTCTTTCTCTCGCTCGTTGGAGGTGGAGCGGCGAGACGAGTTGAGTTTAGAACGAGACCTACTTCTCGCGCGCGCCTGAGCGCATCACACCGGGCGCCGTGTTTACGTCGTTTGGGAAGCGTTAGGGCTGTCTCGCGCCTCGGATTGATCGACGACGCGCCGTCGAGCACGCGACGCGTTACGCTTCTGACGACGATGACGCGTGCCCGCCGATTTATTTCTGGAGGGCTCAGTGTGCCACGGACTTGCGATATCAGCTGACGTTGCACTACAACTACATTTGCCGCGTGCAAGCTGCCTCAAGCGCGCGCGCAAACGTAACCGTATCACGCGGTGATTGTAACTTCGCTACGAAAAATAAGCAACGTCGAAGAAAGCCCATTCAAGCGCTTCGAAATAGACTGGCAAAATGTATCCCATGTAAATTAGCCTACAAACGAGTGAACGCCCGAGAAAATAAGATTACAAGCGTGGCGTTGAAATAAAAAAAAAAAGAAACAAAGTCGCAAAACGTTCCCATGTTAAAATAAGCGAAGCTATTTTCGTTACTGGACAGTCGCCCGTGAGCGCGTACGCGTACGTGCAGGCGCCCTCCCGCCGTTATGCAATGTTACATTCGCTCCTCGTCGAGCGCTTTTCCCATGGCCCGCGAAAGTCGGGCCGAGCAAGAATGTCATTTTGCTCGAATGACACGGCGTCTCACTCCTTTCATCGACTGCCGACTCGACGCGAGAAACGAGAATTTTAAACGTCATTTAGTTTTTGGCTTTTTTCGGCATGTGACTCAGTGAAACAGACATTTTCGAGGAGCGAAACGCGAGCTCCACCACCGGACTTCTAGGCTTATGTTGGAAAAACGCGAAAGCTTTAGTGAATAAATGCAATAATTTTTTCACGTCTTTTGAGGCGTACAATCTGTTTGGCACCGAAGCAAGAGCAGAAAACCATTTGACAGTGGGTTAGGTTGGTAGAGGAATAACTTTCGGTTAAACGATTCCTTCCAATGAGCTATAAATAACAAATTTGTACGAGAGATAGATATCTTCTTTACCGTGGCTTCTGCAAAGCTAAAGTTACCGACGTACGATTAGATATAATCTTTGCGACATTGTTTATCGACCGTATTATCCGCTGGAAGTGTGGAAATCAACGTATTTCAAAATATGGGTTTATTGCAATGTGTATTTAATCAACATATATGAGTTCTCAGCACATTGAACATCGCAATTATCTTGAAATATACGGTAATCCAAGACAAATGAATAAGTAATATAAACGGGACTCCAACGTAAACAATTGAATACGCAATCGAACCGACAAGTTTTTAGAGCCGTCTGGAACATTTTTCATTGCAAAAACAAACTCTTAACGTGCGATTAGCTAACGCTCTGGCATAATCGACGTAACGTAAGCACCATCTTTATGAGCTCGCAATCAGACCTGTATTATGTACACTAATACTGCCTTTTTTCCATGAAGCGCTGTTACTTGGCAGCAATGGGTTCTCCAAACAGTTTCGTTTTTCCGAATCGAATTTCGCTGCTGGTAAGAAAAAAAGAATCGATAAAATGCAGATTAACGTCTATCTAAAATTGAACGTGATTTCAGGTTTTAGCACTGATTATGTCGAGCATTATCGTGATCAACAGCGAAAAATTGTCAAAATCGGAGGAACGCAGATCCGAGAGAGAAACAAAAGTGAACAGGACTAGAATTCTCATGATCGAGCGGATATTTCATAGCGCATTTCGTAAATGTCATCTGCCTGATTCAAACGAGCTTGTACTACTTAAAAATTGGCGCGAGCAACGTAAACAATGCGTCCTCCGTGATCTGCGCGAATCAGAGTTATGGACAAACGAAGATTATTTGGGTGAAAATAAAAATGAAGAGGAGATCTCGAAGAGTCCAAGAGCCGACGAGAAACTAAATAGCACCGGCGATCCAATAATTGTAAGCATGAACGTGACGATCAGCGAAGATGATACCGACTCCATTCTCGACCACTCTTTCGCACTCGCTCAAGCGTTGAGAGACATTCCACATGCGCTCGAGTTCATCTTGAGGGGAAACATTAATAGAAGGGATAAGTCGAGCGACCAGTGAGATAATAGCTTCCTTACCTCGAAATATTCTCGAACCTGGTCGTTTGCCTGAAGGAAATCTTGAGCTGCCGGCTCGTCTCTGCAGTAAACCACGTGTTTGTCGAATTCTCTTGCCTAGAATAAATATTTCAAATGATTTAGTATCCGAAGCTCACCCTGTTATTTATTGCGTCGGTCAAGATTTTACGCTGAATCGACTGTTTTGAGAAAAAAAAACTACTCGTTCGAGAGTATATCGATGGAAATTGAGCAAACAATGTAGATCAAAGGACAAACCGTATTAACCGTTTGCAAACAAGCTTCAAAGCGAACTGTGTTTGTAAAACTTTGTTGAAATGTGTCAAACATTGCGATTCAACGTAAAACGATTAAGCCAGAGTCTAACGGATAAGGAGGTAACTCACCAATCTAAGGAAAGTTTTTCCCAACATGCGTGGCTCATTGGCATAGTATTTGACACCCTCGATCAAGACCCTGCCGAACGATCTAAGTAAGGCCGGAATTATTGTCGTGCCAAGGTCACTCCACACTTACGTGCTAAAACCGCTGTTACATTTTGTTTAATTTGCCACAAAATCTCGACACAAAACGGGCGAAAACCTGGCATCGTTGTCATGTGCGTGCCGGTAACGTTGATTTAGGATTTAACTACACTTTATCTACGTTGTCTTTAATCTTTTCACAGGGAGCCAAAAAAACATTCAACTACGGATGTGACTCTTTAATATTTTAGTCATGAATGAGTGATCGACGCTTTTTAAACGCTGTTTAGCGGAAACCCACACAGATGTCATTTGACAGATACTTGATTTCTTTAAAATAACGATGAATGGATGACCACTTGATTATTGACGATGTACATGGCGTTTTAGATGATTCGTGGGATGGACACAAAAGTTACACCAGTTGATTTACTCGAAAAAAAAAATATATAAATAAATAAAATAAACCAACGCTAGTCGTTACACGATGTCACCAACAAAAACCACCACAAATGATCACGCTCACAATTCTCTCTTTGATATTTTGGACTTACGCAGTTTCGTGACTGAAAAGCTACGGAAAAAACGTTTACACTGGATTGTTTGCGATTGTGGCGTGTACGTGTGTGTTTGTCGCACAACGCGCATCCAAGCTCCCCCCCCCCACCCCCGAAAAAAAGTCTTTAAATAAAACAGCTTTTACTTCGGCTCCGCACGCGAAAGTATTTTCGCGAGTAGTTGCGCTTCTAAATTTACTAATGCGCGAAACACAAGGCTCGGCGCGGCGAGATTTCAAAACGCTTGTTCTTTCGCTTGTAAAGATGTCGCGATGTCAATTAAAGCCGCTCGCTGCTCGCAGGCCGATCGTTAGCTCTAATTGAATGACCGAGCCGTTGAAAAACGCGCGTTTAATTGAAGGATAATCGCGCGTTCCGTTTTATAAATAAACGTCGGGTGCAACGATGTCTGGTATATGCCTGTTGTGTTTTCCCGTGTGTCGGAATTCGTTTGCAAGCTCGCTCGCAATCGTCGCATACTTACGTATTGTGAAAGTCGGCGATCTGCTTGAGATTCGTGAAGATGAGCTCTTTGTTGTCACGCACGGCGCGCGGCACGTCTGGATTGTCGAGCGGTTTCAGATACTTCTCCACCACCATCTGCAGGTCGCGACCGAATTCTTCCTCGGTCTCGATCAGCTCTTTCATCACTGCCCTGCAACCACGTTCATTTGGCGCGTCAACTCGTGAAATTGTCGCGCGGCGTCGGTGACTCGCCGATTTATTTGTGAATCGTTCGCGTAGAGAAACGCCGCATGGCAGTCGAGTGGATTTACGCCGCGCTTTCTTTTTCTCGCCGCTGATAAAATTGACGCGCGCGGATATATGAGTCACGCGGAAAGTGCAGCCATGAGGAAACTCGACGAGATCGCGCGAGAAAGAAGTGGATTGAAAGCCAATTTTAACCGATGTTTGTAAAACACAGCGGGCAAAGCAGATATTTGGAAACACGAGAGCCTGATAAATATGCCAAAACCATGCAATTGATACAATTGGGATAGGTTTCGAGGGATAATGGCCCGAACAAGCTTGGTTTTTAGCATCGACGAGCTCGCGCCGACAGCCACTCGGGACGGGAGGTTGTTGAATCGAATCGAGCGCGGCTCGCTATTTCCGTATGGGATGTAACGGGGCGCGTTTACGCGCAAAGCGGTAAACTTACTCTCGTCTGCACTGCGAATCCTCGGGCTTGTGATGAGCCGTCGAGTCCTCGCTGAGCGCCGTTTGCATCAGAATGGACATGGGCAGCCATCCCTGCGTGCCGTCCGCTTTCCTCACCAGCGCCCTAAATCCCAAAACAAAAAACAAACGAGCACAATTGCTGGCCGGACGGTCGAGCGGGCGCCGCGTGGCCGAAGCAGCCAATAAAGCAAAAAAGCCAGCAGCTTGGATGCGCGTGACCATAATGCATCGCATTGGCGCGCGAAAATATGCCTCTGACTAATCCCCAGCAGCTGGCTTCGAGCCGAGCCTGCTAAAATATGATAATACTTTGAGGACAAAGCGTGCGTGCTTTAAATTATCAAAGTCGGCGTCGATCCGCGAGACAAGCAGCCAGCGCGCGCGTCGACACGGCAAGCGGCAAGCGACAAGCGGCAAGCGTGGCAAGAAGCGCCGAGAGAGAGAACGATAGCGCTAAAAGCATCGCAGCCGCTTGACCCACCTGGAAGAGGCGGCCTGCGAGATCAGAACTGCCCGCGGGTCGGCGTATTTTCGTCGCGGCCTCACCGACAGCTTGTGCCGCGCCGCCGAGTTGTCCAGGCGCTTGCCGATCTCGCCCACGTCCAGGCTCGCGTCGATCCTCGCCTCCCTTCCGACCACACATCGCCATTATCGCACGCGCTTCCCTCGCCTCGTATCTCGCCTCGTTTCTTCCGTTCTTTTCCGTTTCAAGGGGGGCTTTTCTCTTCCTCCCGGCTTCGAGCGGCAGGCGAGAGCTGCGCTCCGCTCGGTCTCGGTGCGCGCGTGCACGACGGAAATAGATGCACGAGAGCGCGCGTACACTGGAAAGCCGAGAGAACTCGGGGATACGCGACACGCGACACGCGACGGCAAAGAGGCGTGAATTGGGACGAAGCGCCCGGAGTTTTCCAAAACTTTCCAGCCGAGCTCTTTGCCCATTCGAGAGTCGCTCTGGTACTCGCGAAAACAAAAAGCTCGCCCGCGCGAAGATCCACGCTGAGCTTCGCTGCCTGTGGCCGGAGCCGCGCGATCGCTCGACACACGTTTGCATCTCCGTCCTTTCGATTCCGTTCGAACGAAAGTCAAGCTTACAGTCGGATATTCGCGTAGCATCGGTGGAGCAACGATTATCGAAAAATAACCACTCCAGAATGTTCTCGTGCGCGAGACTGTAGCTCGGAAGTAATCGAAAATAGCTGGTTAAGCGGGCTATGCCCGCTACTGCACGCAAACGCGCGTCACGAACAAAAATCGACTTTCGGCTCTCGCGAGAAGACTTGCTTCTCGATTGTTTTCGAAGAGGCCGTCTCTCGAGCGAAAATACGGTTTCTCTGACAAAAAGATGAAAGTCGGATGATTCGGTCGGATGATTCAGGGGACGACGAAGCGCGAAGAAGCAGCAAAAGAATCGAGCTGTACGCGCGACTCGGTAAAAATGAGCGGAAGTCATCCGCGTAACGTTCTATCTGTTATCGGAGACAGCGATATATATTCCACGCGGCGACTGAAAATACCAGCTCTCGCGCAGGCTCTCGCTCGGAAATAGCACGAAGCCAGCGAACTTGAACGTTTGTTTGTCCTTCCCTCGATGGACATTTCGCTCGCGCTAACGATGAACTTACTTCGAGCTGTCCGCTGCATACTCCACGGCCTCGACGAAGTCGCCGACGTCCACGGAGAAGCCGTCGCTCGTGTGCTCCTTCACCACCACGTAGTTTTCGGATTTCTGGAAGAAAGTCGATTAGAGAACGGCGAGAACGAGGTTGGACGCGCGCGTCTGGCCGCGCCGCGCTTTTGTCCGCGAACAACAATGCGCTAAAATTAAAACGCGCCTCGGGAATATTCTAAATCGTTAACGTCGAGTAAACTTGGGAAAATAGGATTAGTAAAATAGACTTCGAGTCCAAGATCTCGCGCTAGCGCGTTTCTTTCCCTCGCGTTACACTCGCGAAGATTTTTCGGAGCACGCGAACGCAGCGGAACCAAGTGTTATTTCGGGAAACTACTGTTTGGCTAATTCACGGATCGTTCTTTAATAACCAAGCGATTCGAGAGTGCGATGTCCGTTTTGAGTGGGGGGAGGGGGAGGGGGCACGTTGCACCGGAGTCCAGGAAAATCTTACTGGTTCGTTATCCTTATAGAGACTAGAAATCCGCCGAAAGCTCGGCGTGTTCTCCCGGCTCGGCGAGCGGCTGTCGAGCAGCCCGAGCTCGAGGGCGTCGCAGCTGCCAGCTCTGCCCGGCAACTTGTCCTCGACGAGAGTCGTGCTGTCGAAGCTGCTGGTCCTCGTGGTCGGCGACTGCAGGCAGCTGTCCTCGGCGTCCTCCTCCGGCTTGGCGATGGGACAGCGGTACATGGAGAAGCGGTGCGCGGCCGGTTTGCTCAGACGCAGCGCCGAGAACACGTGGAGCGGCTCGAAGTGCTGGACGCCGTCCTCGTCGAGCAGCGTGTACGGCAGCTGGCCCGTGAGCACGGAGCGCGCGGCCTCCCGCGGCACGACGGCTTGGAGGCCGTGCTTGACGATCATGAAGGTGGCGGAGGCGCGCGCGCCCGCCTTCCGCGTCAGCAAGTCCTCCATGGCCAAGGCGTTGTCGGCGCACAGGAGCGCGGCCGGCACCTCGGCGGACGACTCGAGCGCCGGCTCCTCCTCCGGCACGACCATCAGCGCCGCGCTCTCGCGCACGAGGGTGCGCAGGCGGGGGTCGTGCTTCGCCTTGTCCGAGTCGGCCGCCAGCTCGCCGAGCGCGTCGGCGAGCCGCGGCCGCTCCTCGGCCAGCTTCCGCATGACCGTCAGTCGGCGCAGGATGTCGAGCGCGAGCTTGTCGCCGACGAGCGCCTGCCGCGAGCTCTCGTCGCTGGCGAGCGACAGCAGGCTGCCCGCGACGCTCGACATCCCCAGCGCCCTCGCCAGCCCCGCGGCTTGGAGCAGCAGCTCCCCGACCTCCGCGGTGCCCTCGTCGCGGAGGATCTTCTGCAGGCGCGCCTCGCTGTGCTCGCGCACGGCCTCGACGATCGCCTTGTGCACCGTCTCGGCGGCCTCCTTCTCCGTCTCGACGGCGGCGACGTCTCGCTGGACCCTTTGCAGAACTCGCGCGATCAGCTCGGAGTCGTTGCGCGACACGCACCTGAACGCGGCACTCACCACGTCGTCGCCGTGCTCCTCGTCGAGCACTTGGGACAGTCGATCGAGCACTACGTCGTCCTTCAACAGGTCCGCGACCAGCGTCGACTTGAGCACCTCGACTTTGTTCGCGCTCGCGTTCAGCACTTCCTCGATCGCCGATCGGCACAGGGAGCTGCGCCTACGCGGCAGCAGCAGAGCTTGCAGGAGCTGCTCGGCCGATTGCTCGAGCGAAACGCCGCAGTGACCCGCGAACACCTGCAGAGCCTCGCTTATCGCCGAGAAGACCAGGGCCCGCTTACCCTCGCTGTGGCCGTCGGTCGCGTGCCCCGCGCCGTGCCGAGACAGCCTGTTCTCCATCAGCGCCATCACCGCGCTCGCCAAAGTGCACTTCAAGGCGTCGTGGATTCTGTCGTCGCTCGCGCCGTTGACCACCTCCGGAAGCCGTGCGTCGCCGTTGCCGACCACCTCCGGAAGCCGTGCGTCGCCGTTGCCGACCACCTCCGACGAACAGCTCGCGGCGGCAGACTCGCGCCCGTCCCGGTAATGACGTCCGACCGCCGTGGCCTTTTGAAACTTGTGGTAGACAATTTTGTCGGCTAAATTGGCTATCGTCGAGACGACTTGAGCCATTTTCACGGCGGCATTGCCCTTCAGTCCCAATTTTTCGGCAATGTCGATCGCGCAGTCGAGATCGACGGCTCTGCTGACGTCGACGTCGACGCGGGGTATCTCGGCCGAGACGCTTTTGCCGACCGACAGTCCAGCCTCCGACAGCTGACGCAACATTCTCGCGTCGATGCTCGGCTCGCTGCGACCTTTGGTCGAAGTGTTGTATTGCAAGTGCTGCGGTCGCAGTAATTTTAGCTCCTCGGGTGTCACCTCGAAGCCTTGAACCGAAAACTCGAGTTCGCCTTCTGGCGTGTCTATTAAATCGGGAGCCACGAATTTCGGCCCCTCCTCCGTCTGCACGATCTGACCGGGCACAAAGATCACGCCGTGCTCGTCGGATTCGATCACGCGGCCGGGCACGAATCGGGGCCCGTCCGGGGTGTTGACCACCTGTCCAGGCACGAAGCGCGAGCCTTCGTCCTCGGTCGATATCACTTGCCCGGGGATGAAAGTCGGCCCGGCCTGGGTCTCGACGATTTGCCCGGGAACGAATTGCGGTCCGCCGGGCGTGTTGATCGTCTGGCCCGGGACGAATTTCGGACCCGAGCGCGTCTCCACCATCTGGCCGGGCACGAATTTCGGCCCGTTGCTCGTGTCGATCACTTGTCCAGGCACGAACTGCTCGCCGTCCTCGGTGTTGACGGCTTGGCCGGGCAGAAACCCGTCGTCGGTCATGATGCCCGGCACGAAGCGCACGCCGTCCTTGCCGCGCACCAGCTGCCCCGGTATGACCTTCTTGCCTTCGGACAGGCGCTTGGCACTGTCGGGGATGAACTCGACGCCCGTGTCCGTCTGGACGATGTGGCCGAACGTCTCGGCTCGCGCGTCCGGCACGGCGCTCGCGGTCCTCGGGTCGACCGCGATGCCGCGCGACGACGCCGAAGCCTCGAGGAACGTCACGTCCTTCGCGCTGCTCGCCACGGCAAATCGAAAGCCGTTCTCGTCGAAGCTGACGCTGCCGGCGACGAACTTCTCGCCGTCGGGCGTTCGCACTATCTGGCCCTCGACGAATTTCGGGCCGCCGGGCGTCCGCAGAGTCATGCCGGCGACGAATCGCCGCCGAGCGTCGGGCGCCGAGTCGAGCGTCACGCCCGGCACGAAGTGCACCTCGCCGGAGTCCAGCGCGACGCTCTGCCCGGGCACGAACTGCCGTCCCGCGCTCGTGTACATCGTCTGCCCGGGCACGAACTTTGGCGCGCCGTCCTCCGATCTCAAGCTCTGCCCGGGCATGAACTCCCAGCCGGCGCCGTCCCGATAGCTCTGTCCGGGCACGAAAATCTGCTGGCCGGCCTCGTCGGTCATCGTCTGCCCAGGCACGAATCGGCTGCCCTCGGCCGTCGCCACCAGCTGCCCGGGCACGAAGGTCTTGTCGTCGAGGACTTGCCCGGCCACGAACCTCGGCCCCTCCCGGCTGATCACGGTCTGCCCGGGCACGAACTTGGCGCCCTCGCGCGTGTGCATCGTCTGACCCTGCACGAAGTCCTCGCCGCCGCTGGCCGTCGGCAAGGTCTGCCCGGCCACGAACACCGGGGTCAGCCTGCCCTCGTCCTCCTTTACCGAGACGACTTGGCCCGGGATGAGCATCGGGCCGTCCGGCGTGCGCACGGTCAGCCCGGGCACGAAGGCGTCGCCTCGCGGCGTGCGCAGCGTCTGCCCGGGCACGAAGACCTCGCCGATGGGCGTGCGCAGGGTCTGCCCGGCGACGAATCTCCGCGCCGACTCGACGTCGATCCTCAGGCCCTTGACCCTGCGCAGCTGCGCGGGCTCGCCGCTCTCGAGGCCCTTCACGAGCTCGGCGATCTCCTCGATCCTCGGGAGCTGGTCCAGAGCCTCCTGGCCGGCGCCCGCGAGCCTATCGCGAACGTCGGCGGTGCACTCGAGGTCGGCCGGCGCGATGGCCTCGACGGCTCGCTGAACCGCGGGCTCGGGCTCGGCGGTCAGCGGCGCGAACGGCTCGATGACGGCGACGAGCTCGAAGCCACCGGTGTCCTCGGACACCGGCCGGTCGTTCGCGCCGAGCGGCGTCCTCTCCAGGTCGACGCTCTGCGCCGCGATCGAGACGCTCTCGGGCAGCCGGTCGATCGTCGAGACGAACTCGGCGCACTGCGGTCGGCCCTCCTCGAGCGCCGACCAGTCGAGCTCGCGCTCGAGCGGCTTCCCCGCCTCCGTCCACTCGCGGACGCTGGCGACGATGGCGCTCTGCCTGGACGACTCGTGCCGCTTGCTGCCGACCTGCTTCCAGTTCAGGACCTCGTCCCGCCGGCGCCGCTCCTCGCGCACGCTTCGCAGCTTCAGCTGCTTGGCCGCCCGCAGCTCCTCCTCCTCGGCCGCCCTCTCCTTCTCCTCGAAGATCCTCTTGGCGTAGCCGAGCCTCTCCTGGCAGCGCTTCCTGCGCCGCCTGCTCTCGGCCTCGGCCTTCTCGCGCTCCTTGACCAGCTCCTCCAGCGGGCCCAGGCCGTCGTAGAGCTCCTCGAGCTCGTCCAGCTGCCTGAAGTCCACGGAGACGTTCTTGCCCCGCCTCAGCCGGAGCAGCACGCTGTCACGGTCCCGGGAGAGCATCACGTCGCGGACGTCGCCGTCGCGCACCGCGGCCTCGAGGCTCGCCGGGAACACGAGGCTGCACCGGCGCTCGGCCACCGTGTACACGAAGCGCGCGCGCCCCTCCTCCTCCGACAGCGGCGCCTTCGACTGCAGCAGACTCCGCAGCGTCCGCTGCGGCTCGCCGTCGCCGTCCAGCACCGGGAACACGTAGCGGAAGTCCTTCAGCACCACGTGCCTGCGCCGCTCGCCGAGGACCAGGCCGGCGGTGTAGTGGTGCGCCGGCAGCCCCGTGGACTTGGTGGTGATCCTGCATCTTTCCTTGTCGTCGCGGCTGTGGAAGCCCAGCACCACGGGTATGTAGTGGTGCGCGGGCAGCCCGTAGGACTTGCCGGTCACGCGGCAGAAGCGCTTGGCGTCCGCGGGGCTGATGGGCGGCAGCAGCGGGAAGTAGTTGGGCTTGGGGAGGCCCCGGCTCCTCCCCGTGATCCTGCAGTAGGACATCAGCGCATAGCCGACCGGCCGCCGTCCATCCCGCGCCTCTTCGTCGTGGCCGCTCCCAGCGTTCTCGCGACTGCCGTGCCCGCGCGCCGCCGAGCCGCACACGCTACTGCCGCGCGCCTCGCGCCGAGTGCCCAACAGAAATAGACACCCTTCTTGCACGCACGCCCGCGGATATTCTCTTGCTCCGATATAGACCGCCACGCGTGCACGCGCGTCCCTACTCCCGCGCGGCGGCTTTCGCGACGCGAGCCACGATCGTCAACCCCTCCGCGGCCTGCCGCGGACCAAGGCTAGGCGCGGCGGTCCGCGCCCCGCGGCCGCCGGCGTCGTCGGCCTTTCTCGTTGGCGGGCGCCTCCCCTTCTCTCCGAGCGAGCCTCCGGAGCCGGGGCCGTCGCGTGCCGTCGTCGGCTAATTATCGCGGGCCAATTAATGCTCGATTCGAGAGCTTTCGGTTGAGCTCGCGCCAACAGCCCATTGTGCGGGCGTGCCATTAGTCAGAAGACGCTCGCGCGGGTGGCTTAATTGATGGGACGCGCGGCGCGATTTGGCCCTCGTTGATTGCTTTTCGAATGACGCGAAAGTCGTCGGCCAAGGAGCGCGAAGTCACAACAAAGCTACTCCCACTCGTAAACAACGCTGAAATATAACGCGCCGAGAGCCGAACGACAGCCGGATCGACCGTGTCATTGGCCTTCCTGTCGTCGGCGTCCAGCTTTCCACAGGTGAGCTAAGCGAGCCGCTTGCTGCTGCTTACGATCTTCGATGTGCCTCGTTCATTATTAAGCTAGCTTTGGCTTTTCTTTCGAGAGGCAGGCAGGTTTCATTGATTCGTCTTTTTTAGTTTCTAAGTGATCAAACTTTTCGCTTCGATGGGCAGTGGCGTCGACTTATTTATCGAGCTATTTTTAATACTCTAGTCCTCTCTTAATTCTCACTTGACGTGATAAAAGGCTCAATTGATACATTTTTTTTTCGTCGTAATCTTTTTTTAAAGGCCATGGATGCTTAAGAGACAATCACGTGTATTAGCTCTGTACGCGTTTCGCTGAAAATTATTTGATAATTCATTCTCGTAGCATGTGAATCAAACTGATTCAGCGTGAATAATCTAATTGTAAATATAGGACGAGAAAGTGAATTCCGAGAACATGCTATTAGCGTTGTGAGTCAGAACACTCGAATAAAACGAAAGCTAACTAAAATTAGGTGAGGGATGTGTCGGCTTGATAAATTTAATTGTTTCAATAGTTTTCGATTGTACGAGACCTAGACGGTCAATTAATAACGATTTCGATACTCGAAACGAAGAAGAAAACTTACCCCTGCCGAGCTGAAAGTCGAACTTGTAGAGATCCTTTCCGTGACGAGTCCACCGGCGCTTCGCACACTACGCGTCACTTCCGTGGAAAATTCTTCAAGGCACCAAAACACAAAACGACTTTTGCAAATTGTACAAATACACGTAGCAAAGTTGTTGCGACAAGCTTGCAAGCTTACCCTGTTTCGTAAACCTCTGAGCCATTGTGCTATCTGCTCATTATTACTCTGAAAATACAACGAAGCGATCACTGGAACTATCCAACAGTTCGATTGCTGCTAGTTTATCGCGTTCGAGCTTTCGCCCGAATTCGAAATTTTGGAGAGCAGTGCTGCCATCTAAGAGCAATCAAACCGAGCTCCCTTCGCGCAGGACCGTCTTATTTTTATCCCGCGCGGTCTCTCGAAACCGGTGGTAATTTATCGACGAGCGACGCCGCGAGCGACTCGGCGATTTCAAAAATTCTCAACGAGCCGCCGCGACGGCTTACGCAAGCTCGCGATCGGACTCGCGAGCGCTCCGAAAGCTCTCGCGCGTCCCCGTGACAGGCACTCCGAATTCGCGTTGACAACGGCACGACAGCGCAAATCACTCGCGAATGGCTCACTGCGCGGCCACGTTCGATTTCGCGGAGAACGCGCGGAGAAAATAAAAAATAACACGGGTGCGATGCCTCGAACGGCGAGGACAAGAGAGAAACGAAGAGGTGCAGAGGAACGGAGGTTCGGTTCAAACTTCGCTGGTGCGCGTCTGCGTTGATCGGGAAGAGAACTCGCGCCGTCTATAATTAAAGCTCGCAGTCGGCTGGCCAAGTTGCAGGATTGGTTGACGAATTGGCTGGCCGCATTGCGCGTGCGACGCGTATATCTGCGCGTTTTTCGCCTGGTCCCGCGGTGGGCACCTGGTACGCGCGCGCGCGCGCGCGAGCCCAACCGACGACCCTTGCGGCGCACCCGCGTTTCCACGGAGAACTGACGGCCGCGAGCCGGCAAGAAAAAATAAAGGCGGGTGCGCGCGCCAGACGACGACCTTGAGCCGCGCGCGGGGAGCCTCGGTAAGTGTGCCAGTCAAATGGGTCATCTATATATTTCTCACGGAGAATCGCGCTGCCGGCGATCCGCGTCGATAAACGTATACGCGCCCGAGAGACTGGTCGCAGTAGAAGAGACGTTTCGCGCGCAGCGTAATCCGATCTATCCGCGCTGACACGCGGCTATCTAGAGACTAGGCCCCTTCGCAAGCTCTCTCCTGCGGCTTCTCGCTGCTTGGCCGCGGCGGCACCGCACCGACCCACCGTGCCGTGCTCGCCCCCCCTCCCTCCCCGCCCTCCCAGCGCCGTACGATCGGCGCCGATCGCACGTCCGCACGCTCTCGCGCGCGCGCGCATTTATATTCGGCCGCCGCGCCGCTCTCTCCCGTGCGTCGAGCGCGCACGATCGATAGTCAAATTTTCTCCGCCTTGTCCGCGGCTATATTTACGGCCGCACGCCGACGGAGCAGCAGCTGGACCTAAGAATATATACGATCGCGATGTGTTCCAGACGACCAACGAACGAGACAGGCACAATAGAATCGCACCTTTTTTCGTCTTCGCTTTTTAACGATCGATAATTGTCATCGATATTTGGAACGCTGCCAATTCCGAATCATGCCGGCGCGATTATTTGCGTAGAGAGGCGACGATGAGTGCGTGACATGATTGTATAGCGCGCAGAGTGTGTTTTGTCACTATGCCCTTTTTAGGACTGCGGCGATCGTCGACTCTCTTCTTGTTCTCTGGTTTGCCGTGGTTGCCGTCGGCCAGACGATCTCGGGATGAACTTGCAATTGTACGGCTCGCTCGACGATCCGCTCGATTCGCGCACTTGACTCGTGACTTTTCGTCGCAGGTTCGGCGGCTATTACACGCTCGCCTTGTTGTGCGGCTGCATTCTCACGCGGCCGACCGCGACCAAGGCCGAGGAGTTGCAGCGCGGTAAGCGGGAGCTACAGGAGCAACGATATGCACTCGCGGACGATCGAGACGACTCAACGGACGCGCCCGAACCAGCCCAGAGAATTTACGTGAAAATCATATTATCCGATCCCGAAGAGCGAAGCGACCCACGCGCAGTTGGCATTTCGCATAACCAATCTAAAACGAGGCGGAGCGTAAACAGAAGACGAATGAAGCGACACTACGACTGTCAAACCGTTCCGACAGGCCGTCGGGCTTGAGCGAAAGTGTATCTTCTCGGAAAACTACGATAACGGAAGACAAGAAGCTCTATTTTCGAGCTTGTCGCGCGTGGGAGTTAGTAAGCGCGTCAATTGCTTTTTTTTTTTTCATGAGGTCACGCCGCGAGATTTTCGTTCGACCTGTTTTTTCGCGCACATCCGAATCGTTGCCCGGTTGCGCGACATCTCGGAACTGGAAAAACGACACGCCGATGCCGAATCAAAAGCAATAAACAATATCGCTCGGTTACGTATTATTTTATTGTTCGGGAATAGTAATAAACTACATTAGAAAAGGTAATCTTACATACTAGAATTATTACAAAAGTGTCGCTACAAATTAGGTTAATTAAAATGTTAAAGCAGAACGATAAATCGCCGTGATTGGCAATTGCACAAAATTATCTTCTCTAACTATGTACAAAAAGTCTGTACGCGGCTAAGGTATATAAGCAAACTCGCTAGAAAGGATCGATGAAATATCGCCTTCGATTTTGCAAATTGCGAATTGGCAAACGTGCTGAACACATTCTTTGGATATGTATTTTTAGTGATCACAATGTCGATTGAACATTTGTACTTTGCGAGTTATTTCGTTAATTCGTACGGTATACGCAGTCAAGGACTAACAGCGATTATCCATCTTCGCTCTACCGATCGAAACCATTGATTCTTCGAGACAGAGACAGAGACAGAGACAGAGACAGAGACAGAGACAGAGAGACAGAGACAGAGAGAGAGAGCTTAACTAACTATCGTTCCCTTGTATTTTTTTGGAAGCACTTCGGGGACTCGGATAGATCTATAAAGAATGACTTTGGTATTACACGGACATTTGATTATTAATTCGGGTGCTATTACAAAATCACTTGCACTCGGCTGTGCGTATGCGATTTCCGCCAACTATACGCGATCGCATCCAAAAGAGTCAGGGAGGAGGGAGGGCTAAAGGCTAAATATAAAACGTAATACAAAATATTCAGTTATCCACACGCGTAGAATGCCTAACAGTGGCTATGTACACGAGGTACGTTCGTCACGAGTCGCCGAATAAAACGGCCTCGAGATTGGAAACAGGCCTCATCATCGCCACTGGCTGTGTCTCCATCGGCGAGCCGATCTGCACTTGCTCCAATAGTCGCAGCATATTCTCGCGAGACAGCGAGTTACTGCTATGGCCTCGGGACAGCTGAAATTTGGCTTTATTGTTATCGCAGCTCTCCCGCGATTTGGCACTATCGGTCTGCGTCGATTTGCTCGTCGACTGCTGTTGATCTCCGCACACTTGGATACCTTTGTCAGCTACTGCCGCTGGCTTCTTACGCATCGGAATGCCGCAACAGTTGTTGCAAGCTTGCACGCTCTCTTGCGAAGGCGTTATCGACAGCTCATTGCTGGCAGTCTGGGAGCCTCTCGACGCTTTCGGAGTTCGCTGCGACGCCGCGCTCCTTTCGTTTTGACCCTGAGAAGCAAACGTTCGTGGACTGCTTTTAAACAACAAATTGACGGATCGCTCCCGGGAAATTCGCTTGCGACTGCTAATGCAAGGGAGTTTGGTCGATGGCTTTCGTATACACGACGGTCGCTGTCTATTCTCATCGCGGGAGGCAAGCTTTGCCACTTCTGCGCGCGCGTTCACGATGATAAATAGCCCGAGAATGTATTTTCTTGCCAATTTTATATTTGACACGTGACACGCGACAAGCGAAACATTGCGAGCTTCGACTATCAAGCTAATGTGTGCAAAGTAGAAATTGGTACCGCGCGACGAAGCGAACAATGGCAGTCGCTCTCACCATCAATTGTATGCTCATAACGTCGAGACTCTTCTGCAGCCCGTTGACTTTGGCCAACAATTGCTCGTTCGCCGCCTCGAGCGCCTGCATATTTGCCTTTTCCTTGTCCAACTCGTCCTTCAAGCTCTGTTGGTCGACGGATTGCTCGGACAACCTGCGCTTGAGCTCGACGTTTTCCTGCTCCACTCGACCGAACTTGGAACTGAGATCCAGCAGCTCGTGATTGTGCTGCTTTAGGATGTCCACTTCGTTGGACAGATCGGAGATACGCTCGTTCTTCTCGCGCAGATCGCTCTGGGAATTTTTATATTTCGACGCGTTGTCATCGAGGTCGGCGAATTGCTTGCGCTCGCACTCCAGGACTGCACTTAATTGCTGGTTATTGCTGTGAGATAAGATACACCTTTTATGACTGTGCATCGAATAGAAAAGACGCGAAAACAAGGGCGTCGCCCTTGAATATTCGTACTTGCGAGACTCCTCGAGCTGACTCTTCATCTGGCCTATCTGCTGGCTGAGCATCTCATTAGCGGCCTGAGCAGCATCGAGTTTCTCGTTTTGACGTTTCATCTGTCGCAAAATTCGAATGTACTCGACATTCTCCGCCACTTTTTCCCTTCGGTTGCCCGACGCGCAGCTCGCAAACTCCAGCTCCAATTGCTCGATGCGCAGTTGCATCGCTTTCTTTTCAACCTCCAACTGCTGAGGAAGGCGGTTCAATAGTAAATATCGAATGGCGCGAATGAGTCGACCAAGTGGAGTACCTGCAGCTTGATCGCCTGATTTTGCTCGTCATTGGTGAACGGCGCGTTGAGACACTGGCACGAGCTAGTTTTCAGTCGACTGTTTTCGCTGCGACAAGTGCTGAGACAAAGAGACATTAGTCCAGCAAGGGATGCCGAGTCAGCTACGATGATCGCGAAATATCAGATAGGGTATACGTACTTGGCACCCGAACTATAGCCGAGCGGCTGCTTACGCCCACGCGACGGCGAGCGCCCGAAGATTTTTCGATTAACCAGCTGATTCCTCAGAGCGCACACCTTGTCCCTCAGCTTGTGTGTGTGCGCGCGCGCGGCAAAACATCGTCGTGGTCATTGACAAGGTGAGGAGAAACCGATTTAGCCGAGAAAAACACCAACCTTGCAGTTCTCCGATTCCAAAAGCGCGACTCGATCTTGATCGTCGAGGCCGCAGGCTCGCGGGTTGGCGCCGAAACGCATCAGCTTGGTCGCCAATCGTTTGATCTTGTCCGACTGCTCGTTCGCTAGCTTCTTCGCCGAGCTCAGCTCCTCGAGCACGCGCAAGTGACGATCCTCCAGCTCGTAGCGATCCAGACGGCTCACCACCAGACGTTCGCGCGTCTCGTCCGTCGCTGATTTCTCTGAACAGAACCAAAACAATGGGAGCCGTGATACGGATCGTCGCTGCCAAACTGCTGCGTTTTTCGTCTGCTTTTTTCAAAAGAGTGCTCGGCGCGCGGGTAGAGCTTTATTAAAATCAGTTATGAAATATAATATACCGCAGCGGCAGGTGTCGGCGAACGATGAGCACTCGCGCTCCCGGTCCGAGCAATTGGCCATGGCTGCAAATCAGTCCTGCGAAAATCCACAACAGTTAAATGTTATCTTTAATGACATTTTTTTCTTATTAATAATGCCAATTGCAGCGCATCTTATGATAAGAAAGACAAGTTAGGCATCAACGTTCCATTCTCCGGGGAGTGGTGTTTCCGAATTGATGAATAACGATGACCCAAAATTTAAAAGAACGGAAGAAGGCAAGTTGCACTCGTTCGCCCATTTTGCGAAATTAACAATGCGTCCTCAATTATCGAGAGTATAGCATAGCACCGTCATCGCGAGATTAGTTAGCGCGCTAAATGACGCATCGATGCCGTGCAGCATTCATAGGGCGCGCTCAGTTCGAGCGCCAGCTTATATGTACAAACGAATGCGCACACGCATACACACACACACACACGCACACACTTCTCCATTCTCATAGAAGAAGAATGTATTTCAAAGTATAGCGGCACCGTGGCAGTGGCATTAGTGGCAAGATGGCGGCGGACGGCGAGGTGCTCCTCGACCAGGAGAAAGTCCGTATAGTCTCGAACTTTATTTTGCACTCGCCCCCTGGTGAATTCAACGAGGTGTTCAACGATGTACGGGCGCTCCTCAACAACGATAATTTGCTCAAAGAAGGCGCTTCCAGTGCTTTCGCACTTTACAACAAGGACCAGCTCATGCCCGTTAAGGTAATCGTTCTCTATCTCTCTCCCTCTCGTGCTCTGAGCGCGCGTCGACCTCAGCCCCGTTTACCTTTTCCGAAAAAAGAAAACGTGAGTGAAATAACAAAGTGCATTGAGTTTTCGCTGCTTTCGTTGGACGTTAGTTCGGCTACGGATGGTGAGTGCGTCGGTGTCTGCTTGCGTGGAATCTATCTTGACGATCGCATGCCAAGCTGTCATTATGAGTCAGGTCTTGCACAGATGGCACAATTTTGCTTTTGATTCTCGCTTTACCCTTTTTCATTCATAGCAACCCTAGCTAAACTTTTAATTGTTTTGGTACAGATTGAGGGCAGCGAGTATCCAGTCCTTATCACAGAGTACAACGACCTGGGGAACCAGAGGTTTTACGACTCACGAAGTAAGCAGAGTTTCAAATATGATCATCTGAGAAAAGAAGCCACTGAGTACGAGGCCTATGAGCCTGATATCACTGCTGAACCATGGAGGTCTGCGTTGCAAGAGGAGATATTGGCTTACACACAGAGCCATTACAGACACGGTTCCTGCTCTGTTTTTGGTAAAAGTCAAGGAGGTACATTCAAATGTTTATGTTAAAAGAGGTGCAATGGACATGATTATTCAATAGATGGTTTTCATTACAGACAACATTACTCTAACAGCTTGTATAGAAGATCATCAGTTTCAACCAAAAAATTATTGGAATGGACGTTGGCGTTCAGTGTGGTCTGTGAATTTTAGTACAAGCTCAGGTGTTGCTGAATTAAAAGGAAGCCTGAAAGTGCAGGTTCACTATTACGAAGATGGAAATGTTCAATTAGTTAGTAGTAAAGAGGTAAAGGAAACTTTAACAATATCAACAGAGAAGCAAACAGTGAAGGAGTTAATACGCATTGTTCAAGAGTCTGAGAATGACTATCAAACTGCAATATCCGAGAATTATCAAAATATGTCAGACACGACTTTCAAGGCACTGCGTAGGCAGTTGCCGGTTATGCGAACAAAAATCGACTGGAACAAAATGGTATCGTACAGTATTGGCAAAGAACTCAAGAGTCAATAGAATTAGATTTTTTATGTAATTATTAAGAGAATTATCGAAGCGCATTTTTGGTAACACGAAAGTCTGGAGGTGTTATTGCATGGGGGCAAATGTAACATTACTAATTGTAATAAAAACAAACAATCTTTGGTCCAAGCTCACTCATGTGCAATATGCCTCGAAATCCGGTCGTCCTAGTGATTTTCAAAAATCAAACTGCATAGGTTAACTATTTTGTCAAACGATAGCTCTTTTTGTTGTATATTTTGTATACGAGAAGAACATTCTTGTGTGAAACAAGAGATTTGTTCTCTATTTCGCAATGCACACTAACTTGCAAATTATCATTAATATTTTAGTATTGAAAAAAAATGAACAAAGAACTGAATACTGCACACTGATCAAAGACATTGTGTAAATAATACGCATTGGAGATTTTCATCTACGAATATGCAAGGCATTTATGTATTCGATAATTTGTTAACAAATTTTAAATATAATGGACTTTATTACCTAACATATTATGAACATTTTCTAAAGTTCCACTTTTTTCACTGTTTCACTAATTGCTATTTAATTATAGCTATACAAAGTTAATATTTTTGACTATAACTTTTACAATAGTTAACAATCTTGTGCCATGTAAAATTAATAAAAAACTTGTGGCACATAATCTTTGTAGGTGCTACTGCTTACCATAGCATTGCACAGCCAGACAAACACGTGGAAAAAATGAAGTTCATAAAAGATTGTATATTGTAGAAGATAGCCTATAACCTGCTGGAGCCTTAATCTATTTTCATTTTTGTGTTGGAGAATTATTGTGTACATATGTTGATGAAATGTGTGAATGAATACGTAATAGCAAACTACTTGATTCATTACAACATTTCAGTATGCATCATACAATGACTATAACTAGTTGTTCAACGACATCCATTTTTTCAAAGTGCTCAACTTGTTGATCTTATTTCAAAGAGTATTTCAAAATAAAAACCAATTGTCAAGTTTATCAATTGGAACTTGATACACTTATGTAAATTATTATAAGAAATCTACAATAAGTAAATGTTGTAGACCTATAACATAAATCACACAATAGTTGCCTATTATAATGAAAAAATCTCTTAGAATGATACCATCAACCAAGTGTATCTTGAATTAAGTTACAATCATGTCGTGTAAAAAATAATTAGAATATGTTTATATCGTTTAAATTATGTATTATTGGATGTTACTATTGAGCGAATAAAGTGATTGAAACTTTAATGAAAACAAACGCTTCGGATATTGAATTAATTTGAAAATCTTTTACACAATTTTTTTAAACTGTACCTGTCATTCAAAGTAATTTCAGAAATGAAATGTAGATCTTGTTCCAATAATGTTATTACAAGTATTATAGAGTTTTATGATACAAATAATAAATCATTCAAAAAGTATGTCATATAAGAAAGCACTGCTGTTGAAATAAAAATAGCCTTATTCATAAATAATTGATTAAACGTTTTAATATTATCATACTTTTGTGTATTATGTATGTACTTTTATTATTTTACATTTTTTCCACTGTGTCAGTAACTTTTTTCTTATTTATCGTGAATAACTTAATAATAACATTAAGTTAGCTAGCCTACAATTTTTATTTAAAAAAACAATTGATATAGAATTAAATGTATTTGTACTTACCTTCTGTAACGTCAGTATATATCAAATTTGTACTTTTAATTTACAAGAATGAACTACATGTTTTCACATCTATAGATAATGAACGGCGCCGCTTGAATTCAGATATTTGAAGCCATATTTGTTTACAATTTACTTGGTCACTATGGTAACAGGTATAGTTTAATATGAGTAAATTCGAAAAAAATAAGGCTAATTGACATGCGTAGAAATACAGGCAATATATATATATACTATGATATATTTTATAAATGAACGCATATAAGTAACAGTACGTGTTGTTTATCATCACATACCCGAAGATCGTAAATAACATAAAATTACAACAGATGTTTGTTGTTAAAAAAAAAACCAAATGTTACGTAATTCAGTTCATTCGCATTTTTCTCCAATTAATGCGTTCTAAACGTTTAATCGGATCAGGTATAGCTTTTTGTTCACCATAAACTATTAGTACAACTGCAGACGAGCGCATTCAATGATTGTTACCTGTCTGATCTGCCTACAGTATATAGTAGTATATAACAAGTCAATTTTTGCACTGATAAACACGTGTACCCTAACTTCCTCATTATTATTTTGAAGACCACCTTAAGTGATTATGACACAAGCGATTTTTGCCGAAAATTTTGATGTAACTTAAATGCAACTTGTAATGCCTCGTACAAGTTCGAAAGTGATTTTAATTATATTTTACCCTAGTGAAAGTTATAGCTAACCAATTCATGAAAATCATTGATGCATGAGCTATTCCTCTGACTCACTGAGAGGATATTCGTAGGTTATCCAATACGAAATGAAAGAGTAAGTAAAATGTTGATTGATTTTTATTGGTAAAAGTGTATTTTTAAACTTTTCTTCACATTCTTGTTATTTAAAGGCTTCATCAGTAGCATGAAGCCACGAGGTTGTTGGATACCAATTTTCATTTTACTGCTATTGTATAACATTGTTGGAATTAGTCATTCTACATCCAAACAAAGAGCTTCCAACAAAAGTAGCAATTTATCAAAGCCATATCAGGGATTGTACTTTCAATACGATGTCAATAATTGTAACTCATCAACTAAAGGTCAGACTATCAAGGTTGAGTTTTCTTCGAAGGTAGTCGACAATGAATATATTATAACATTCAAAGGGTATTATAAAAAGGAGACTCGTGAGAATTACATCAAGGCAGCTCTTATATCTGCTGCAATAGACAATTGGAAGATCTTGCCTAGAGATAATATAGCAGCTAAATACCCAAGTGATTTTGATATAATACAAATCAATGAAATCCATAAACAAGATGGATTAAATGCTTTACTTAACCATCCATTAATTCGTAAAATTACTCCTCAGAAACTAGTTCAAAGAACATTAAAATATATCGATAATGATGAAGATAATACTCCAGAATACAAATATTTTAAGAGAAAAATACAGAATGAGGTATTTTTTTATTAGATTTTGTGATACTATCTACTTTGACTTTAAATTTATCCATGTAATTATTCTATTTTCAGAGAAATCAATTTTGGCATCAACCAAAGAGATATACATCAAAAAAACTTTTACGAGCAATACCTAAACAAATTACTGGTATACTACAAGCGCAAGCTCTCTGGAATCTTGGAGTCACTGGTCAGGGTATTAAGGTAGCAATATTTGATACTGGACTAGCTGCAAGTCATCCACACTTTAAAAAAATAAAAGAACGTACTAACTGGACTAATGAAAAAACTCTCGAAGATGGCCTTGGTCATGGAACATTTGTTGCTGGTGTTATTGCTTCTTCTGGAAAAGAATGTTTAGGGTTTGCTCCTGATGCTGAACTTTATATATTTAGAGTATTTACAAATGCACAGGTATATACAAATCATTATTATTACAGTCAAATTCTTGAAATATATACAATGATAAATGACTATATATATATTTGATATTTCATTCAGGTTTCTTACACTTCATGGTTTTTAGATGCTTTCAATTATGCAATATTAGCCAAAATCATAGTTTTAAATCTAAGTATTGGTGGACCAGACTTTATGGATCATCCATTTGTTGATAAAGTTTGGGAACTGACTGCTAATGGTGTTATAATGGTTTCTGCTATTGGTAATGATGGGCCACTTTATGGGTGAGTAAAAAATCATTTAAACTTACTTCTTCAAGATAAGAAGTAATTTTTATTTGCAATTTACAATTTACAGTACTCTAAATAACCCTGCTGACCAAATGGATGTAATTGGTGTTGGTGGAATCAATTGGGAAGATCAAATCGCTAAATTTTCATCTCGTGGTATGACTACATGGGAACTACCTGCTGGTTATGGAAGAGTAAAACCTGATCTTGTTATTTATGGATCTGGAGTTCATGGCTCAGCTCTTAAAACTGGATGTAGAACGTTATCAGGTACGTCAGTTGCAAGCCCAGTAGTTGCTGGAGCTGTTGCATTGTTGGCAAGTGGTTTTGTTGATGAAACACAATCCCCAACACTTGACTATAAGGTATATATAAACAAATTATTTCAACATTGAATTATGCGTTCATAATTAATAATTACTAATTTTTTTAGATTACTCCAGCAAGTATGAAACAAGCATTACTATCAACTGCTCAACGATTACCAAATATTGGTATGTTTGAGCAAGGTGCAGGTCGTTTAGATTTAGTTAGTGCTTTCCAATACTTGCAATCATATACTCCAATGGCTACTCTTAGTCCAAGGTAAAAAATAGAATAACTTTACTAATTTTTGGAATTTTTCATTGTGAAATAATTATAATATAATTTTTAGTTATATTGATTTGACTGAATGTCAATACATGTGGCCATACTGTACTCAAGCAATATACTACACTGGAATGCCTACAATAGTCAATGTAACAATAATCAATGGATTAGGAGTGTCTGGTCATGTTATTAAATTAACGTGGCATCCTTACACGCGTGATGGAAATGGTGAACGAATCAATGTTTCCCTAACACACTGTGATATTCTTTGGCCTTGGTCTGGTTGGTTGGCAGTCGCTATTACTGTTTCAAATTCATCCAAAGATTGGCAAGGCATCGCTCAAGGTTCAATTCAGCCTAATTAATAAATTTATGATATTTCTTAAAACATGTGCAGAAATTTTATATTTCGTTTTCATCTAATCTCAGGCCACATTAGCTTAACTATAGAATCGCCACCAAGTAATGGTGAAAAAGAACCTAGAACTTCAACGGTAAAATTACCATTAAAGGCAAAAATAATTCCTACGCCTCCTCGCCAGTACGTTAATACTTTGAATCATTTGAGTTTTTAGTTACTGATAACTTCATTTTGTTTAATTAAATCTAGCAAACGGTTATTGTGGGATCAATATCATAATTTACGGTATCCATCAGGATATTTCCCTCGAGATAATTTGAAAGCCAAAAACGATCCACTTGACTGGAATGGAGATCACATTCATACGAATTTCAAAGACATGTATCAACATTTGCGTAATGCAGGGTACTACGTTGAGGTATTAGGAACACCATTTACATGTTTTAATGCTCGTAATTATGGAACATTGCTAATTGTTGACACTGAAGAAGAATTTTTCCCTGATGAGGTGAATTTTTTTTATGCCAATTTTAAAACCCTTATTATATAATAATAAGGGTTTTATTAATTAATTATTGAACTGATTTGAAGATTATCAAATTAAAAAAAGACGTAGAGGAAGGACTATCCTTGGTTTTATTTGGTGATTGGTACAACGTAACGGTAATGCGACAAGTTAAGTTTTACGACGAAAATACTCGACAGTGGTGGGTACCTGACACTGGTGGAGCAAACGTGCCTGCATTGAACGATTTAATATACGAAAATTGGGGTATCGCTCTTGGTGACAGTGTTCGAGATGGCCAATTCACTTTAGGCCAACATCCCCCAGTGACTTTTTCATCTGGCACTGTTATCGCACGGTAAGGGAGTCATTTTGCTAACGAATGGAAATGTATAATTGGAATTTGTTAACTGAAATCTTGTTTATTATACAGTTTTCCGAAAGACGGTTTTGTTATGCACGCAGACTTACGAGATCAAGGCCAAGAACTCCTTGCAGAATCTGAAGCAGGTAGCTCGCAATTCGTACCGATTTTAGGATTTTATAAAACAAATGATGCTCAAGACAATGAAGTTAAAGAAACGAAACCAAGGACTGCAGGAAGAATAGCTGTATATGGAGATTCAAATTGTGTTGATGACAGTCATTCGCACAAACGTTAGTCGGTTAACTTTTTTTTTAACATCTTTAGTTTGCACTCTTTAATTTAACTATGTCTTCTTAGCTTGTTTCTGGATGTTAGATGCTCTGTTGGAATACGCTAATACGGGAAAAATACCAAATGTTTTTGTAGAAGAGGAAAATCGACTTAAAAATAAGAAAAACTTCATGTCGTTTGAAGCAATGGATCTGCCCAAACGCATGGAAGGAAGCAATTTAAACAAGCATAGCAAAGTTTTAGAACCTCCAGGTTCGGATAAATATTATCGTCCTCTTCCATCGTGTCCAATTATGAAAATGACTTACTCAGAACCATTAAATGAAACTGACCTAGTGTAATTATTCATTTCCTATTTTTTCATATCAGTTATAAATCAGTCGAAAGAGTAATTAAAATGAATAAATTGTTTCAGGATATTATACAAATCTCAAAAACTGTTGTCCGTTGGAAGTTCCCACGTAGCCGCGGAGTCGATATCGCATGATCCGGATTTGTGGCATCACCGTCGCGGAGGTGGAGTGAAAATCGATTCGATAGTTCCTTACAACGTCTTACCCGAGGATGAAGTAAATGACCAAAAGTCCAATAGTGCTTGGTTGAGTACTGGACGCTTCAAATACGTTCTAGGTTTAATTGTTATCACTGGACTGATCGGTTTAGCATTCAATCGTTGGTGTTGCTGTACGTTGAAACGATCGCGGAGAAATCGAGCTGTTAGTCGACTCCAAAGAGCGATACAGGCCATTGCTACCAGCAGAATGTCTAGCGTATAACTCAGTGACTGTTTCCCTACAGCTTAAGTGTTGATTTGCGTTTCTTCTTTCAAAGAGAGATTATTCTATCTACAATTTATGACTTCTCTAAGGAATGTTTTGATGTATGATTTTTTGTGCTATTTTTTAATGATGATTGCAATAAATCATACTGGTGATATTTGTTTTCTCACGTTACATGACTGTCCTTAGGATAAGTATGAGATATTACATATATTTTTTATGTATAACTTTACTTACAAGTATATAAAAAAAATAGAATTTTATTTTTCCGAACTGAATGCATGTTTAAAATGTACTGATTACATTAAACAACAATTGTAGTGCAGCTGTATTTCAAAAATTAATATAATAATTTAAATAACAATTTAATCTTCTGTGCTGTTGTACGCCATTTCAAATATCTTGTCATTCGTCTTAAATTATAAAAATCGATGACTAAATTGAAAATTGTCGAATTTCAGAAATTTGTTAATACTACGTTATAGTTACAAATAAATAGTATATTTTTATACTAATTGGTCTATTAAATAATTTCCCTAATTATAAAATGGATTATATGTGACCCAGTGCGCTCTTTCTTGTGTGGCAGCAGTTTTATGAGTAGTAAATATACTTTTGTAAACTTCTGAAGATTTAGGATCATGAGCAACACTGTAGTCTTGTTTGGTCTTTTTATAAGCTGGATCTTCTGGCCTCTTCAGTTTACTCTTACCAATTACAGGTTTTTCTTCTTTTACTTTCTTGATCTTTTTAGCTGCATCTACTTCGTTAGAAAAACTAGCAGAGTCTATTCCATCAATTTTGATTTTTTTGTTTTGTACTTCTATTCCATTTGATGTACTTGCTATTTCTTTTACTTCTTGCTTAATTGTTTTGTTAATTCCACTGGATGTACTAGTACTTGCAACTTCAGTTGAACTTGCAGCTCCATTTACCCTTTTCTTGGATTTTTTTTCCGCTTTACGAGCAATAAGATTTTCTTCCATGGTTTTTAAATCTTCATCTTGAGCATTCAATACAACAATATCTTTGTCAGTGTAAGGTTGTTGGCAAGTATGACAGGTCTGTGAAAATAGCATAGAGTAATGTAAATTTTGCTTAACGATTATTAACATTACCAAGAATACTTAAAAAAATGGAAAGTTTCACTTACGTAAGATTTAATTTCTTTAAGAGCACGTTCACTCATGACACATCCACAAGTCCACAAGAAACAAAATTTGTATTTTCCATTCATTTCTAAACCTATTACTGGACAAATGTATGGACTCTTTCCATCATCAACGTAGCCACCATTTTTAGCTGAATCACCTTCATAAGCAGGATTAGGAGTAAGATTGAGATTTTTAATATCTTTCATATTCCTGATATGTTGTGCTGATTCAGGCAATGTAGTGCGATCCAGTAAACCTTCAAGTACCGATTCTTTACTGTATAAATGACCAAGTCCACATGCTACCACAGGTTCTTGGAGTGGAAGTTGTCGAATGGAGCAATGCCTCCAACGATAAGCTAATTCAGCTTCTTTATCTTTCTGTAAATATATAAATGGAATATTAGATTTGTAAAGTTATTAAATTATACCAGTGACACTACTCTTATATCTTGATATAACCTACAAACTAAGTATTTATTTTGAATACAGAGAAAAAACATATAACAAAGATTGAAAACTAGAATATCCAAAGTAAATTTTATGATAATTGTTCTTACCGGTAGTATAAAAATAAATTTTACCTGTTCAGGTTTCTTTTTAACTTTAACCAGCTCGTCTCTCCTTGGAATGGTACCACCATCGCAACCCATTGCTCCTTTCTTTTTCTCTTTCTAAAGCGAAAAGTTTATTGAATTTTCTTCTGACAATGGAAGACAACTCAACAAAAACAACCACCAACTAATTCAGTAAATACTAATACTAAACAAATGCAAATTTACAAGTTTTGTTCGTGATGATTCACAATAACGACGTATGGCGACGCCACGACGTAACATTTTCAGTTGTGACGTCACGTGCTAATATAGCGCATATTTAAGGACAGAATTTGAATTGTGATTTTAATTTGCTTTTATTAATAAAAATATTAAACAAGATATTTTCCTCTCTAAATTAATTCTTATAATGTCATAAGTTCATAGCCTATCAAAGGTTAATTAGTTCAATAATCGAGGAATTTGGAAATATAATTTTTATGCATAAATTATTCTGAACGATTAGCTTTTTAATTCCTTACTGCATTTTAAATAAATAACCATCATTTTAGGTTATTATCATCAGATATTTTTTCACAATTGTGTATTATTATAATACATCAGTCAGAAGAATAATAAAAATCAATGACAATAGTATTATTACTAAGCTAAATATAAGTTTAAAATTTGTAAAATTTGATGAATCTAGCGCTCAAGCAAACATGATCAAATAATCAAGTCAACACTAAAATAAAACTGATGAAATGTGACGATATATGTACACATATTTACGATTTAATTATTTTCACGCATTATTTTTGCGTTTACAAAACGGCACGAATCAAAAATCAATTTAATTTAATTTGCGAAAATTGTTTTGTCCTCATATTCATTATTAATGAATTCGATATTGACGTTCCTTTCGCGCGATCGGACGCCTATAAAGAGATCATTAATAATTGGAAAAGTTTCATGTTTTGAAATAACTAGATTCTAATAGCTCATGAATTAATGTAATTATAAAAATCGATTTTGTGAAGGAAATATCCTGGTTGATAGTTTTTATTAGCGACAGAAAATAAAGTCGAAATTCAAATTCTGTTCCCAAGTATGCACCTCATTACCCGGACGCGTCATAATTGACAATAACAGTGCTACCAACTTGTATAGAAAATAAAAATTCCAAGCTCAAGGCGTAAATTATTTTCAGGGCCTGAAAATGCGCTTTCAATCGCTTAAAAGAGTTGCGATAAATCCCATGAACAATGTCAAGTCGCAAGAGATATAATTTATCGCAATTAGGAAAAACAAGAATTGGTGAATGGGCGAGATAGATGTTGGTATTGCAAACGTGTGGCAGTCAGCTGTTTTGGCAACTGAGGTAGGCATAGTTGTCGGGCGGGTCGCAAGACAGCAGCACTCTTATCACGTGAGAGAGGAACTGGCTGAGCCAGCGAGTGCGTGCTAGCATACGACGAGGCCTCTGAGAAGAGCTGCTTAAACTACGTGTGTGCGAGTCTGCAAGTGAAAGATGGTTTTGTTCGAGAAAAATTCAATTTGAAAGAACCAACACAGTGAGGACGTAAATCTTAAGCTTTTCACAAGCACCCCCCTCGTTCTCGCCTCAACGTGCGTGCGTTCTATCCTGCCTGCCAACGACCATTCTCCAGGTATTAAAACCAACCTACTCTACATTTCATCTCTCTATACATCATCGTAGTGACCACCGTCCTCACGCAATTATTCTATACACGCCCAAGCCACCTATCGATCAACTATTCCTGTTGTATTTATCTGTCATGCCTAACCCTTTCTATTCTGCGCGTGTGTGTGAACACGAGTGTGCGAACATGCGATAGGTATGTAGAGATACAGGGCTGATCGTTAAAATGGAGTCGAGTGAATGATATTGATTTTCCCGTAGCTGCGTCTCTCTGGTTCTGCTGGCGTCGGGGTGGCGCGCGTTTCAAGGACGCCCTCGTGACAACAGCAGCAGTTGCCAGCAACGTTCAATGTCTTTTATTGCTGTCTGTCTTGGTTTGTCCAGTGCAGCATCGTCTTAAGTCATTGATTTCACGCGATTACGCGTATGTCCGCACCCCGTTGCCTCCGTATATGCATATACACGTATTTTCTGTCGACGTTGGAGCGGCGGCGGCAGCGGCGGTGGCGATGGTCACGTGGAGACATACGCTTACGTAATATTTCACGAGGAATTATGTGATAGTGTAGACGCGTGCCCGCAGGCGCTGCCACACCCCCTCTTCTCTTGTCTTTCTTTTTTGTTCCTATTCTTTTGCAATCCAATAATCGAACGAACAGTCGTCTTTTTTACCACTGCGCGATGCGCAAACTTGACCAGTTCGATTCCAGCTGATGCACGACGAGGGTGTCGAAGTGGATGAGAGCGCAAAGATGGAGACTCAAAGTCTACAGTCGCAGTTCAGATACGATTACTATATTGTCAGAACTGATACTTTAACTGGGAGCAGGTGGTTGTTTACAATGGCCTCGACCGATCGTTTTCTGTCTGCTAGTTGTCAATATCGACAGCAACAAAAGCAGCTTTGAGTCGTTCGGCGTTAAAACGTAAGATTTCTGTGGGAATTTTTTCGTTTATAGTCACATTTATTGTGATGGCTTCGATGATAATATTGCAAATTTATTTGTTTTACGCCTAATATTCAGAAACGAGTTTGTGGGAAAGACAGTGTAAGTGAAATATGTTTACAACTTATCCTTGAAACAAAATTGTGGGAGTGGATTTGGTTATTGATTTTTTGCTAGACTTTGCGATCACTTTTGGAATTTTTCAGTAAGCTTGTGTGTTAACTTACAGTTAGATTAACTGGCTTTGTTGCCATTGTTTATTGTTTCAGAACTAAGAAACAGCAAGACATAATAAACTCAAGCTATAATGACTGAGTACTGGCTAATTTCTGCACCAGGTGACAAGACCTGTCAGCAAACATGGGATACAATGAACAACCTAACATCCAAACAAAATTCATTGTCAGTCAACTATAAGTTTCATATACCAGACCTTAAAGTTGGTACGTTAGATCAATTGGTAGGCCTCTCGGATGACCTGGGTAAGCTCGATGCATACGTCGAGCAGATCACACGCAAGGTAGCATGTTATTTAGGAGAAGTTTTAGAAGATCAGAGGGACAAGCTGCACGAGAACCTGATGGCCAACAACAGTAAGTACATTTTCTTCTACACTAATGCTTCTTTTTCAAATTGACTTCTCCTTTTTGTCTGTATGTTTGAACTGATAGTCAGTTAAGAACTGTTGATACAGAGAGAGTTTAAGCAAAATTAGTACTTTTAGTGAATTAGGAATGCTATGTAGAGCTTAGTTATGACATGGACATGGTACACATTGTTTCTGATGAAAACTTGAAGTAAACTGAAAGGAAATCCTGTTATATACACTTATCATTCATAAAATAGAGATACATAAAATTGTCTTGAACTCTCTCATAACAACCAGAAAAATTACCAACTGATTCCTAGTGTATGATGTCCCAGCAATTATGAATTTTACCAATCGTATAAATAAGATCGACACCAAAGATTATACTATACACAACACAAAACAAATTACACTATGTAATTGAAATTATTTTCCTTCGTAAACTTTACATTAATTTACTCTGGAGGTAATGAGTTAAATAGTTGGGCTACTTAATTTTACACACCCTTATATCCCTCTTTCTCAACACCCTCTAGACTCGAGCCTCATTTTTAATAACAAAAATTCTAATGTCCCCTTGAGAATTTCACCTGCTATGCTGAATGCTAGCATCACTAAATTTTTTATCTCTTTTTTTTTTGTAACGAATCTTTGTTCTTCATTTTATTTTCTCGCGAACAACGAAGCCATATAAAATTTTTGTGGAAAAGAAAAAAACATGTGACATTAAAAATGAATAATGCTACAACTATATTAAGCATACAATAAATCTTTCACTTGATGCGTCCTATATACAGAGTCAATTGACTAAAACGTGTGCCGTAAAAGCTATACTATTGATTACTTTGTATTTGCAAGCATATGCAGGTCAAGTTTTCACGGTTGATAAATAATGAAAATTTTAATTGAAAGCCAATACGCGGCGTATTACCGATGAATGATCTTTACAATGATAATAATTTAAGAAAATAGATTTGTTTCTGAATAAAAATATGCATAAAGAATCCATGAAGAACATGAAAGAGTAATCTTAAGGTTTCGGATACGCCGTGTGTAGAGTAAAGAGTATATATGTATAACGTTAGATGGCTTTGTTTTCTGTTTTGTTTGTATATTTCTATTTTATAAAAAAAAATGATTGAAGTGAAAAACGATAATTTGAAAAAAGGAATGAATAACCCTCCCTTAACGTAACTGTGATGTTGCTTTGCTTGCTTTTATCTTTAATTTCGACCACATTAACCCCCTTCTCCCTGTACCTAACTGATTGTTTTTTATATAACTAACAAACGCTCATACACGTGCACTGCCTATATTGTTAACAAAGAAAAAGAAAGTCTCTATTATGATCTCTATATGGTACAGATTATACAAATATACATGATAACGACCCGCGCGGAGACGACCTGAATATTTAGGCATATGTGCAATGTGCTACTTGAACGAAAATGTTGTTGAATTCAGATGTACATGTAAGATGAAAGAACAAACGGGGCCGCGCGCGCGCGGGTGCACATACATTGTCATTGAAAAACGCGAAATGCATATACGTGAAAAATTTTGATGACGATGACAACGCAAGGAGTTGCTTGGGTTACTGTGGTCACCAAGCTCCGACATTAGTCACTGCATATAGGTTTTGTTCACTACCTTCTTTTCTTTTATTTCTTTCATTTGATTTTTCCGTTTTTCCATTTACTTTCTATCCCTTCTCTCTTGATTTCTTTCTTTTCATTTTATACGACACTCCCCCGAAGCCTTGAATCCTTCATCCCAGTTAAACCGTGGCGGTATATTATCGTCGACTTATATATGATTTGTTTTATGATTTTGTCATTTCTGCTGGTCTCTTTGTTGCATCGTAAGAACCTTGGTTGCAGTTTCTGTTTGCCTCAAATTTTGTTATTCGACTTTTATTTTCATTAGCTCTTTGGTTTTCGCGCAGTTTTGAAACATTATTATTTCTTTAGAGTATGTTCATTTCGAACACTTAGGCTTATATTTTTTTGGAGTTGTCTATGTCTCTTCTCAGGATCCGAGTATTGACACAAGCTTAATATTGCAGAGTGGACTGTAAAAAAATAAGAATTTGTGTTGAACTTCGCTAACCTAGGTTTTAAGGTTTAGAGCTTAAAAGTTAATGTACTAAAATTGAGATGAAAGGTATTGCGCGCTGAGGAGACGCGACTCCTAGGTAGCCGAATCCAAACACTGTCAACCTACAAAATGAAAGCCAATGTGGCAGGTACTCCGATCCACTGATAGAAGAGCCTAAGAGCAGACTCCGCGCAGCGAATTTAGTTCTGTTATTATTTCCGTTTGGTCGGCGTTGTGGTTAGGCTGTTGGCGTAGAATGCAAGCGAGAGAAGCTGAGCTGTGGCGAATGGACGAGAGTGCGTGCGCGCGTGCGTGTGCGAGAGAGAAAGATGAGTGTTGGCTTGCGGAGATGTGGGCTGTGTAACTGGCTGCGGGGCGATAGGTCAGACGTCAGTGGACGGCGAGGCAGGCGAGAGTACGGAGGGGGGTCCGGACACCCCACCCAACACACCGGTGACGCCGTGCAAGCCCGGCCATGTGGCGGCGGGGAGCTGCTCCGGCAAGGACCAACGCCAGCACCACTGGAACCGCGGCGAACCGCCCGACAGCCCGGAGCCGCCGTGCCTAGGTCAGCAGCAGCACCACCAACATCGGCATCCGCCCTCCTCCTCCTCGTCCGCCGTCTCCTCTTCCCACCATCATCAGCATCATCATCATCAGCAGCGGGACGCCAGTCCCAGCCAGCGTCAGCATCGCCACTCGTCTCACCACCACCATCACCATCGTCACCCGCACTCGCATTGCCATCAGCCTCACCACCATGATCGGCCTCGCCATCACCACGAAAAGAAGTCGTCGTCGTCGTCGCAGGGCGCCGACTCGTCGTCGTACTCGTGCTACCAGGTGCCCTCGGCCTGGTGCACCTCGGGCGGCTCCTCGAGCCCGAGCTCGCCCTCGCGCTCCTCCTCGGGCGGCAACGCCGGCTCCTCCTCGTGCTGCAGCAGCACCGAAGATGACTCGCCGCACGATCCAGAGGAGACCACGATCGAGCACGAGCCCAGCAAGTCGCGCCCGCGCAGGCGGCTGCATCGCCGGCCCAGGCGGCGCCGCCGGCGCATCGATCACGACACGCCATCGCCGCAGCGGCAGCACACGGAGGAGGAGCAAGACGAGCATGAGCCCGAAGAGGATGACCCGACAGCCACCGGCAAACTGCCCAATCCAGGTACCCGTCCCACCATGCCAACCACCGGACCAACCATCACACCAACCAACCTTCAACCGTCGACGACTATCCTTGCTCTCATTTCTCCCTGTCTACCACCCCAACCCCTTGCCCGCCTCTTCTACCCACTCGAACCCCCTACATACCCTAATCTATCTCTCGCTCTTTTTCTTCTCTCTCTCTCTCTCTCTTTCTTCCTCTCTCTCTCTCTATCTCTCTCTATCTCTCTCTTTCTACTCTCTCTCTCTCTCTCTCTCTCTCTCTCTCTCTCTCTCTCTCTCTCTCTCTCTCTCTCTCTCTCTCATCTGCCTCTCGTAGCTCTCTTTTTCTTTCTGTCTGTCTGTCTTTACTATCTGTCTGTCGACACAGTATACTATATAAAACCGTGTAGAACGAAGAGAGCTGCTGTGCTTATTCTTCGATAAAAAAATCGATCGCCGATATACAAATAAATAAATAACCGAGTTTTTTGACAGCGCACATTTCACAGTCGATATTATGTATCGAACAACGATGATTTTTTTGACGACATGAAAACACGCACCTTGAGTATTTGATATTGATACTAACATAGATATATATATACATATATACATCTATAGACCTATATATTTTTCTTTTATTTGTTGTTGATAATGAGATGGAAAAAAACAAAATCGTGTGAGTGGCACAGTGCACGGTCCCGTTTGTTTAATCTACTTTCTTCCCGATAAACAAAATTAGAGAAAAAACTATGTATATACTTTTTGTTGCGATACATAAATATATATATATATATATCCCTACATATATATACGCTGCTAAAAAAACCGCTCTGCTGATAACTCACGACCATCACCATCCCCACCACCATATGATATCATTAAATATATACACACAATAATGTGTCTTTTTTTTGGCGCCACCGCTTACTGTTCTGCAGCCGCTCTATATATAATTTCGCCCTCCCCTCTCCCAGGTAACCCTCTAATTAATTTTTATTTTTCAGTTCTTTTCGTTAAAAAAATGTATTTGGTTTATAATTTCGAAAATAAAAAGTGACTTTGACACACGCATCAACACACAGACAGTCACAGTAACAGAAATAACATATGTATATCGACGAATGTCAAGCGAAAAGGAAAAAGAAAAATAGATCGGTATATAATATTATATACAATGGGACACTGCACGCACAAGAGAGCAACTTTGTTATTATACTCGCATGCACCTCTCGACTCATTACGACGATTACAGAGTTAATCAATCTCTCTTCACTTGAGAAAAGCGATTGTGTGCATATGAGCAAGGCCGTCCTTTCAACGCAATTGACGAAAATTTATTATTCTCCTCCACGGCTCCGCTAAAAAAAAAAAACGCCCCCGAACAATTGAAACAGCTGGCATGAACAATCGCTTGCAGCAAGCAGCAGCAGCTGCAGCAGCAAACTGCTCGTTGATGTGCTTTTTGCGCAGCTTTCGATGAAAATAAAATCTCACTGCACCGCCATTAAATATCTTCTTTGGCACCGACCATCTGTATCTTACGTTTTATTTATTATTTTGTACTGATATACAATTGGTCCTTGTTTCTCTCTCTCTCACTCACTATCTACCTTTCTATATATATATATGTATATATATATATATATATATATCTGACATACACAACACCACCACCAGTTTTTTGCTTGATTCACGACAACAACAAAGTGCACGCAATTTCTTTCTCCTCCCCCCTCTTTAATTTTTGTTTTCGGTATATCTATGTGGCACTATTAACATTTGATTGTAGCTGTCCAGAGAGTGATGCGACGCATGTTCGTTGATGTTCTGAGATAAAAATTCCCTACTCTTTTATTTTCTCACACACTAATATATACGCTCATACATAGAATTCATTATTATGCTACATAAAGCATCGACGAGAGTTGATGTTACTAATGCCACATTAAGTAATAATATATATTATTTTGCATACGAGGAACGATAATATATAATAGCAAAGCATGAAACTTTTTCATATTCTATTTCTTTAGTTTTTTTTCTTATGCTCGCGCAATATTTCTGAAAGAGATGTGAAAAAAAAATCCGAGAAATTATATCCTTTGTTTTTTGTTTTTCTCTATTGAAGTTCGATAAGACTTTAAATGGAATTTTAAGCGTAATTAAGTATTTTTGTTGTTGGAAAATTGACGTTACGAAGGATGGTTTATCGTTATTCAGCCGATTTTTTTTCCGTTTTACTTTAGGTGATCTGCCGACATACGTAACACGTTTCCAATGGGACATGGCCAAATATCCGATCAAGCAATCCCTCAGAAATATCGCGGATATCATCAACAAACAAGTCGGTCAGATTGACGCTGATCTCAAGACCAAATCCACTACTTACAATAATCTCAAGGGCAGCTTGCAGAACCTCGAGAAGAAACAGACGTAAGGATCAAGTGACTGATGTGCTTGTCGGGAAAAGGGAGCTCTTCTCGGGGATAGGGGAGCGGACTGATAGAGCGAGCTTTAATTTCGATCAATGCTAGAAAATATTACGAGGTTAAATGTCGATGAAAAATGACTGAAAATCATTTTTAATCATTGACGGTTATTTTTCACGTCTTAAAGTTATCGATCAACAAAATATCGTGCTTCAACCAAATTTCAAACGCAATCGTTCCGATTCGAAGGTACGTACGCGGAGTCAAATAGTTATTTGATTATTAAATTAATAGTTATCAAATGGTTATTTCTGAAACAAGCCTTTGGAAGAAAGTCCTCAAGGACATCGAGTAAATTGTGACCATTCCTAGTACGAATGAACAGCTAAAAGAAAACATTGCAAAACATTGCCATGATTGAACAGCCGCATCGCTACGTTGCTTTCGTCGAAGGATCTAGTTTCTCGTAACTGCAAAGCTCTTCCAGCTCTTTATCGCTCGAAAATACTCGCACCTTCTGACGTTTAGTCCATTATAAGAAAACGATTAACCCCCCCCCCCCCCCCTCGAATCGTCATGAAAGCTCTTCTCCCACACGTTTCTCCGCAAGTAACGAAAAGTAGAATTAATCACTATTTATCCATCGCAGGGGAAGCCTACTAACTAGAAATCTTGCGGATCTTGTCAAGAAGGAACATTTCATTCTAGATAGCGAATATCTTGCCACGCTCCTCGTTATTGTACCCAGGTAAATGGGTCATTCCCACAATAATCACATTTAGATTAACAAAATATAATTTTTCTCCTTTATTTCTTCGGTACAGAGCTGGTATTCAAGACTGGCACGCCATGTACGAGAAGTTGACAGACATGATAGTGCCACGCAGCTCGCAAATGATAACTCAAGATCAAGAGTACGCCTTGTTCACCGTCACTCTCTTCAAAAAGGTCATCGAGGAGTTCAAACTGCACGCGCGCGAGAAGAAATTCATCGTGCGCGACTTCGAGTACAACGAGGAAGCCCTCGCAGCTGGTAAATAATGCAATTGACTCGAAGGGTAGCTTGAAATTGTCGCGCGTGTATCGATTGTTTCTCGGTTTGCACGTCATGCCTGACCTCTTTTAGGCTGATGGGGATGAGCACTCGTAACGAGTAAATTTCCACTGCGTTTCGACTGACTATTATACTAATGACGATGGAAGTTTCTCGAGCTATTTCTCGACGTTTGGAAACAAAAATTTATCATTATCGATGAATATTTTCGGTCGATGTAAGAATAATTTTTTCACGATGACGCACAATAAAAAAGCCTTCGACTATGAATAAAAGCATACTAATAGCACTTCCATCCAGAAATAACTGAATTATTGTTTGTATTTACAGGCAAAAATGAATTAACCAAGCTGGCGACGGACAAGAAGAAGCAATTCGGTCCGTTGGTGCGGTGGCTGAAGGTTAATTTCAGCGAGTGCTTCTGCGCCTGGATTCACGTGAAGGCGCTGCGCGTCTTTGTCGAGTCGGTGCTGAGATACGGTTTGCCCGTCAATTTCCAGGCGATTTTATTGCGCCCCAACAAGAAGAGCACAAAGCGTTTGCGCGACGTACTCAACCAACTCTACGCCCATCTCGATTCCTCGGCTACCGCTGGCGGTTCGGGTGGCAATCAAGACGTAAGTTTAACATTCGTTTGATCGAGGTCTTTTCAATGGCGACTCTTTTCACGCACGTTTTCGTGCGTTTGTGTTGCAGAGCGTGGACATACCAGGGTTGGGCTTTGGTCAGAGCGACTATTTTCCTTATGTCTACTACAAGATAAACGTAGACATGGTCGACAATAAAGTTTAGTTTGATTATCGACGGAATGATATAATCATTGTACGTACACATCTAGCGCACACTCGACATCTCCGGCTCATATAACAACAAAATATCGCTCTAGATGCATACGAAAGAAAAAAAACTTCGAAACTTCCTCAGTTGTTCGAATTAAACGTACTTTTTTCAGCGTTATAATCTTCATACCGATCAGTCTCTATAATTGGTACAACTCTTCCAAGTGCATAACTTTGGCGTGTCACGGATTGCTGGCTGTTCTACTGCTGCTTTCTCATGTGCGAGTCTTTGTTAGATATTGAGAAGCGAATATTTTTATAGTGAATACAGAGAAAGAGAAACGGTTCTACATGATTCCCGAATTCTCGAAAGTGATGCATGGTGAATTTTTTGCGAGTGATTTATCGACTAAATCGGTGAAAAAATGTCGCTAACCTTTGTTGTTCTTTTTAACTAACTTTTTCCTAATTCCAATTGATATAGCAATATTGATCCAGCTTTAAAATTCTTATAAATGTATATGGTTCTTATTTTTAAACGAAGTTTCATATAGCTTCGGGATGTTTTTTACAACGATGAATTTTAAATGAAACATTTTTTCACCGACAAATGTACACTCCTTGTACATAAGTTTAGTGCAAGTTTTGCCACAAAGGACTTGCACGCATTACCTTAGTTTGATTGCTGCGTGCACATATTTCACCAAAGGCTCCACATAATTGAATGATAAAATAAGTAATACAAAATGATTTATAAAAAAATGTACAATTTTCGACTAAAAGAAAAACGACAGAACTGTTCAATAATAAACTACTAAGACAGATGTTGTTAAATTTTGCTTGGAATTTAGAAGCTTTCAAAACACAATCTAGGAAATATTTTTTTGAGAGTCGTTGCAAATGCCCGTTTTTATGATATATTCTATATTAAAAAAAATGCAACTGACAACTCAATCACTTTTATTGATGTGTACAAAATATGGAAGAAATATGGTAAAAATATAAAGTTTTGAAGCCTTTTAAAATATTTCTCAGAAAGTATTTAAAGTAGAAAAGATTTTTTTCTTTAATTTAAGCAATGTCTTGTATTTCGCCAACCATGAGTACTAGACGACTTAGTTCCACAAGATAAAGTGGAAAAAGTAAGATTTCCTAAACGATATTCATTTAAAACTACATCGCCATCTGAACATAATAAAAAAAAGAAAAGTATTATACTGTTAATGAATGGAGGATAACTCAATGTTATTCATGTGGATCAATTTTAATTTATAATAAGTATGCAATATTTTTTATTCCATTATGATTGTTTTAATTATTTGTTTTTTTTTTTGTATTTTTAAATTAAAAAAAAAAAATTATTGAATAAACCTTCATTACTATCTTAACGATTTTTTGTGAATATCGTTTTTAATTATGTAAAAAATGAAGCAAAATGAATAATTTAAAAAAGTTACAAAATCGAACTGTTGTAATTTGTAGATATATTAAAAAACGACTTCGTCGTCTTCAATAATTATATTATAAATTGTATAATTATAAATAAATATCATGTTCCGTTATTATCACTGTTAATAACTGTGTTAATCATATTTTTATTAACAAAACTACACGTTGTTTCCCTTCACATTCCTTGTTTTATTCATTTGTTTGTATAAACTTCAGAGTAACAATATAGATTAAGTACTATTAAAATGTTGTACAAGACATTAACAATAAAATTGTGTACTAAAAAATCATCGGTTATTATTTGATACAGTGTTATCCGGCGCACCAGGCGCGCTCTTTCTTTTATGTTTCTCTGTTATTTATTACATTACTTGAACCTTTTACATGCCAACTTGGAGATTTTAATGGGCATGAATATGTTATGCTGTTTAAAATAAACCACATATGTATATCAATATTCGTTAATGAATAAAAATAGAACTGTCAACCATGTTTTCACAAAAAACAATGAACTTTTACTCATTTCAAAATAAATTGTTCAAAAGTTTAATTCAACCTACGATTGATAAGCTATTATATTATGATATAACATTAAACTTTACACACTCAATAGTGATTATGGCTCTAATCGTATATTAGTTTGAGTAATACGTTTAACATCGTGTGCTTTTTGTTGCCTGTATGAAAACACCCATGAATATTCTTCAAATTTGATGGGATTAATATTCAGATAATTAGTTTACATTGCTCGCAAACTTCTTAATTTATAATTAACACAAGATAAAAATGTATTTCTTTTATTTTATACTATTCAGTTTCTCTCTTTCAATCAAATTTTAAGACAATATTAATTTGAGTATTATAATGTAATATCACAGATATTATAAAATTAACAACTTGTAATGATAATTTCAAAACGTAATGTCTTATGTTTTCAAAACGATTTATTAACAGCATATTTCCATTCTTGCAGATTATTATCCATGTTAATTATTTACACTGCCGCTCACGTACTTTTACCCCCCTCCGAGCAAAATTGTTCAAACTTTGAAGTTTCATATGTTCCTTCAAAACTAACGTAGAAACGAACGGCAGCGCATTTGAAAGCTCATTCCAAGACCTTTCAAATGGTATATATCACGAGTACTATCAAATGGTATTTTAATTGATGTTACTATCAATTGTTTCAAACGATTATTCATCGATAAAAGTTCCGACATTTTAAGTACATTTTTGATCTCTTGCCAATTCTAGAGAAAAAGTTGCAAGAAAATTTTGTAGCACGGGATTTTCTTCCTCTTACCAGATCCTATCTAAATCACTGATTCAAAAATTATTTACATCAAATATGACCCGCATTTGAGCATTTTCCTATATTTTTCGAAAATTTACGTTTTTTTCAAATGTTCAATCTCTTTAAGTTCAAATCATAGAAAAAAGTGCACATGAAAGAAAATGTTCCTTTTTCTATGTAGAAAAATAATACTGTGGAGTTTTCTCAGATTTTTGTTCGAAAAGGAAATTTTTCACATTTTTTTTCTATATAGCTGATGCAAAAAAAATGAAAAAATTGTCTGAATCATAAGGTGTTTTTCTTTTTTCTTTTCGAAAAAATAATCTGAGAAAATTTCACAGTATTCTACGTAGAAAAAGGAACATTTTCTTTCATATGCACTTTTTTCTATGATTTGAATGCGCTGCCGCTCGTCTTTGTACGTTATAGTTTTGAAGCAACATATGAAACTTCAAAGTTTGAACAATTTTGCTCGAAGGGGGGTAAAAATACGTAAGCAGTAGTGTATAAATTGAATTTACTGCTGAAATATAAATCTCACACTTCTAAATACATAATAAAAATATTTCAAAGTATAGGAAAATTAAAATTTCTTTCTCTTTTTTAGCATCAACTAGTCACAATGCTAGATGATAGGTTACACATCACTTTATTAAGGTAAAAACAAAAAAAAAATAAGAGATAGGAGATAAAAACTGAATTTCTTGTACCAAATATCACAGTCAAGTTTTTCAGTGAGAGGCATTACTATTTTGCAGCAGAGTCTGAAAAATAAAAACGAAACATAAGTTCAATATTTCAATTTTATAAATATATACATTCAATAGATATCCAATAACAAATTATTACAAGATTTAATCAGTCTATTTTTACCTGTAATTCAGCAATATGGTTATCCCATTTTTCTTGCCCAATCAGTTCCACAGCTTTTACCAACAATTGGGTAACTTTACTAAGATTCTGTTTAAAAGCTTTTAAAACATCAGTAGCACACACAATATCTTTGGAATCTTTCCAACAATCATAATCTGTTACAATAGCAACAGTAGCATAAAGTAAACCAGCCTCTTTCGCTAAACAAACCTGTATAAAATATTTTTGATTGAAATTCAATTCAAATTAAATTATTAATTCTTTCCATGTGTTTAAATAAACCTCTGGATAAGTCGTCATATTAATAAGATGTCCTCCCCATTGACGGAACATGTTACTTTCAGCTTTTGAAGAGAAACGTGGTCCTTCTATCGAAACAATTGTGCCTCCCTGTTTAATAGGTATACCTAACTTTTCAGCAGCTTTCTCCAATACCTTAGAAGTATGAGGATCAAAAGCTGGCTCCATAGGTATATGGCAAACACCTAAAATGTATCCATATTTCATATTAACTTTAATATGTCACATATTTGTAATATAGATCTAAAACACACATACCTGCATAGTTTGCTGAAGTATTGTCATAAAATGTTCCTTTTCTCTGCTTGGTTATATCAATAAAACTATCTGGAATGACTAATTGACCTCTAGAAATTGACTCAGTAAGCGAACCACAGGCTGTTGATGCTAAAACATGAGTGCAACCTAGCAGTCGTAAAGCTTCTATATTTGCTCGATAGTTAACATCGGTTGGTATAGTTTTGTGTCCTAGTCCATGCCTTTAAAATTCAATAACCAGCTTATTAGGTTTCTTGATTTTTTAGAAATTACTATTAAAATAGTGATAAACAAATGCAAATACCTAGATAGTAGTATAACATCAACTCCATCAATAGTACCTTGATAGAGATTACTTGTCGGAATGCCAAACTCATTCTTAGCATATTCTGCCTTGATCTCAGAACAACATTTCAGTATTTCATTAGCTGGATCATCTAGGCCAGATCCACCAATAATGCCTACCTACAAAACATCAATAAAAATTGTAAAACACACAGAACAGGAAGAAATCAATGCTTCACTAAAACCATATTGTAATACACTTAAATCTTGAACTTATCAGAGATCAAACAGGTGTGGCATTGGGAAACATAGAAAGAAGACAATTGAAACAACATAAAGCATTATTTTAGAATTAAATTTGCTTACATACCTTGATGTCTTGCTTAACCATGTTGCTCCGAGAGAGAGAGAGAGAGAGAGAGAGAGAGAGAGAGAGAGAATGAGAGAGCGAAAGAATAAGAGGACACCTCAAATTAATAGCAATAAACGATTTGTCTTTATCCAATTGAGAGCTTGCTCCACATTGCGTCCAAGTATGCGTGTGCAGTCGGTATATATTATCTTTTTCTAGGCTTCTATTCCGTCCCATAGAATATCTGACTGCGTTGGACAGTCAAACTGTCATTGAACATTCAATTTTGCTGTCAGCGCAGAAATGCCACGTCGTCGAGCAAATACAACGGAACAGACGATGTTAACCCCTTGTTCAAACAGCACACTGCAAGGTGCTGTATTCTGGAATAAAATCTGAAATAAAATCTAAACCTGGAAGAACCTGCAATAAAATCTGTTGCGCACCGATTATCAATCTGGTTTTTTTCCCTTCGAATCCGATATGGTATGGCGCGTCAGGGGTTTAGCGCGCAATCGCGCTCTTTTTTGAAAGAGAGCACCAGTTGTTCACTCGCGTGTGAAGGCTCAATTGCTGTATAGTGCGACGCGATTGACAATTCGATGTACTTCTTTTTTTTCGTCTTTTTTTTGTCTTTTTTTGCGAAACAAACGGGAGAGCGAATGTTTCACGCTCGATACGATCATCATTGCGCGCGATCGAAATCATTACCATTATCGAGACCGTTCGATGTTCGCGTATCGTCGTGTGCCCACGTACGGCTCCGCGATAATAGCTACACATTCGTCAACGCGGAAAGTACTCTCGCTGCCAATGATTACGAAACGCGGCGCGCGTGCACTCTCGCTCCCCCGTTTATCGGAGGCTTGCGGCTCGCAAAGGCCGCGGGATCGCGCGATTAATTAAGACGGCGGCGGGTACAGCGCCAACGACGCTAATTGAGCTCTCGCGCGTCTCTCTCTCTCTCTCTCTCGTGTTCTCGGCCTCCGAGACAGTGAGCGACGTGCGGGCCGGGCCCTTGCTCGCGCGTCGAGTGACACACCCACGCGCGCGTCAACCCGCAGCGAGCTGTTTTGTGCGGCGCGCCGCTGACAAAAGCAGCTATATACCTGCGGACGGATTTTTCGTTTCTTTTTGTGGGGCGTACATTGTCGCCGTGAGACGAGAGGCGCCCGCGATCAATAGCGTAATTGGAGACGTCCGCGCGCTCTCGTCGTGTCCTTGCCGACGAACAGTTGGTTCGGTTGCGGTGAAGAGCGACGACGAACAGGAATCGTACTCGCCGGACTCGAGAGAAAACACGACGATTAGCGCGCGCTCGTTAGGAAATCTCTCTCTCTCTCTCTCTCTCTCTCGAACTCTGGTCGGCGCGGCGTACGTCGTATATATTGATCGAGGGTCGCGCGCGACGTACCACACGCATGCAGCGTCACGGCGGCGCGCGGCTGGCACTCGGCTCTCGCGGCGGCCGAAGCACTCAGCAGCCGGCTTTTAGTTCGCGTCCGAGCGCGCGGCGCGACACACACGTCTTGCGATTTGCGCGCGGGCGCGCGCGCGAGCCGGCGTGCGACTGCCCGTTGAGGTGAGTACGATGGAGTTCGCTACGCGCTGCTGTCGGGGATGTCGAAGCTCGCGTGTATTTTCTCGCGCAACTCTCTCGCTGTCGTTTCACTCCGAGTCGTCGTGCGCGTGGTGCACGCTGGCAGTGCTTTCTCGTCTCCTCTCGCCCGCGGTAGTCATCGGCCAATTGAGCTTAATTGAGACGCTCGCTCTCTACGTCTCCGTGACTCAGCCGCGACGGCCGAGCGGTCTTTCCTTCACCGACGCGCTTGTACCGGTGAGATTTTTATTCAGGGTTAGGTCGGGTTGGCGACAGGGGGGGGGGGGGGTGCGCGTACCACAGGATCGATATAACGCGCGTGCACGTCTTTCTAGCTGATTCAGCGGTGAGCTAAGGGCGCAGCATGTGGGGCTGAGAGTCATGAGCGTCACGGGGCTGCCGCCGCCACTGCTGCTGCTTCTGCTGCTGCCGCCGCTGCTGTTCTGCGACGCCGTGAGCGTGGTGGACCACCACCCAGACGACGAGTACGTCGTCGAGCATGAGGTCAGCTATCAGCAGGCCGTGAAGCGAGCGAGGAGCCTCGAGCTCTATCCAGGTGAGCGTAAGAAACGCACTCGAGGCCGATGAAGAATCGGCACGAGCGCGGGCGCAGCTGCGCGACAGTGGGCAATCGAGCTACGTCCGCTGCACAGAACGCGCGTCTAATGTTTCACGGAAAGCGCGATTGGAACTAAACGAGTGCTTAATGAACGCATAGAATGAAATTCGAGAGCCATCGAGCGTCCCGTTCCTTATCGTCTCGAAGCGCGCGCGCGACATTCGACTCTCTTTCTATGCCTTCAATTATATCGCTCTCGTGTCAAGTCGAAAAGAAGTCGATGAAACGAAAATAGAGCGCGCGCTCGCGGACAATAGAACGGAAATGGAGAATATTTGTTCTCGTTCGCCTCGAGGAGCGCCAGCACACACGTGCAAAAATATTCGACTCGCGACTGTTGTACGTCCGATAACGGGCCGCGTCCCAACACGCCACGGTTAGATCCGGCGACAAATGTCAAGAAAAAAAGAGAAAAGCCAGCGCGCGCAAGTTGCGCTGGCAATCTCCGCGCGTACATTCGCACAAAGGACCGCCTTGTGAGCCAAGCGCTCTCGGCGGCGATAAGAAACGAGAGAGCCGTTGGCGAGATATCTCCTCGTCGCGCGCGTACACCTTTTCCATCTCCGGCTCGGCTCGCGACACGGCGGCGAAATTCGGCAAGGGAACGAGCAAACGGAGACTCAGGCGCGCGGCTGTGTCCGCCTGTGTTGCAGGTCCGATACCGGGCTGCAAGCCCTGCACCAGCGACGAGATGAGCTACTGCGCGGACCAGCGCGTCATCGACGATCACTGCTGCTGCGACAACGGCTACAACGGTGAGTTCCAGGCAAGGGATCGACGCGCACGAGACTTATACGCGCGCGCGGAGAAAGAGAGAGAGGAAAGGCCACCTGCCAGGAAACCGACTTGCTATCGTGCATTCGCGATTAGACAAGACGGCAATGCCCTTATACGCTAGGTACGTTACGCGCGTAGCTCGCTTAATTTTCATGCCCGTTCGTTTTCGCATTCGCAACGCGGACGGCGGTTTTTCCAGCCCGAGTGACTTATCGAAGTTGGCTTTTCCTCCGAGGGAACTTCGGTGCGCGTCACGTCCACGCGCAATTGCGCAACGAGCGCGCGCACCGTCTCGACCTTTAACGCTCGCGCGGCAACTCTTTACTGCATAGCGCTGCTGTTCTCGCCGCGGGTACCGATCGCGGATTTCGATGCCCGACTTTTGTTCAGCCCTCGAGCGAAAGAAACCTCCGACGTTGGGCTCGCCCTGCGCTCCCGCGTGCTCGCATCCGCTCTGCCGCGTGTACCTGCTTCGCTCGTGTTTGTTGTGTTTTTTCCTTTCCGTTCTCTGCTTTTGTGCCCCCGTCGACACTCGAGATTTCTATGATGGACTCGAGTATGTCTTACACCCCTGCGAATACATCGGCTTCGTTTTACAGGCCGAGTACGCGTCACACCCGGAGAAATCTAACGCTCGCCGATAACAAATTTCACTCGTCCAGATAAAGTTTGTCCATCGCGTATGTCAAAATTAGGCCATTTTTTTCTTTTTTTTTTCCTTTTTGTTCTCCGGCGGAAGAATCGCGAGTAAACAGTACGAGCCGAGAAGACGAAGAAAAAAGCTGAACGCGGAGATTACGCATTATCGCGTTCACACTCCGATAAACTTCGACTCGTCTCGTCCGAAAACCAAACAAGACTCGGCGAGAGAGCGTGGCGAGATTTTGTTCTTATTTCGCGAGCGTGAGGTGGCCGTGAGGTTCTCCGTTTCGGAAAAATACAGAAGCTATTCTGTCTCTCTCTCCCTCGTCTTCGAGGAAATAGAAAAGAAAAATAAAAGAAAGAAAGAACCTCTTTGCAAATCGCCGCACAATGCCGTACACTTTGTCATGCAAAACGACACGCACCGCGGCCGCGCGCGGGCGCGTATCGATTGCGCAATGGAGCGCTGCTCTGGATGCATCTTCGGGCGATGCCATTGTGCCGACGAATCTCGCCGCGATCTACTTACGGCGGCGGCCGGACGTGCGTCGAGCGCGTCGCGCGGAGAACCGAATGCAACTCGCTGGGTGCAAAACCGTGGCATCGGAGGGGACGGACGGGCGACGTGGAAAACAGAGCGATATCGATTCGCCGCCGGCGGCCGCTGACTCGATCGCCGAAGAAAATCAGCTCCGCCAGGCTGGTTCGGGAAGAGCGCTCTTTAACGGCCGACAATTACGAAACGTCGCGCCGAGGCTGGCTTATATCCGGCAGCGCGCGTCCGACGGCCCCTCGCTCCTCCAAATCCAGAAGTGCCGCTCGGCGAATTACGAGCCGTTTAACGACTGAATCATCTAGCGAACGGCCTGCCACTGAAAATTAAACCAATTAGAATACTCCCTGACTCACGCGCCACCAGCGGCCGGCTGCGCGCGCGCGCGCGTACGTGCCCGGAGGAAATTCGCCGTGCGTTCACAGGCAAGAATCTGCCCAAAAAGCTCCCAGCGCTTTTTATCCAGTTGAGCGTCTATTTTTACGAACCTCGGTCGCACTAGATCGCGCTCTCTCTCTCTCTCTCTCTGCCTCGCGTAAACGCGCGCCGAGCATGAAAAAGCAAACAACAAGAGTATACGAGCGAGGCGCGTCATCGTTGCAGAAGTGCTTGATTTCGTGGAGCACACGTGCCTCGTGGGTCCGGAAGCCTGCCAAGTGAAGGCGGGCGACTGCGCCGAGTACTCCCGGTTGCGCGAGTGCTGCTGCCACACGTATCTGGCTTCCTTATGTGAGTATCGCGCGTATCGCACTAACCCACTGTCCAGCTCTCTCGCTAATCGACGGCTCTCCTCCTGCTCAAGGGAAATACAAGGCGGGCGGAGCGAGCGGCACCCAAGTGACGATCTGCCTGCTGGCGTCGCTGCCCGTCGCCCTCGGGGCCGTTCGATGACATCCGCACCGAGGTGTCGAGCCAGTGGACTGATCTCGCCGCTGAAAGAGCCGCGGAGAAGCGGCAGAGATCTACGTTGCCGAGCCGCGGCGCGTTACGCAAAAGCTCTCGACACGCAAAGTCGCCGCAACCCATTGTCATCGTACCGTTTTATTGCCTCAGCCGTAGCCAAGGCACCAAGGCTCTTGTCTTTTATTCTCTCTATTTCGCGTGTTTTATTGGAAGATTGGATGGCCGCGGTACGAGAGGATGCTTGTTTTGTTGTTTACGCGCGACGACCCGCAAGCCGAAAACTACTATCTGCGGTCTTTCGCGTCCTTCGTGTACATATATACCTTTGACAGGACTGCTACACGATTCAATGCCTATTTTTAAGGGAACGATTGATTTCGATGTTTCTCGTGCCTCCCAATGCATCGGTTGTCAGCCGAGCGTTCGGTCGACGAAGCACTCTTTTTTTATTTTTTCTTGTTTTACGAATACGAAATGAAAAATAATCGTTGCCTTCGCGAAGATTAACTGCATGCAATTGCGTAAAGCCGACACTTTTGTTTCAGTATGCCATCTTCTCTGCATTCAATTTAGTATCGCATGACAAGCAAAAGTGACGACGATTAAATTTCCGAAAGAAAATGAAAATTTTACTTTGAACACAATGTAATTTTTAATTGGCAGCCCCATGTCATCCACGTGTGAACGCTTCATTGTTTCATCGAGAACCGTTCTCGCAATAATATTTCAGAAACACGCTAAATTTGGAGAAATTTCACTTATTTATTTTACTAGGCTCCAATGTTTTATCTTCATTATAGCTATTGTTGAATGCAGACAAACGCGTCACGAGTCGCGTTCGTAATCGAAAAATGTTCCATCGCGACTTCAAAACAATAATTATTTGTTGACAAGCGCGTGGAACTCACTCGCTCATTCATGAGAAAATTTAATGGTTTACGATTCGTTCAACTTGCTGCCATAATAACCATCGATCTTCGTTAGTATTACATGACCAGCTAGGACAGTCCTTAGTTTTATCTCTTAATTTTTTAATCAATGTATGTAAAGTTGTAAAAATAATTGTTTATTATTTGATGAAAAATATCTCTTAACGCGTCTGAAAACAAACATTATAATCTCAAAAAAGATTTCTATCAAGTTTTCAATAAAAAAGTACCACGAAAAATAATTGTAACATATAACTTTTTTCATACAGCTTACGATTTTTATTTTTGTTAATTTTATAAATAGTCTTCGTGCAGTTTCAATTGAGCGAAGACTTTGAAATGCTGTATCGATATTATAGCTATAACTTACACGAAAAAATAGCCATTTATAAAGTGAGCAATGAAAAAATTGTCAAAGTAATGCAAAATAGAAATGAGAAAAGAGGTAAGTATTCTTTTTGCTGACGTTTTAATTCAGAAAATTTCCACTAATTCGCTACCAATAAAAAAAGTAGCGCACAAATAAAGCAATATGTCTGTAAAATTTGTTACCCACCCCTCAAACTGATCGTAATGAGCAACGTTTTACTCCCCAGGTAGATAAAGTTGCTTTACTGTGTACCTAGCTAGCAAATGAATTTGTATGAAATCATAAAAGTATAATGATTATACTTGTTGTACTGCAAAGTATTGTTGCTAAGTGTTGAGAAAATAATATATTGCAATAATTTTATCTCCAATCCTAGCTATTATTCACAATTCTCACTCTAATGATTAAGACAAAGCTTATCAATAAGCTGACAAAGTTAAATATAAATTCATTGAGATAAATAATCGAGCTATGCAAAGATTTAGCAAGATCGTTTGCACACAAATCACTGTGACGAATTAAACATGTCAATGTATGTTATCTCGCAGTTTTTTGTGACAATTTGTAAATTCTAAACGGTCTTCCCATCGCCTAAACATCATTGTAGCCGACGCGATCGTCATTATCGTGGCACTCAAAAACGTTCCGACTCGACTTTTCAACAAATTGTAAGTTCAGCAATCAGGCGCTGATAACACCGATTAATATGAACGTTTCGTCGCTCCCTTTCGTTTATGGTTTGTTGTTGAACGCTTTACAATAGCGATATGAAATACTTTTCGAAATTGTTATCTATTTTTGATAAAGTTTTAATACGTCAGATAGGTAATAATTAAAATAGTTAAAAAAAGTTATCGCGTTAAAAGAAAATTTAATTTTTTTAAATCTATTCTTGTAATTCGTTCGGTTTACCCTTTGCGCCACTTTCGTTTTCTGGCCTCGAACTGCGAACTGTTTGGCTTCTTGTTTCTTACAATTTCAAGATTAGTTATTAATTAAATTACTATTAAATTAATAATATAATTCAATTAAATTAAGAATTAATTATTCTTGCATAAAATATATAAAATGACAATGTTATAACAGCATATGTGCGCATATGATATAACTATGTTTCGTCTTCCATTAATACAATCGGTGATATGCAACTATATATATTTCTAAGAACAAATGGTATTTTAATTCTACGAATGATACGTGTATGCGTCGTGCGTGTGTATAACGTATGTGCGTGTGTGTGTGTGTGTTTATATATACATATTGCAATAGTTTAGTTAATCGGAGTATGGATAGTCGTTATACGACGACGGCTGTGCGATTATTATAGCTGTTGATAAATGGAAAATTTCGGTTTCTTAATTAATATTTGTGTTTTTTCGCTGCAACTAAAGGTTTATTCGCAAATATTTATTTCTTATTATATAACAAAATATACAAGTTTCAGTTGACAGGAATTAAAAGCAAGATCCGATTTGGAATTTGATAGTCCTTCTTATTGTTTAAGCGGTCGAGACGTTCGGCCGGATGTGTAGCGTACACCGCTTCAATGAGAGCTAAATTGCAGTTTGGGATTTCTGGGACTACATACATTTGAGAACTACGTTGTAATGAACGTCTCTCATAATTGATGGGGACGCGACATCTCCTTTTGTAACGCGCACATTCGATCTTCCTTTCGACGAAAAACGGTTGTTCTCGAAGATTTTCTTTGTATAAAGGTCCATTTTATGTCTGTCCGTTAATTGGATTTTAAAAGAAAAAATACGGCGCGCCGTCACACGAGACAATCCGTACGGTAGCGTCGATAAACTGATTGCAGTCATCACGTAATTCCAGTAGCTGTAAGTCAGTCGAAGGCGTTTTGCGTTTTTATCTGTTGCATAAGGAACTTTTAACGCAAACTGTAAATCAATTTTGCAAAAAGGCATGCACGGCGAAGCTTATTAGACTCTCCGAAGTCTTCGCTCGATAGTCACGAAGAAAATATACGACAGGTGTCCAACAATGGCAGCTTGATTTCTCGGAAGACACGTCGAAAAATTGCATATTGCAAGCTTATGATTTGAAGAGCTCCGCTGTAAATGTTGGACAAGTCGAGCATCGATCTACCTTGCCGACCCAGGTTCGTCTCTCTCGAGCGATACAGCTTCGACCAAAAGCTGCCAGATTGGCTCTCAGCACCCCGACTAGCGTCCGATCGTCGAGCAATGCCAAAAGCCGTCGGCGCTGCCTCCGGACTTGCGCGCGCGTCGGCCGGGCTAGTCCGCGCGCCAGGAGTGGCGCCGGCCCCGCGCGCGACAAAGAGCACCCGCGCGCCTGCCGTCCGCGTCATTTTTACCGCCGCACTCCGGCGACCGTCCTCGTGCTTCGTTTTCCCTTGGCCGTGCACTCTCTGCTGTCTCGCGGCGTTGTCGCTGTTCGCGCACGACTAGTCGCTTTCGAAAACTGCGCAGTTGCCGCAGTCGAGTGGACGTCCAACGGCCGACGACTGTCGTCCCGAAGCCAGACGATCCTGGGAGAGGCGTCCGCGCGCACGTGCCGAAAATAACGTGCATGGATCGCTCGACGGGCTATCCCCCTTCGCGCAATCGTCGTAACCTTCGGGGAGTCGAATGATAATGCCATTATGGGAGTGATCGCCGGCAATCGGTCGCGTTAATTCCGAGACGTCGAGTGTGCGAGACCGTTCGTGACGTTAAGCGCGTGGATACGAAGAGGATTGCCGAGACGAGACGAGGGTTGTTGCCGACAGCCCGAAGGCGGCGCCTCGACCGACGACCAAGGCTCGCGGACGCGTGCGATTCCTCGATTTCGTCCTCGAAAGGCGTTTTGCCGCGCCAACTCTGCCGTGGCCCCGTGACTACGCGCGCGTGGATCAAATTAATGGTCTCCGTCGAGGTGAGAATGGCAACTCGGCAACCGACTCGGGAACAGAAGTCGGACAACTGCGAGAGGTATATATAGATGTCGAAGTCGCGCTGTTTTCTTCTGGAGCACAGCGTTTCGTCAGTCGGCGACACGTGTCGAGCACCTCGAATTTTCCGCGTGTGGAAAATGTGGACGCTAGTCACGTACTAACGTTATGGGAGGGAGGGAGGGAGGGAGGGGTTAGTACGCGCTGGCACGCTCTTCTTTTTTATCCACGAACAAATGTCGCGCGAAGAAGCAATTGCATCGTTCGTATTCCGCGACACTCTGAAAAGATATTCGCTGTCCGTCGAGCGATCGCGCATGCGCTCGAGGAAAGGGGGTCAAAAAGCTGAGCGCACGTGTCGGCCGGCCGAGCCACTTGCATCCCCGTCAGGATGTTTGACCGAGGAGCCGCGCGGCCAATCACGCAAAATTGCCAAAAGCAACTGAGGCGGGCCTCGGTCTCTCTTTCTCTCTTCCTTTTGTGCGCCGTTCCGCCGAAATTTTATTGCCCTTCCGCCAATTGATAGGTTGTTTGGAGTCCGGAGAAAATATTACTGTACGTTCTGAATTGATACAAATACGGCATCAGAGTTCATTGAAGGGGACACGTGCGTACGCTTCGTTTCTTGAAATGTTACGCATGTACATGCCTACACATTCACGCGTATACGTATACCGTGGCGTTGAGATCATTTCTTAGGGAATCAATTTATTTTATTTACTTATTTTCTTCGAAAGTTTCCGCTTAACATCGAATGGTGTATCGGACTTTGTACTAAAAAAAAGAGAAAAAAGAAAAAAGCTAGATGCAATTTGTTAGCTCTTTAACATTGATTATTCATGCAGAGAAACCACCTGAAAAACATTTATCTTATTACGTTGTTTACAGGCTTACAAATCTCTATTTAATAATAATATCATAAATTGATAAAGTCTATGTAATTTAAAATCGGTACTGAAGCTGGTACTTAACTCCAATTTGAATGAATCTGCCTACATTTTAGCCTGTAAAAGTAACAGTTTGGAGCTTCTTCGAAAATTGACTACAACAATTAGGTATTAGTCAATCTCTTTCTAGCATATACCTTCTATAGCTCTCTTTCTCTTTCTTTTCATTTCAAATAGTATATCAATGAATGTAAACTTTATTATAACTGCGGTAATATCAACAAAGTAGACGGAATCGTAATGTACATTAAAAGTAATATTGAACGTAGAACCGAACACAAAATCCTTAAAAATTTAAATATATTAAATTGCAAAATAACATTGAATAAACATATTATTAATACAATTATAGGATTATATGTGTCATAATAATGACAAAAATCTATTCTTAAAAAATCTAGAGTAATATACAATTTCATGTAAAAATATAAGAAACCATATAATCATCGGAGATTTAAATATTAACACAAAAAAAATTGGATGATAAAACACATAATTTTATGTTAAATCTTCTTAATAAATATTATATACAGTTACTTGAATAGGCCATCTAAAGACAATCCAAATCGAGGGACCTGCATATTTATTTGCAAAGCTTAATAGAAAATAAATGACAATAATAACAGGAAAAAGTTTTGTGTAAATTTAATAAAACTATAAAAACAGAATCATTGATAAAATAGAACGTAATAAAAAAATTCTTTGAAAGATATAGGAAAAATATAGGTAGAAAAGGTGCACGCACAGTCTCGTTCGCGAATTTGAAGATTCGCAAAGAAAGTAGAATGCTATGGAATCCGAGGATTACCGCACCTATTTTTGAAAATTTCTTCAACTAATACATTACAGATAGTAAAAATTAATACACATTTCAAATACTATTTTAGGTCTATTACTATTTATTTGTTAATAAAATGATCTATTATACTCACTCCCTCAAGAAACAATATCATACGCAGACGATACAGTAATAATTAGTAAACAAGAAACATGGCTGAAAACAAAAGAAGCAATGGATAAACTACTAGAAAATATCAAGGTATGGCTTGCTTTGAATGAATTAGCTCTAAACGCAACCAAACCAGTTTTTTATACCATTTGAAGCATACATTAATAATGAACCAGAAGTTTTAAATATAGATATAAAATATGAAGATTAACAGAGTAAATTTACATCATTATCTAGGAATTATTTTTGATAGCAAATTAAAATGGAAAACACACATTGACCTCGCAGCTAAAAAATAAAATATTATAGATGTATTCAGACGGTTTTCAAAAATGTAAGAAACTAAAGCATTATTACTAAGCATTAATTCAAAGCATTAACATACATGGAATTACTATATGAGGCAGTGCACATTGAAATACGCTATCACATTTAGAAAAGTACAAAATATAATATTAAAAGTACATACACGAAGCTGTGATGACAAATTGTGCTCATCTTTCCTACTTGATTACAAGCGATCAATAAAACTAATAAGGAATAAATTCAGTTGACCAAATATTGACAAAACAGTGAAATAAAAAACATCATAAAATCATACAAATAAAATAAAAGAAAAAAATATATACTCAAGAAAAAATTAAAAAAGGAAATACAGGACAACACTAAACTGCAGAAAGATCTTTACATATTACATGACTAACAATGTTAATCTATTGTATTTTGAAATTTAAAAACCTTGTATAATGTATATATACTGAAAAAACTATACGTTGCAATATTGTAAACAGGAGACAGTAATTCATAAGCTGTGATCACATAGATAAATGTTTACCCTGGTGGAATTATTGTTATAATATTTCTTTATGTGGTCAATCAATAATTATTGTTATCATTATTAAGATCTTTCGGCAATGTGATTTTTGGGCTTGTCATGGAAAATATAAAAATAGATATTATTCTTTTTAGAACGGTTTTTTTTTCTTAAATTGCGAAAGTCTTGAAAAACAGCCGAAAGTCCGTTTTGCGGACACCCTTAACCGGTCGAGGCCCCAGGCTCGCACTTCCTAGGCCCTTATGGTCGAGCATGTCCGCAACTACGTGAAAAAAAAAATGGCACTGCCGGCACGGGATCACGCAGAGGAGCCGAGATCCGATGATTCTGCTGGAAGCACGTGTAATTTTGACACAGGCAGTCGAGTGTAAGACGGGCATGAGCTCTCGATAGGCTTTACGGTAACTCGATGACGCGCGCGAGGAATATTTATAGTCTAACCGTCAATTCGGCTTTTTATCTGGCTGTCAAATCACGGCTCTCGCGTTTATCGATCGACGACTTCTTCTTCGTATTCTTTTTCTTTATTTCTTTTTTTATTTTTCGGCAGTCAAGCGCCAAAAATACGTCTCGCGTTCGATGCAGGTTCTCACAATCCTCGGACGCGGCGCCGCATCATGTCATTCGTATTTTTAGTTCCGCAACGTGCGTAATCGCAGAGGGTTGCGTTCTCTGCAGTTACTTCATAAGGAAATTCTGACGATTTATTATCGGGATAGGCGGGACGCGTATAAGCTAATCTATTAAGTCACCGCGCTGGTAATTGCTTGCTGACGCTCGCGAGTTTTTTTAACATCGCGCGCGCGAAAGCTCGCCGATACACACAGCTGTGGAAAGAAGTGCCTGCAAAATAAAGCCGCCAGATACACGGTTTATCAACGAGAAAGACAACGATATAGGCAACTTATCAATTTAACACATGTATTTTTAGTGCACGCTGACGTAAGAATTTCGATGCTCACGCGTCTACGTAGCTTTTCTCCTGTTTACTTTTCTGTCTGCTGCGCTCTTGGGCGCCGGAAATTCGGCTTTGTCGCTTTTTCCTTCTCACATCGACGCGCGACTATCGGAACGTCGCCCGGGTGTCCGTGTAACGATCGTCGCGATCGCTCGCGAAGGTCCTTGCTTCGCGTCTCGGTGAACGCGACCATTTCGATTCGGCATTCCGTGTCGACTGGTATGACCGGGATCGCTCGATCGTCGAACGGAAAAGTCTGCCCGACAATGGCTTTGCCAGTCGCGTCACCGTTGTGGAATCGAGAAAAAATAAATAAATAAAAAGACTTGCAGCTCCGCAGCGAGGCGTCGATTAATATTCGATCCAGCGGAGCGTCTCGAGATATTAGCGGTGGCGCGAAGCGACGTTGGAAAAAACTAGCGTTCCGTCGCGCGTCGAGAGTACGAGCGCGAAAAGGAAGCGGAAAAAGTAGGAGGCGAGCCGTTGCTGGTAATTATGTCAGCTGGCGACTACAATACTCGAGCGCGAGGAGATGGGAGACGGAGATGAGGTCGCGCGCACACGTGTCGGTCGCACAATGACTTTGTTTGCACTCCTGCACTCGTATCTCGCCGAGCTTTTCGCGCATATCTCTTTCCAAATCCCAAAGGCCATCGACGTTGCGTTGCTTTTTTTCTTTTTTTGGCGCGGCGCGACTCGTGTAACATCGCGCCTGCACGCCTCATTGGTCACTGAACCTGTCCTCGACGACATCGTTGAGTGGTGCAACGGCTTTACGATGTATCGGGGCTTCGGAAGAATCGGAACGCGCTCTTCGCCGGAGCGAGCGACCGGAAAAACAAGGAGTATCCGCGAGAGAATTCCTGCGTGCATTTTTAAGCGACGAAGTCGTCAACTTCAGATGTGTACTCGTCTGCTCATAAATGTATCGTTGTTAGTTGACGATGTTAAGCGTGCTTCCAATTGCAAATTTTCCGCAGACGAAAATATATCAGTTTTTCATAAACGCGGAATGCACATTGCTTATTTGTCAACTTTCGAAGGGCATATTCGTGTATAATTAGAAGCAACAACAAATTAACTCCTGGAAACAACGCAAACTTTCTGTTATTGCGTTAATTGATTCGCGATGTAATGACGGAGACTAAACGAAAAAAAATACGATTTTATGTGTTTTCGTGTGTGACAGAGTCTAAAGTTTACATTGTACGTTATTTGTCAATAAGGCTCGATTAACTCGCTGTAATCTAGAGCGTTTGGAATGCGCCAAAGAAGGCTATTGCGAAAAATATCGATTTATTCTTCCCGCAGATAAAGAGAACGATTGGACAGCACAAGTCACAACTGGGCTAGATGATTGGCCGAGGATACGCGAGCGTCTGGTTATCGAATCGAATCGTCCGCAAGTTCAAGATCACCTGCGTCGCCTCAACTGCTACACGCGCTCGCGATAACGATTGCGAGAGAGAAGCGTTTCGAACGGTCGACCTACAGCGAATCGCTGGACGAGGCCAGCCGAGCGTTCCGCCCCGGCGCGCCGATCCGTCCACCCGCGACGGGGGACGCGGTCGCGTCGCGCGCCGGTCGATGAATCGCCGGGCGACGGCCAACGGGGGAACGCGCGACCGCGGCACGCGCACCGCTCGGTCCGCCAGACAGCCACGCCGAGGAAAAATCGCGCACGCGCGCGCGTCCGGCGCCGGGGAGGAAAAACACCGAAAATCGCAAGGCCGCGCAGGCCCTGACCTTTTATACATGCGTCTAATCGCGATGGTCGCCGTATAGGCATGCACGAGCGCGACGCGGCGCTTAGTCCAGTAAAATCTTTGCTCGATTCCATAACGATTTTCGCGCGGAAAGCTTATATCGGTAGAACCCGAGCTCGACACTCGTGGGCAGCGAGTGTCGAGGGATGTCGAGAGCAGCGTGCCGACACCGAACGAGATTTTACTATAAAAACACGAACCGCGAATTTTCCGATCTCTGTTTTTTGCCATGGCCACTCCTGCTCGAACGTCCGCGGTTCGCTTTCAACCCACTGCACGCGCAGTGCCTATTGCGTACGTAAACCCTGTCTTGCAGATCTAGCTGAGCCATAACTAATGGCCAGCTACTCGAAAGTACAGCGAAATCACGCTTGCTTTGTTTTTCCCATCATTGTTTTACTGCTGCAATTTTTATGCGCTCTTTTTTTCACGAGATTACATCAACAGAAACGTTACGAAAGTGATTTATCTTTGATTTTAGTTGACGCACGTAATCTGTTTTGTGCGCAGATTGGCTTAACGGCAGTAGCTACCTGTAAAACTCCTTTGGGCGTCTGGCTTCTCATTTTTGCTCGGCTAAATCTGCAAGCCAGAGCTGGGTTTACGGTCCAATCGAGAAAGATCGGGAAATTCGCGGTTTGTTTCTCAAAGCTGGATCAAAAAAAGATAAAGGAACACGCAGTTCGACGTAAAATTTCACGCGCTGCAATTTTAATTCGTCGGCTTTTCGGCTTTCGGCACGGTTACGGAGACACGGTTGTCGTAAACGGCAAAGCTTCCCCGATTTTCCGCGTTTCCGAAAAGCGTCGAGCTCTGGTTCCTCGAACGCGAGCTTTCTACGCAAATATCAACATAATGTGAAAAAACCAGCTCGGCGCGAGCGTTGTTGGAGCCGAGCACTCATTTTACTGGACTATCTGCCGTTTTGCGCTCGCGCGCGTCTCGAGTCGCAATCTTATCGCGACGCGGCCGCGCTGCCGCCGGTTTGTTGTTGCGCTGCGAGCAGCTCGGCTCCGTCGGGCCCCGCGAATCGATCTGCGATCGAGAAGTGCGCGCATCGTTATTAGCAGCCGTTCGCTCGCGGAGAGCGAGAGAGCGCGAGCTTTTTTGTGGCCATCGCACGTGGAGCAGACGAGAAGCGAGACGCTGGCAACGAACCACGCGCCTTCTTTCTCTCGTTTCTCTCGCGTGGCGACCGCGAGCTAGTAAGGCTTTTGGTATATAAGAGAGCCTCCTCCGTGCACCGGCGCGCAGTCCTCCGCTCGGCAGCGAGCAAGTGATACGCATATTGTACGCGCGCACTCTCGGCCGATCGATAACGCCGCCTCGTTATCGGGCGCGACCACCGCCGAAGGTGACGCTCCCGGGCATCTCGCGCGCGCGCGCGGCAGCGAAGGGACGCAAGCGCGAGCGGCTCTCTCACTCTCGTGGTCGCGGACAGGGCAGGCGATGACGAGCGGCGCGGAGGAGGCGTTGGCGGCCGGCGGCGCGTCCTGGACCGCCCTCGTGCTCTGGTCGAGTCTGATGCTCGCGCTCTGCGTGTCGCTGACCAGGAGGGCCAGGTTCGTGCACGCGCTCCGGAGTATCCCTTCGCCGAGCGGCGCGCTGCCGTTCCTCGGCAACGCCATGCAGCTCAACTGCAGCCTTGAAGGTAAGCGCCTCCCCTCCCCCTCCAGCGCCTCCAACGCCTCCCCCGCCTCTCCTATTCGGCCCCTTTCTTCTGTCTCGGCCGCGGCGCGTCGCTACGACTTGGTACTAGTTGGTTCCCTTGCGCCGCAGGCCCTGCGCTATAGCGATCGTTGCACTCGCCGGCAGAGACGACACGTGCCGGCGGCGCGCCGAGCCCCGACGCGCTATTACGCCCGTCCTGTCGCCGATGCCGGCTTCTCTTCCTTTTATTCATTTTCATTTTTATTTTATTCTTTTCTTCTTTTTTCGCAATCGGCCGTTCGATATACCTACGCCTAAGCGACTTTCTTCCTTGGAGCTTTCGTTTTTTACAGTGTCGACCTTCGAACGTGCAGAGGGATTTCGCTCGTTGTGTTGACGCCGCTGCTTTTAATCACAGCTGGCAGATTTCGGCGCCGACCAACTTGGCGCGGGATGAGCTTATTTTTTTTCTTTCGAGATTTTTCGAAAAATCAGGGTAGCGCGATGTAGCCAGATGGTTTCTCGAATTGACAGTGCGGCGCAATTCCGCTTGACAATCGTACGAGAGAGAAGCGAGCGCGCAAGCAAAAGAACAGAAATATCCCGCGGCGCGATCTCGTCTCTTCCGTTAACTTGAAAACAAACCGTAAATATTCGTCGCAGTACAAATTTAGACCGTTGCGTGTGAAAATCCAAGCGGTACCAACAAATCAAGCTCGAAATTCCGCGAATCGCATTAGCATCCAATCGCCATTCCGAAATTGAGAGTCCCGGTAGCGCCGCGCGAAACGTTACAAATCATCGGGACGTCTTGTGAAAGACGCTCAAAATTACGCGATAGTCCCACGCTCGAATGCGCAATATACGCTTCTACTTTGCGCGAGATAAACTGTAACGTTTCGCGCGTCGAAAAGCATTTCTCTCTCTCGCTCTTCTGAGCGCCGATAACTTTTTTTTTTCGCTCGCGTCTCGGGCTCTTCCTGCCCCGCGGCCCGAGAGAAACGAGAGCTGCGCGTCCCTGAAACCATTCATCGAATTCCCAGACAAAAACCAATTAGCATTTCGCTGCGGCGGACGAGAGAGAGAGAGAGAGAGAGAGAGAGTTCGCTCGAACTCTCGTACCCGTTGAGCACAATCGAATTTCACTTTCTTGCTCGGTCGGAATCGGGTCAAGGCCGCGGCACGCATCATTCGCGAACGGGCAGCGAGAAAGCGAGAGAGCGAGCGAGATGCTCGCTTATTCCGCAGACGCAAGGCCGCCGCCTGCCAAAACCGAGAGCGCCTCGGTCGGGAAATGATTTATTCTTTGTTTCGGACTCGGGTGCGCTTGCATCGAAACACGGTCAACGGCCTAGCACCGGCTGCAGGCTCGCCCGACACGTGCGCGCGCGCGCGCCTCTCGCTTCTCTGGCATTCGCGCGCGCTCGCTTTTGACATTTGCATTTTCGGGCCTCGCTGACTCATCGGGCACGGACGGATTCTTATCGGATGATGTAAAGCTCCTGATAACCCACAGACGCATCATTTTTTCTCTCTCTTCAATTCTCTGTTTATTTATTACCGATCTTTTTTGCAAGACAATCGATTAGCTCGCCATGAGCCGGCGTTGCTCGCTTCCGCAGACGTACAAGCAGTGGGGACAAATGGCAGATCGTAGGTGTCGCTTATCGACGGACATTCTTTCGAGCACTTCCGATCTGTAATTTAAGCGAACGTCGTATACGCGCAAGTGGGTAGTGGCCCCGAGACGACTGACGCTCGGGGAGCTCACTTTCACCAAACCACCGTTCTTTACGCGGAAAAAGGAAACTGAGCAAAATAAAAAGAAACGCGCCCGAAACTGATCGCAGATTTCTTCAAGAAACTGGTACAATGGAGCAAAGAGTTCGGCGACATCTACCTCGTGTGGGTGGGCAGCCGTCCGTTCATCTTCCTGTACCGCGTGGAGTCGGTGCAGCCGCTGCTGAGCAGCAGTCAGCACATCGACAAGAGCCTCGAGTACCAGTACCTGAAGCCCTGGCTGCGGGACGGACTGATCACGAGCGGCGGGGCCAAGTGGCGCTCCCGCAGGAAGTTCCTGACGCCGATCTTCCACAGCGAGATGCTGCGGGATTACTTCGGCGTGGCGGCTCGCGAGGCCCGAGTGTTCGTCAAGTGCCTCAGGTCCGAGCTCGGCAAGCCGGAGTTCGACGTCATCCCGTACGCCAAGAGGGCCGCCCTCGACGTCATTTGCGGTGAGTTTTCCGCGGCTTGACGTCGACCACCGGGAACAGCTGCTGCGGCTTGCGGTGGCTCGGCAGACGGCTCAAGCGCGAGACCAGCGACTGCAGGGCGCGCCTCGTCAGCGACTTGCCCTTCGGGCGCTCCGCCGCGCTCTGCCTGCGAGGCTGCGACAGCTCGATCGTGCGCTCGGTCGCTGCAACGACGGCAGCTCGTTGCTCGCGGCCCCTCCCGCCGACTCTCGGCGGGAGACGCCCGATTCGAGGCGATCGATCACCTTTGGCTCTGAGTATCCTCGTGGGCGTGCGCTTGGCGAGCTCCCGCGGCACCGTCGGCCCCGGCGCGTCCGTCCTCCTCGGCCTCGGCAGCTCGCGCGACTTGGGCGACGGCTCGCTCTTCACGCCGAGCCTCGGCGGCGCGATAATCGGCGGCGAAAGTTTGCCAATGGGCGCCGTCGTCCCTTTCGAATTTCTCCGTGCGCTCGAATGGCCGCCGCCGGCGCCGTTGTTGCTCTCGCGGTGCAGCAGCACGTGCTGCAAAGAGGGACGGCCGTTATCGCGCCGCGCCGGCGGAAATAAGTAGACCGAGCCGCCGACAAGCTGCTTGCCTTCGGCACCGCGAGCGGCTTGTGATTTTCGGTCGACGTCGTCGCGCTCGCGAAGCTTTTCGATTCTGGGATTTTCACGTTCAGTACTTTCTTCATTCTTGTCGATTTATTTTTTTTTTTTTTTGTGGCACTTCTTTTTACTAGACAATGAGTCACCGTAAATTTTGAGGGTGGTCCAAAAAAGATGTTTTTTATTTTTTTTCTTATTTTTATTTTGTTTGCCCGAATAAACTGGTTAGGTAAACATGACAATTTTAGGTTTGATCGAGAAATAAAAGAATGACGGGCGTTTTTGTTTCTATCATTCGCAGAGTGTGCTATAGGCCATAACATTCACACCCAGACGAATTACAAGAACGAGTATCACTCGGCTGTCCAGAGGTACGATAATTTTCTTTGCGAATATCCTTCGAGATTAATGCCACTGTGCATTTCTCTTTGTTGCCGGTTCGTTCAGCATTACCACGATATCCCAAATAAGATTCACGAACATCTGGATCTCGAACGACTTCATTTTCAAAAAGACAGCCCTCGGCAAGGAGCACGACCGAGCTCTCAACGTCATTCACAGCTTCGTCAACAAGGTAATTGTCGCGGTAAAGGCCCCACGAAATCCGCCGTCCCGAGAGTTAATGTCAACGCCAACCGATGGGCAATCGCAGGTGATCGCCGAGAGGAAGCTGGCCCGAAGCGTGAGGCGCGACGCGAACTCCAACAGCCAGTCGAGGCGCGCGGAAACTCTGCTGGACATGCTGTTGGAGCGCACGGAGAACGGCGAGCAGTTGACCGACGAGGAGATCCTGGAGGAGGTGAACACGTTCATGTTCGCGGGTCACGACACCGTCGGCACGAGCGTGTCCTGGACGCTCTACGCGCTCGGGCGCCAACCCGAGTACCAAGACAAGATCGTCCAGGAGTACGAGGAGATCTTTGGGCCCGACCGCGAGGAGATCGACTACGACGAGCTGCACAAGCTCGTCTGGCTGGACGCGTGCATCAAGGAGACCTGGCGCGTCTACCCCACCGCTCCGCTGATCGCGAGGCAGATCTACAACCCGATCACCCTGCGTAAGTTTGGCCGACGCGGCGTGCTGGGACGCGAGGCTGAGGTCCGACGTCCGACGTGGCGCTTGCTGTTGCAGAGGGCACGGAGATACCGGTGGGCTCGACCGTGCTGGTCAACTCCTACCTGCTGCACCGCGACCCGCGCTACTTCCCCGAGCCGGAGGCCTACCGACCCGAGCGCTTCCTGCCGGGCCAGCCGAAGGCGCCGACCTTCGCCTACATCCCCTTCAGCGCGGGCTCGCGCAACTGCATCGGCTCCAAGTTCGCCACCTTCGAGACCAAGCTGACCCTGCTGGCCCTGCTGCGCGCCTACAGGTTCCACGCGATCGACCGCGAGGACCAGCTGCGATTCGTCTCGCAGATCGTGCTCGACAACGTCGGCGGCATCCGACTCAGTATTACGCCCCGGCAGTGAACCCAGCCGTCGCTCGCTCGCTCGCTCGCTCGCGCCTACCCGCATCGCCATGTACACCCTTATTTAAATCGCTCATCGCTCATCTTAGACTTGTATTTTTCTTTCTTTATTCGCCTCCCCTTGAGCGCGCGCTTTCTCTACCGAACGAATCTTACTTTCACGAGGCGCTCCCTTCGAAACTCTCGCTTTCCTATTCTCCTCTTCTCTTTTCTTGTGCTTTTTTTATTTTATTTTATTTTTTCTTTCCTTTTGTACGAATAACCGATCGAATGACAAAACTGTAGTTGCAGTCTGGCGCATAAGTATTTTTTAATAAAAATCTCCTTTTTTATACGTATTTATGTACGACTTTGTGTCTCTTAATGGCCTCGGATTCATGAAAATCACGTTTGACAGAGTCAAGCGAGGAATGCTCGAGCTATTCTTAAAGTGGATTACCTTACGACAACTCCCTATGCTGCGTTCGTTGACAGTCTCGCCTTTACTTTCGCGCCGCGAGCGCGTTCGTCAACAAATGTCTTTCTCCAAATAACGATTCGGCTATAGGCAACGTTCGACGCGTTATTCTCGACGATAAATATAAAAAAATACAAGGTAAACTAGGCGCTGTTTCGTATCGTGGCTCAGAAATTGAAGTAGCCTCGTCGAAAATAAGCACAGCGCTGCCCTCTGTTCTATATTGCCAAACTATAATCGGTAGCTGATAAGATAGGAAATCCAATGGTAAATGTATGTCGAGTCTCGACTCTCGATCGAGAGCAAATGGATCAACACAAGAAAAATGTCAACTTGCACGTTTACGCTTCAATCGAGTCAATAACGAGACGGGACCATCTCGACAGCATACCTCTTCAAGTGTACCAATTCCCCCATCGAAATCGGTCGAATTCAACCAAATCCGGTAGAATAAAACTTTACCTCCCCCTTTTAGAAATCGGTTTGAAAAAAATAAAAAAAACCGTCGCACATGATTTTCAAGGAAAAACGTCTACCTGCCTATTTATCATATTGATAGCTTGGAGCTTATAATTTCGACTGTATTCATGATCGCGTGGCAAAAGCACACACGTGCTCGCAATCGTGACGTATTTTCCAACGCGCTGTGGTGGTGGGGATCCAAAGGCTTCATAGCGGATTTGTCGTCTGCCAATTACACGGCAAATATCATATGCGTATATCTATATGCTTTCATTATCTCGACGAGACACCAGCCTTGCGGCTCGCTTGCATGACAAGGCAGTCAGTGTGTATTCTACATTGGGATCGATGTGTGATAATCACAACGATGTGATGGATTAAAACACTGGAGCCTTTCAATTTACTAGTCATTAGTGTGAAATAGGTTGCGGAAAGAAGATTGTGCTTTGGCCGCGTTAGCTTCTCTCAAGATCGCAGTGTCTTTCATTTTCGTTTGATTTTTACTTATTATTACACAAACATGGGACCTACGCTCGCAATATTCTTTGTTTTTCTTGGTTGTTGCTCAAATTTGTTCTTCTTGGAGGCGCTGATGAAGTGAGTTCGTTTCTCATACATTTTTGCCAACTAATGGCGTTATTAATAAGTTCATCATGCTTCCATCGTTGTCAATAACAATTTATTATCCATTAGATGTTTTGAAATAAACGATTATATTTGCGTTGTTTTAGAGAGGACCCAGGTTGTGGCAACTTGTTGACCTTCTGTCAGTTTACATTTATTGCCATTGATGGCTTTCTATTTACCTCAAAATGTGGGACTGTACAATTAAAGATTGGCATCAAAGATTACATGGTGTTAGTAGTTTTGTATTTTTTCTCAAGTGTGCTGAATAACTATGCTTTCAATTTCAATATACCCATGCCTCTGCATATCATTATCAAATCAGTAAGTAACAATTCCTTTTCCTACACTTTGACAAATCATTACCTGATTCTACATATGTCATATATAATAGGGCTCTCTGATAGCTAATATGATTATGGGTATGGTCATATTGAAAAAAAGATATACGATAGGGAAGTATTTGTCTGTGTTGATGATAACAGTAGGTATAATAATTTGTACAATAATGAGTGGCAAAGAAGTTAAGTCTACCGCACCAGGTGCTGCTGATACTCCACCAAGTTATGATGATTTTTTCTGGTGGACAGTGGGCGTAATAATAATGACAGTGGCCTTATTTATATCAGCTAGAATGGGTATTTATCAAGAATACCTCTTTGGTAAATATGGAAAACAAGCTAGAGAAGCTTTGTATTTTACAGTAAGAATTGAATTTCCTTTCAGTCGTTATCACTAACAAAGAGTACACATTGATAAGTGATAAACTCTATTCCAGCATTTACTACCTTTGCCGTTATTTGTAACTTTAACAAAAGATTTGTATACACATACTGTGATAGCTTGGAATTCACCTCAACTGATCATTCCTATCATTGGGATTGCAATACCTAGAATGGTAGCTTGGATCATTGGTAATGTTCTTACGCAGTATCCTTTTGAAATATTGCATGGAGTGATATCTATTTGACAACTGATAATGACTTTGAAACCAAATTTGAGTACAAAACCTTAAAATATATGTCAGATATATGTGTAGTAGTGCAGTATTTGTCCTGACTACAGAGTGTGCTTCCTTGACAGTCACATTAATTTTGACTCTGAGGAAGTTTTCATCTCTTGTTTTCTCAATAATTTACTTCAATAATGCATTCACGATTTATCATTGGATAGGAACGTTTTTAGTTTTTATAGGTACATTTATCTTTACAGAAACTGTGCTAAAAATACGAAATGCTATGCAATCTCAATTCACTGGCAAAAAGAAAGAAAGTTAAATAAACATTTTAGTATTTGTTTTTAAACACTTTGTTATCCATTTTAAGTTACTCGTTAATGAGTAAGTTTGTAAATAAAAAACTGCTAGATCAGCAAATAAAAGTCAGAATTTTTAAACTATAATAGATATATATATATTTTTTTTTCATACAATGTATATCTTTGTACAATAAATACATTTTTTCAACAGAATTATAACTTGTAGTAACCATAAACATTTGTCATTTATAACTATATCATCACTTTAAACAAGAATTATGCACATATTTACTGTTGTTTTATGTCTTGATTAACAATCAAACGTGGTTCTCAGTAGTATAAACGTACAAAAGGTAACAAAATATAGAATGCATTACTAGATTGAACGATTAGCACATCGATCGAAGGCAAACCATTTCGCTCCGACCCGTGTCAGTTCTGGATATATATTCATTACAATTTAAATTTTGGAATTATCGATCTAATCAAAGAAAAAAAACAAATACAAAGGACTAATAGTTGTAAATCATTAATTTGGTCGATCTTGAGCAAATCTTACTGTTTAATCGTATAAACATCGTTTACATTATAATTTTTATACCATTATAAATTTCCCACGATTAATAATTATAATATAGCATCAAAGGTATTCTTCAGAAAATTGTTAATTTGACAATTTCATAGCCTAAATAACAATTCGATTAATACACTTTGGAGAAGCAGTAATATATATTATTATTGCAAAAAACTATTGGTCTATACTTATTAGTTTTGAAATTGATTGTGATGTCAAACCATTCGGTATATTGAATGAGAAATTAAAAGAATAGATGCATATATATATTATATACACAGCATATAGTAAATATCTTGTCGAATATTCATCCGCACAACAATAATTTTGCTTAGATGGCGATGTCGTTGACATCGATCGAGGAGCGCAGCCTCTTTGACAGTAGCTAGAAAACGTCCGGTTTCTCCACGGTTTTAAATATGTTGGAGAGTTCGTCGACTAAGGTCTCGTAGCGGTAGGCAACTCGGATGTCGGGCACGTTCGTACGAGTAATGTCGTTGCCCGCAACGCCTTCCTTCGTGTAATTCGGACCCAGCCAATATTGTTTGCTCTGCAAGAAGGAATTTCCGTATATTTGAGTGACCTTTGGCGCGCGAAAGCACAATTGTAACATCAAGCCGTTTCTCATTCTTTGTAAATATTGATTTTTTCCTTCGACACTGTGTGAGCACAGCGGGGGCTTCCAAGTGTCCGTAAAGTACAACCTTCACTTGAAAAATCGAAGAAAGCTTCATTCTTCAAGGTTGAGCTTTAGTAATTACGAAAGGTGGATTGTACACGTTCGATTTCGCCGTTAGGAAGCAGTCCGTACAGGACAAAGGAATAGGTTCTCTCATTCGGAAAGATATGCCGATCTTGAATGTCTCAAAATTCCATGTTACATGACACTTCGTTCTTAAACTTTCAAACGTATCGCAGATGACACATATTAAGAAAAGGAAATACTAACCTTGTGGGGAAATCCGCTCATAATCACAGAGTTCCTCGCAAGCTCACACATGTCGCATGAGCTGAGCTTCCATACCTGAGCAGCAATGCTATACTCTTCCATGAGTGGTTCCTTAGTAAAATGAAATTGTAGCGGGTCATCGGTGGATAAACTGACGACGAGGCCTCTGGCAAGATACTCGGGCAAAGGATTGCGATGATAATTCAAGAATAGAGAATTGTTACTCAGAGGCGACATGGCGATTCCAATTTGAGCTAAATAGTAGAGATACTGAAGAACGGGTACTTTTCGGAGTAAAAGTCCGTGGGATATGTTTTCGGCCATCATAAAACCACAGACCAAATGTTGAATAGGACCTGCTTCTCCGCAATGAGGTCGTAGGACGAACGTGTTGAGGCCTTGCTCTCTGCAAATCGAAAAATAAAACCATATGCAGACTCTCATGTAGAAACGTAAGAAAAACTGTCATTCGTAACTTACTCTCTGAAGTGGTTGAGCACAGTCATATTCGCATAGGTGTAGTACTGATAATAAGCGTAGGGAGGATTCTCAACGTCATTCCAATCAGCCGGTGGACTAACGTCCTTGTCGAACAGAGGATTCTCGGGCTTACTCTCGTCGTCTACGGAATCGAAACCTATCACATACTGAAGGAACTTATGTAGTTCGGGATGCGATTCGGGATCGTTGGTGACCTCGAACAGAGGCAAGAATATGTTGTTCAGGATCTCTTGGAAATTGGTCATCAATTTGTTTAACTTGAAGATGTCGCTGTAAAAGGCAGCGCGTGAACGACCATTCGGAGGGATCGCGACATTGGAGAGAAACGAGGGATCGATACTCACTACAACCGAGGTATCTGTATGAGCCAGCGTACATTGTCGGAGTACACGTTGCTGTCGAGTGCCCACTTGGCTAATTTGTCCCATTCCTCGGGGCTCTTACCGTAAATCGAGAGTCTGAGCTCGGCGTTCTGATACTTGGACTCTTCCAGGTCGCTGAGCACCTCTTTGATGATCGAAGCGAAGAACTTGCCGTCGATGTAGTTGTCCGTTTTGAGGAACACCTCGCGCAAACGACTCTCGCCAATGGGATTGTACTTGGCATTGAATTTGTCGAACCTGTGGAACGTGTTTCTGTCCTGAAAGAGAGAGATCAAACAAACAGTTTCGTCGAGCGTTCTCGATGCGAACGAGCGCAGACGTACGGATACGCACCGCGTGTACGTCGAGCATGTCGACGCTGAGATCGTAAGTCGTCAGCTTCATCGACTGGAACACCTCTCTGAGAGTCATCTTGTCGCCGCTCTTGGAGCACGTAACCACTTCGTCCGCGTGATTCTTCAGCGTTTTCTTGATGAAGCGCAGCAGGTGCTTTTGATTCATGCACGACGCAGCGTGAATGTGAGTGTCGACCTTTCTGATGTTGTAGAAGTCGCGATGGGGCACGGCCTTCTGACTCGCGAGCTCGCGAAGCTCGTTCAGGAGCACGTGCAGTTGGAACTTGGAGGACAGGTAGCTCAGTCGCCTGTAGCAGAACGACTTCAACGGCCCGTCGGCGATCATGGTGCAGAGCAGATTCATGTCACGGACGAAGGTCGCAAGATCGGGATACGGATGTGGAACTGGCTTATTGTTGGCCAAGTCCTCCTCCGAGGCGAACAGGTTGAACACACCGCCGATCGGGGCGATTTCGTAGTGCTTCGAGGCTGGAAATTCGCATTGCCATGGGTCGCGCGACGCCGGTGCGTGCACCGGGTGATCTGGTTCGCAAAACACAATTGGCGTTAGTTGTCCGTCGAGCGGCGATCGAACTTTCCGAGATCACACACTCCTTGACAGATTGTTTAGTTACTTTTTGCGTTCGTGCTTTTGGGTATACGCTACAGAAGATCTCTCGTATTTCGTTCTGTTTTTGGTTAGGTATGATATTGTCGATGAATACTTTGTATTACAAGTGCACGCGTGATTCGCGTCGAGGAGCGCGCTCGACTGCGTGTCGAAAGCGGCTGTCAACGTGATTTTTAGATACACACTAATGAAAGAAAAAAGCGCCAACAAGTGCCTAATTAACGCTTGTCAGCGACGGCAAACGAAACAACGGTAAAACAGAGGAATTACTTATCTACTTAAAATCTCGATACTCCAGTCAACTTTGAGCCCTGCGTTTCGCTAGTCTTTACATCGAAAAAATCACTTTAGTCTATGCGTGCATGTTGTTACGACTTTCAAAGAGGCAATTGCGATTGTTGCTTACGACCGAGCGTTTCGTTCTGTCGTTAGAAGTGAGAGAAACAAGTTGTTTTAACGGAAAAAAGGACAATAGGACAAGGCACCTGCGCTGGGAATATTTTTGACAAGAGCGTCGATGTCGTATTCCGACTGGACTTGGCTCTGGAAGGATGGACTTTTAGATGGAAGATCTAAAGGAGATTTCATAAAACGATCATTAATTTCAGCTGCTATCGAGAAGACTTATTTTACTTTCTTTCTTGAAAGTCATCTCTGCGTTAGCTTCTCGCGCGATCTTTACCTTCGATAGCCATGCGATCGTCGTGCTGATATTCGTTCTCGGCGTTCACGGGCTTCTTGTCGACGCTCCTCAGGAATCTGGAGGTAATCGTGGGGAAGGACTGTTTCGAGTTGAACATGTATTTCTCGCGGATAGCCAGAGCTTGCACCAACATCTGCGACGCTTGCTGCAAGTCCTCCAGCGGTACCTACGACAATTCATCGATTCCGAAAGTCAAGGTCAAGGTCGAGGTCGAGCTCGCTCTTTCTCTTACGTATCGCGCCAAACTTTGCTGGCTTCCTCGCGTCAGTTTACAAGGAAAACAAGTTTAATAATTCTCACCCCCGAAGTGTCCTCGCCGGATATGGAAACTCGCTGGAAATGCGGCACGAAGTCATTTTCCTCGAGTGGAAACAGATGATCGCTGTCGTCCGGTGCAGGACCAAGCGACGGTTCGTAATGGCTACGACGCTCCTCCAAATCTTTGGCCGCTCTGCGTAAAGAGAAACGAGCGATGAATCCCTCGGTCCGCGAGCTTCGGGCCCGACGAAAGGCCCGACGAAAGGCCCGACGTTCCGCGTGCGCGCGTCTCTCCTTCGCTGGTCCGCCGGCGCAACGCTCGCGTGCACGTACCTCAAGAGAATCTGACAGTCTCTCGCCCAGCGCTTGGAGTCCTCGGCACCGGCGAACATCGCTCAAAGGCGCATGCCTCGAGCGAGATCGAGAAGGAGCGACGGCGAGGAGGGGAGGGCGACGGACGCGCGCGCGCGCGCGAGTTGGACGCTGGCGAGCAACTGAGCGCCAACGACCACGCGCCGCGCGATGAGCCTCCCCCTTTGTCGCGGCTCGCAAAAGGAGGGATGAAAGCTTCCGCGAAGACGCGGCTTTCCTCCGATCGAACGGCCGCCTCGCTTCCCGCGCGCACGTGCGTCGCCACTGGATCGAGAGCGCGAGGCGCCCGCCGCTCGCCTTGTTAATCCGACGGTCGGACCGATGCATAATGCCACGAGGCGCGCGGGCCCGCTATTAATAGCCGCCTCGTTATCCAGCGCGAGCGCTATTAGTCGCCCGAGATGGCCCAAGTATCGTTCGCGGCTCGCGCGCGTCGAACCGAACGCCTCGATTTGCCGCGACGTCGATGCACGCGATGCGAGGCGAGCTACCCTCGCGCGTCTCTGAATCATCGATTCGCAGCAATGTCGTTGGAAAGTTTCTTGTCTTCCCGCCCCATTATCGGCCGATAGCTTTCCACTGAGCTGCAATCGAATTCGAGGAGTCGCCAAGAACCGACAATAATGGAAAGGCATGGACACGCGACGATAAGGTCGCGCGATAATGGAATAACCGCGTCGGGCTTTTTGCTCGCGGGTCCGCGTCGCGGAAGAATTTCGCGAGCGATAATTTGTTTTTTGCTATTAGGGTGAAAAAAGAAACTCGAAGTCTGCTCGACGTAACGTCGGGAGGACTTTTATCTTCCAGCGCTTCGCCACGCGTACGCTCTCTTTTGTTTGTTTTTGTCGCTCGCTCGCTCGCTCGTTGTTTTGCAGTGCGTCGTCTTTAGCGCGTAATTGATTCGAGCGAAGATTACGCGAGCGAGCTACCCGCCGAATCGCGTGTTAAGAACGCGTTAATCGCGTTGATCGGCGAGCTCGATCCGTAAACTATCTAATCTCGGCGACTTTTCCGCCTGTAAAACCTGCGGCACTCGAACGACTCGAGCGCGATGATCGAATCGCGAAGCTCGTTCGGTCTACTGCCTACGAGTATCCGTTCGCGGAAGTGCTCGTGAGTCAATCTCTCGCGCCGAACGCCGTAGCTCATGGATATTCACGCGGGCGAATTAATAAAACATTCATCATTAATCAGACAGGCATATCGATGACGTGCGCTTTCTACATCGAGGCGGAAAATAGATCGATTTCCAGCCGAGCGAGTTACATAAAACTGGCCGTAAACAAGCGCGGCTTGCGCAATCGCGAGATAAACGACTTACTTGACGGTTAGCTGGCGCTGAATTAGTAGCTTCTTCTCGATCTGCTCGATGGGAAACTGCGGCACCTCGTACGGGGCCGAGATCTCGTTCGGCAGCTCGTGAGCCACGTGCCGCATGCCCGCGTCGTTGTTGCCTTCGTTACCGAACACCGGGCTCTCGCTTCCTGTGCGTGGTTAGGCCAACAAACATAAGAAAATCTCGCCTGCGTATGCTGCCTATGCTGGCGCTCGCTCGCCGGTGCGAGTACAGCGCGAAACAAACAAAAAAAATTTGTCCCTCGCCCGCGCTTTAAAAGGGCATTTCATTTCATTTCTTGCCGCGACTCGGCGCAAGCTAAACTTTATAAGATGATCATACGCGTACGTACGTAAACAATTACCAACCTCGCTCATCTCATTAGTACGAAATTCTTTATAACATGGCAATTAAAGAGTTGTCGCGCGAAATGCAACATTGGACACCGACATTGCGCCAAATCGAGTCTCGTGGCACAACAAAGGCATTGTTGCGATCTCGGCGGAGCGTCATCCGACCTCTTGCAAATCCAATCGTACTCCTTTCTTGCTCTTTTTTTTTTTTTTTGAAAAGCCAGCGTGCAGCCAACGCCACATTACGATAAGCTCGTCGATCCGAGAATAGATCGAGAGCGCGTATGAAGCGTGCAACGCCGAAGACTCGAGAAAAAGAACGTTGAGAAAAATTTACCGTCGTTGCACTGTCCGGTCTTGTGCAGCCACTCGACCACCGAGGCGGTGTTGGAGCTACCGGAGGAGCGCGACAGATCGAGTATGTCGTTGTTCAGCACCATGTTGCTTGTTCTAGCTTCGCGAGCCTACTGATTCACTAGCGAGCACTTGGAGAAATTGTACCGAGAGAGAGAGAGAGAGAGAGAGAGAGAGAGAGAGAGAGAGAGAGAGAGAGAGAGAGAGAGAGAGAGAGAGAGAGAGAGAGAGAGAGAGAGAGAGAGGACGATGAAAAACTTAAACGCTCTCTTGGGCGATGCAAATAGCCGGCGATGTTTACCACGCGCGTCAGCTGATATATAGAACCCGTCGAACCAGTCACAGTCGCCGAGGGAGCAGTGCACTGCCGAGTGGCGTTGCGTTTTCTTTCGCAAGGCCACGCGCCTGCACGCGCGTCTATTTTCGTAGCCGCGCCTCTCTCTCTCTCTCTCTTTCTCTCTCTTTGTGCCCCCGATTCGGAGCAAGCGCGTGACCTTTGCGCGAAAACCGTGCATCTATTCTTAGCTGGCAAAAATACAGCGACGAAAAAAAGAAGTGGCTTCTCCGAGATGTTGGTAAACAGAAGCGACGCTCGTTGCGCAATCGGCCGTCGACTTACGATAATTGTAACCCTCGTCGAGCGAGTCGTTGATGTAGAGGTCCCGCGAGTTCAGGTAATGAAAGTAGTGCTCGTGGCGCTGGCCGGTAGGTGTGACGCCTCTGCTCGACATGCTGCGGAAACGGAAGGCAGGCTTTCGCGCGAGAACGCCCCGAGAGACTACTGCTGCTGCGAGCGCATCGCTTTCGCCACTGCCACCCTCCCCGGCGCTTTATTCTACTCGCGTCTGTCTCGCGAGCCAAAAAAAGACGAACAAAGCTGCGCTGCTAAGTTGCCTGCCGTGAGCGAGCGAGCGAGCGAGCGAGCGCGCGCGCACTCGCGAGCTGTCGTGCAACAAGGCAATGAGGACTGACCTGTTGGCGACGAGTACAGCCTGCATGGCGAGTCCTCCTCCCCCTCGTACATCGCACCGTCGGTCGTGCGCGCGATCGACGTACCGCGAGCGCCTCGTCGACTGATAACGCTGACGGCGCGGTTTCACGGGGAGTCGCGCGATGCGTGCACGCACACCCGCCCGGACGGGCACGCGCGCGGCTGGTGCCTCGCGCGCACGTGATTGGCACGCGGGTAATTTTGAATGCTGACTTACGGTTGTGCGGATCGGACACTCGGCAGGCCGCGCTCGAGCTGTCGCCGTCACCCTCGGCCTCGTCCAAATCGTAATAGCCATTGCCGTTGGGCGTCTGCACCTTCGGCTCGGCCATCGTTGCACCTCCTTCGCTTTTTTATTTGGATGAGTCGTGTTCTCGCCTCTGAGTAAGCTCAGAACATTGTCTTGTGCGTCTAAAAATAATGCGGAAAGCTGCGTTGACTGCTTCTTTTTATCCCCCGATCCAAAACATAAGGCGCGCAAGGGCGGGGTGTGATTTCGCTCTTGCATCAAAAACTCGGCCATTTCTATGTAACTCGAACGGGTGAATCAATTGGTATAGCAGTTGCTTTTTCGAATACATGTGTTTTGTTGAAAACGCAATTGTTTAAAGAAATAGAAAAGAAAATGGTTGTTCTTTGCACGGCATACATTGTTTTTTATAATATTAGCTGATTTTAAGGCAAAGTGGTCCTTGGTAACTTTACTTTTAATTCCACGGTTCAAAAATTATTAACGTTTGAAGATGGAAAAAATATCCTTTTTTACTAAATGGCAATGTCAATAACTTTTTAATTTCTAGTAATTTTTGAAAAACGACAAAGCCTCTTTATTTATCAAAGCTTACTCTATCGATTGCATTTATAGAACTTTTAATTACCCAATGGGAAACCAATTTCGCAATTTACAACGAAGGCTTTTCCACTTGACCGATGCTACGATCATGTGCATTGCAATGTATGGTAAAACATATTAAAGACCAATAATCTTGTTGTCGTTCTCGCAAGACCTTACTCATTATTTTATCGAAAATTAATAAAACAATCAAATTTCATTCATTATATCGTTATAAAACGTTTTTCACGTAGTAATTATGTATTTAATGTTGTGTGTTAGTGTTGTGTGAATTGAGTGGTCTGTATAATTTGAAGATTGCATTACAATAAAGTTGCGATAGACAAAATATGTTTCCAAATTGAATTATTTAAGAGTTCAAAAAGTTTTATATAAACAGCGAAGCAACTGTCAAGTGGGAATACGCTACTTGTAATCGCAAAAAAAGGATTTTCGCCCATTCCTTCTCTGGTGCACGTGAAACCATTCCTCCGGTGTTTATCGACCACCATGCGCTGCTCCATACTTACCCAACGTGGGTACGTGTGCGTGAGCGAAGCAGCCTATCAAGAAGAAGTCAGCACCGAAACGTGGCGTGATCTCCGTGAGAGTCGGCAGCACTTCCTGAATGGACGATTTCACTTCAGTCTCCCAAGTACTATTCGCGTGGGATGAATTATAACGAATGACGCGTTGTCGCGGGAGTCGATAAAGCCATACTTTATATATATATATATTATATATATATATATGTATACATATAGCAGGAGTGACGTAGTCAGCGCCTGAATATCGAAGGCACAAGCGAGCGTTTGAATTTTCTGGAAGCCTGATAAGCAAGACAAACGGCCGGCCTATTTTTATCGATCTTCCGCGAAAAATTGTTATTGTCGCTGTAGATCGATGACGACAGGTTATGGTCAACAGTGCGAATAATTCGCGAGCAACGACGCGCACGGGACAGCGACATTGAACAGCGGCGGATGGAGCGGAGGCCGACGCACGAACGAGCCAACGGTACTCACCCTCCGACTTGTAGCCGTGCAACTCCTGCACGCTGCACTTCAGTCTGCGTGCGTCGCTTTATCGCCAGCCGATTAGAGTAGCACGCGCGAGAGGAGAGTCGACGCACGTCACAGCTGCAAGGCGGTGAGCGAACTGAGACAGACTGAGAGCGGCGCAGCGCGTGTGTGAGAAAAAGAGAGCACAGCTGCTTCGGGACATGGGGGGAGAAATACGTGCGACTGCGCCGCGCGAAAATCCATATCCAGGCGCCGCCGCTAAGAGAAAGCGAAAGAGAAAGAGAGAAAGAGAGAGAGAGAGAGAGAGAGAGAGTGAGAGAAAGAGAGAAAGAGAGAGACAGAGAAAAAGTGTTTCATTCATTAACGTCAGGCATATCGAGGTTGTGATAGCATTTTTATTCGCTCACTTCGGCATATATACACAATGACATATTTTACAGCTTCGTATATACAGAAAAAAAACAAGAACGCATGGATTCAGTTGAAGTCGTAATCGCTCTCGGTGTTGGACAGGTTGCGCTCGATGAAGCTTTCGGAATCGGAATCGAGGATCGCCTTTATCGCGTCCTTCTTCCTTTTCGGCTGCTCGTCCGCTGCTGCAGTTGTTTGGCTCGCTGCCGGAGGTTCTGCCGAATCGATTGGCGGCTCCTCGCTCGGTTGACTGTAGTTCTCGGCGGGTTGCTGTTCCTCGTTACTGGTGTACGCTTGCGAATAGTTGTAGACTTGATTAGGGTCGTATTGGACAGCAGTAGTTTGATCGGATTCTTGGTAAGCGGCATAAGTTTGATCGGTGTACTGCGCATATTGTTGGTTAGGATCGTACTGTTGGTTAGGGTCATACTGGCTTGGATCGTATTGTTGATATTGTTCGTAAGCAGCGTATTGTTCTTCGTAGCCGGCGTATTGAGCGTTCGGATCGTAGGCGTACTGCTGATTTGGATCGTCGGAGTATTGGTACTGTTGGGGATCTGTCTGCTCGTAGTACTCCGAGCCAGTCTGGTACTCTTGTTTTGCACCACCCTCTTGTTCGTAATACCCTTCCCGATCGGCGTATTTCTCTTGAGCCTCGTGCTTTACATTCGGATCTGCAACTTGCTCTTGAATTTCGTATCCAACGCTCAAACTTTCAACCGTTGGCTCGGCTTTCGGTTGTTCCTCAAATTCCTGTGAATCCTTCTGCTCCACGTTCTCCTTTTCCTCGTCTTCTTCAACTTCCTCAACACCAACGCCATCTTCTGCATCGCCAACTTCATCGTTCTTCCCTTTCTCGTCTGTTTCTTCATCTTCAGCATGCTCAACTTCTTCTATCGACTCCAATGTTCTCCTCGGTAAATCCAAAATATTATCTTTCCTCTTAACTTCTTGCGGATCAGACTCCGCGTCATCAGGCATCCAGGAATCAATATCAACAGTGTCGTCATAATCGTCTTCGATCCCATCATTTTCAGGGTCCGACGAGGATTCTTTCTCATCATCATCATCATCTTCATCATCTTCATCTCTTTCTTCTGCAGGCGGAGTTGGCAACTCCTCGGTAATCACCGGTGGTGCAGCTTCTTGAGATTCAGCACGACGAGGTTGTTCCTTCATTCTCGTCAGTTTAGCGAAGGCATCCTCAAAAGAGTCTGGAGTAGTCGCGCTGTTGCGAGAACTCATGAAGTCCGTACGGTTGAATTTTTCTCTGAGCGAGCCAATTGACTCGGAGAACGTTGGCGATCTCGTCGTGTCGTCCTTTGCATCGGCATCATTCGCGTTGTTCGGTCGCTTAAACCTGTCTTTGAAAGTGCTCGTAGTTCCCGAGAACGTTGGCAATTTCGTTGCTTCTTCGATTGGCTTTGGCTCGGGTTCACTCTGCAAGCTCGGAATGTCCGACCTCTTGAATCGGTCTTTGAAAGAACTCATCGTCTCCGAGAACGTTGACAATTTCTTCGTCTCGTCCGTCGGCTTCGACTCGAGCTGTTGCAAGCGCGTCAACTCGTCGTTGTCCTTGATACGAGTGACCGTCTTCGCGGATTTAGTCGACTCGGACTCCTGGGCTTTGCTCCGCGAATTCATCAAATCCGAGCGTATCAATCTATCTCGAAACGAGATGATCTGTTTGGCAAACTTTGGCGAGGCTTTCGTCGACTCCTCGACTGGCTTTGGCGCTGGCTCCAACGCTTTTTCGAACGAATCCGGCGACGTCGTGACCGAGTCTTGGCGCCTGGCTAACGAACGAGGATTGGCGAACGCCTGCCTCGCGAACGCCAGCCTCGATCTCTCTTTCATCATCTCTTGCTCGACCGGCGCCAGCTCCAAATTATCCTCCGACAGACTGACGTTCAGCAAATCGCCACTGGTGTTCTGTTCAGCCTCGTCGGCGCTCAGCTCAAGCTCGCCACTTCTGTCGACTTCCTTGTGCATGCGTTTGATTTTGTCGAGATACCGTTCGAGATTGCGTTCAGCAGCGGACACGGGATCGATGATCGTCTTGATGGTCGGTTTCATCGTGAATTCCTTAAACAGGTAATCGCTGCTCTCCTCGCGCTTCGTCTCGTACACAGGCAACTTGTAGGAAGTGTGAAGGTAGCTTGGCAAAATTGGCGTCTCCGTAGCGTGGCTGCAGCTGTCGACGAGCCACGAGAAACTCGGCAACGCGCAGCTGTGACGAGCAATAGGTATCCCGGCTGGCCGGCTCGTCTCGCCGCCAGCCGTCGCTCTGTAGTTAACGGGACTTTCGGTCGCGGATCGCTTGTAGACGGCCGCTGAAAAAGCCGGGCTAGCGGGTATCTCCCGGTCGTTCCGACTGCCGAGGCCGCTGTCTGCTGCCGCGCTGCCGCTGGCTCTCCGCCGATTGCCGTACGCCCTCAACAAATAGGCCTCATGCTGCTTCTGCAAGAAGACGCGCGCGCTTGAATTGGCGGGGGCGGGTGGTCGCCGACGGGGCGATCGAAGAGCCACTTACGCGCAGACTGCCGAGTCGCTCGGTTTTGGCGCTCATCAGAGCCAGGCTCGTGTCGATCTTGTCGAGATGGCCGAGCACTCGGCCGTTTCTCTGGTCCCGAGCGCGCTGCTCCTCCAGGTACTCCACGTAGCGCATCCTCAGGCGATCGATGCACTGCTGGTGTCTGCGAAAGCAAGGCCGCCGTGTTCACCAGTGGCGGGACAGACGCTCGGGCCGCCTTCTCGATAGGCGCGTGCATCGCGCGACCCCCCCCCCCCCCCCCAACCCCCCGTCGGTTAATGCGCGACAGTCACGAGACGAATCGCGTTTCGGCAAGGTCGCCGGCGCGGCGGATTGTCGTGCGGGCCGAACCGCGATATTCCGCGCTGGCGATCGATAGGCGAGGCACGGGCCGCGCCAACGCCAGAAGGAACCTTCCTCGTCTCCGCTGCCGCGCAGTTAGGTCGATATGGAAAAGTCCGCCGATGCTCACCTGTTTCGCGACTCCCGCGCGAGAAGGTTAAACCTCTCCTCCAGGCGTATGCGCTCCTCCTCGCTGAAATTGGACAGACAGAGAGATAGAACAGAGAGCGAGCGCGAGAGAAAGTGATCGAGTGGTAGCTACCTCTTGCGCAGCTGCTCCTGCAGTCCGAGCATCTTCTTGTAGTAGCTGCCCTGGGCGTCGCGCGGCGACTTCATCTCGCCTCACATTTTCCGCGGGTCGCGCGTTCGCCTGGCTTTCGCGACGAAGGGAGCGCGCGGAAGGCGACGCGGTGCGGCACGGCGGCAGCGCCGACGACAACTGTCGGCACTGTCGCATGTGCGCCAGAGGGGGTTGCCTTCTCGCCACGCGCCGCCAGCCCGTACCTACGCTCGCAGGTGTTCCCCACTGTTCTCGCTCGCGCGCACCTGCCTGCCTCCTAGTACGTGCGCCTCTATACACATCCACCTGCCCCGCGGCTACGTTATACGTCGAAGTACCTATCGCGCCCCGCTTCCTTTTCTTCGCGTGGAGCGCGCCGATGATTATTTTTTCAAGACATAGATAGAGAAAGAGATTGCCGAGATTCGCGCTATTTCGACGTTGATTATTTTCCACGCGCAACCTCGTGCGCTCGTGCTCATTTAAATTTAGAATGCGCGATATGCCAAGGACGGATCAAGCTACGAGCTAGTTGAAAGTTAATGAAGCCGGTCTTACATGGGGGCGGCAAACGGTTCGACCGTAAGGGGGCAGTTTGTCCACTCGTTACCATCGAAAATAAAAGAAAAGGTGTCACGCGTGTCGCGATCATTGAATCGCCGAGTAATTTTGGTTCGGGCATGACATTCTTTTGTGATAATTACGTTCATTGCAGACTACTTAAAATGATGTACATACTTAAAATGATTATCGAGACGTCGAGACGCAGCGCGCACCGCCGCAACGGATGATTTCTCGGCCGCCAGTGGCCGATGATTTGAATGTTAGCGTTTACACCGATTCAACGATTTTCAGATTCGTTCGTTAATCGGTCATAGCTTCCAGCCGTACAGTCAACTACACAAAATTCAACTGCCTTTGCTCGTGGACTTTTACGCTCTGGTGAGTGAGCACTAAATAGCAGCATACAGAGGCCGTGAATTACTTCCAGTTTCATAGCTTTTATTTGTCGTGCACAATCGTCGGCTTGCCCGAAGTGGCAGCTGTGCAGAATTGCCCGAGCCTGAAATAGCACGTGTCTTTTCCCCTGCCGATGGCCGGCATAGCTTTGTTAATTGGTCGCTATGTGAACCGTTCGTGAAATAATCGACGCACAAATTCTTGAGCTTCAACTACGTAGGCTATGATTTATTTTCGCAGAGATAAATGTTTGGTAAGCCAAGTGGCCGTCATCTTCAAACTGACAGATACAGTAGTTCGTTCATTTCTTATCGTTATCTCCGAAGCATTAATTGTTCATTGCGCCAAAAACATATTTCACGGAGCCACCTTTAATAGTTTCTCAGGTCATTTTTACGATATAAGTCTACAACTAGCATAGGTGCGATTTTAAGATCAAAGAAGCCTATGGTCTACATAAGCGCCTCCGAATTACATTTCGCTACATTAACGAAAATAGAGACTATATAAAAATCATTCATTGGTGTAGCGATACGTTCTAGCGACTCATACGATTTAAGCGAACCTTGACATAGTTTCGTCTGTTTTATGCTACCGTATATGCCATTTCCGCACACCAGAAAAACACTAGTCGTATTCAACTCACTGTCATTTTGATAATTATTGGTCGATCAAGATGAAGAAAATTCGAAATGATAACGTATAATATTTTTTTAATAATACGGTATTTTTTCAAAAACAAAATTGTGAAATTTGCTTCTCATGGGAAAATACATTAAAAACTACATTAAGTCCATTTCCGATGACTAAATTTTAACATAGAAAGGAATTAAAGAACATTACAAAAATTTAATGTAATAAATAAAGCCAACTAAACCCTGAAGCGATTATCGCGTTGAAAATTATCGGTCGCAGTGGATTATTTATGCTATTAATGAAAATATTGTTGAAAAATACCAGAAATCGACACCGCAACGAAAAACCGTTTCATTAAAAAAATTCTATAATGTTTTCTAATGAGTATTAAAATCTATAAATTAATACACGTAGGCTCTTGAAATCATAATAAAAAATGTAGTACAAATAAATTATTGATTTTCGAAAATTTGCAACGGACTTTCTAGGTAAAAGTTATGAATTTTGTAAATTTTTTACGGGTAAACAAAAGTGGACATCAAATTCGGATAAAGATTACAAGAAACTAAACACTCTGACGAGTAGCTCCAAATTTGTTTGCTTTGATCCATCCATAACTACTTTAAGATCGACAGAATACCCTTTATTCGGTGCTGTCGATATACTAATCGTTTAGCTTACGATATAGCATTTTATGCGCCAAAAGGGCACAGTGGGCAATGCATGCACTGCGTAACGTTGCCCATAGAGCGAAGCAAGGTTTTGGCATTTCACACAGTGCGTGTTTGCCAACTGTATACCCGTGTTGCGTATACCCGCTTTCCGCAAGCTCTTAAAAGCTAACATCCAGATCTAACTTTTTTTAAGATAATCGATAAACTAGGACATTTGATAATTCATCAAAAAAGTAACAATATTTTCCTCTACTATTTGCCAGTTTACCCTCAAAAAACCTTTAAGAAACCTAAAATAAGTCTTGGTCCAGCACCCAGACACGAAACAATGTTTTATTTTCATTTAATTCAATAATTGATTTATCAACGATTTTACCCTGGCTACCGTTAGTTCGTCTCATGAATTAACGACTAGTGTGTAAATTATTATTTTTAATGAGTTTTTCTAAATTTTATCGCACATCGCATCTGGATGCTGGAGTCCAGCACCCAAGATTTACTTTATTTTGTTCAAGGGACAAACTAACAAATGGTCGAGTAAAAAATTGTTGCTTTTTGACGAACTACCTAATGGCATAATTAGTTTATCGATTATCTCAAAAAAGCTAAATCTGAGTGCTAGCTTTTATGACCTCTTTCCGCACTCTGCCTCGTAAAAGGGTTATGTTGCACCCTCAGCAGGCGACACAGGACCGCATTGACCCTATTTGAAAGTGCCTCGTGTACACGCGATGTGCTGTTTTACCGCTCGAGCCTTAAATATTTATTTAGCTATACGATATAAGAGGCCAGCTTAGACTTACTCGACGTCATAGAAGAAATAGCTATTAAGGATAAATTGGGAATGAAACATCGTAGTCTGGTGCGACGCATTTCTATCGGTTGAGATTCAGGTTAAATGTCGACAATGATTACCAACTGGTCATTGATCAACTTTTGCATTCTAGTGCCAATATCAACGTACGCAGCACACAATTACATGGTTCGGTACAGCACACGAAATCCTCCGTTATCCTGAAACTACTGCGATCAAATGCTCACGTGGATGCTGTAGGCAACAGTGGTCATGTACCTACGCGCGAGCTGCTTTTCTCTCGAATATCGTGGCAGCTATCGAGAAACTATTGACATACGGAACTGACGTCCACGATACCAAACAGAAATCGTTAAGGACATTTACAAGTAACCGACGCTGAAGCTTCTACATATCTCAGCATTCACAGTTAAACTAATTAACAATTTCCAATCCCTATAAATGCAAGAAATCAATGATACATAGCATAAAGAATATTTGAGAAATATTAAAATGTGTTTTTTTTTTTCAATATTCTACACATGACGAATAATTCAACATTATACTATCAACTATAACTCGAATTTCAACATTATACTATCAGATAACCAGATATCTGGTACCTGATTAATCTGGATTGAGATGATCGCAATATGCGCGTTTGAAACATGCACACGTTATTATGTATATAATGTGAAAATAAAATATGTTATTTCTTTATATTTTTTTAATCGGACGACTTTTTTGGAGGGATGATAATCAATGTGTGGCGGTTGAGACCTAGGAAGTGCTGCCACCAGAAGCGAGCAGATGCAAATCAAAAACTTCTGCAATTCAAAAACTGGACTTGAGGATGGGAGCTGAGGTGAACCGATCTCTCTCGGTGATCGTGAGCGTCTTGTTATAAGAGCAGAGGTCGTCATCACAGCAACCGACAGAACTCGAACAGTGCATCGAACACTACTTTTTAACAAATAGTCAATGCGGTATTCTGTATCCTCTGCTGGAAGCGCAATATCACTCCTTTACGGGGTGTGTGAAAAATGAAGATACGTAACACAGGAGTACCTGCACTAGTAGGCAAACGTGCATTATGTGAAATGCTGATTTCCCTCTATTTAATCGACAACATTACAAGGTTCACTTTATTGCCTACTGTACTCTCTAGTAGCGCAGCGTATATTCTGTCTGATGGACATTATCCTGAAACTGCTGCGAATATTAATTCGCGATTCACAAAGTTCAAAATCTGAATTATTTTAAATGAATGAACATCGATCGATCAAATAGGTTTTTTCTGGCAAGTTGCGAGACACAGCTTGCCAAAATAAGCTCTTTGACCTAACCTCGGTTTAATGTCATCGATTCTCAATTGTTGAAAATAATTCAGATTTTGAACTTCGCGGATTGTAAATTAATGTCTGGGCATGTACTACATGTATATATACCATGTACTAACACACGTCCGCGCATGCACACACATTATCAGTCAACGAAACAGATTTAAGTAATAAATCTTATACAAAAATTTTTGAAACGTAGTTATAGCAGTTTTTTGTTGAATATAATACTGTAATCATAATAAAAAATCCGAAAATATAGAATTTTCAAAAAGTTAGGTTATATGGATTAGGTTGGGTTATATGGGTTATTGGGTTACATAAAAATTTCTTATATCAAGAAATTGGTGCTACGACAAATGCTTGTTGTTCAATAGGATCAATTGAATAATATATTATTTTTTTGTAAATAAGAAATAAGCTCGACTTCATGAAATTAATGAAACTTTCATTGTTATTTCAATCATGATTGCAATTATAATAAAAATCAGTTTAGCAATCGTTTAACTTCAGTGAAATTTGAGATTTGAGAGAGAACATCGATGAAAGTGAGGCTTTTATTGGAAAATTTAGCAAATATATTATGTTCTTGAAATAAAAATAACTGGAGATATTAAGAAAATATACACAGGCAAATCGTCGCTTTTAACAAAATGTTTAATCGAAGGAATTTTTAATAACGATTCAAAGCTACTTTTTTAAAACTCGTTTTAAACTCGTAATTTTTCCAATTACGATGTTTCTCTCGCGATTATTCTCTTAATTAAAACTCTAAAGTTTGATTATACAAAACTAAAAAAACTTTTAAATAGGAATAATTGAATAATTTTGTAAGCGTTAAAAACAATTAACGATAGTTTTTTTAAATGGAACATAATTGATATATCTTTCAAACCAATGCCGTGTCAGTAATATTTTGTTTGATTGTTTTCAGATTTGTACACTAAACAGTCATTTTTCTAAACCAATCGATGGCACATTGCAATACGCAACGACACAAAATAATGTCATTTCAAAAGTAATTCTGCTAGTTGGCTTCGTTCTAGTTCTATCCAAATAGTTTCGGTATTAGAGTTTCAAAACTATTTACGCAAACGCGTGTCGGCCAGATATACCTATAAACGCGCGAATTTAGTTTTAAACTTAGCCTATTTTCTGTTTCGCTACAAGCTCATAGTTCAACCAATCTAAAGTATTCAAATGACGTATATATTGAATACGGATCTAATTTTGGGCGGCAATTAAAAGATAATGATCGTCATTAAAGTGCAGTCTTCGAGCGTTCACGCTATAAATTTTTGCGTGACAAATGTAGTGCAATTTTTCTTTAGGAAAAATTTGAAACAAAAATGAAATCGCTCAAATTTTATTTTGAAGCAACTTACTTAATGAGAATCTATCAAAAAAAGAAATAATTTAAGAAGTACTAATGTGAATTGACGAAATTGTGAAATTTCCTAAATTATTTTGGACGAAAACCACTGATTATACCATTTCAAATCGAATAAGCGTGGCTAGCGTTTTACACGTCACGTGCAAAGTATTTTCATTTATCTGAGCTTATTATTACTTTATAAAAGTAATAATAATAATAATAATTCAAAAAATAGATATTAAACATGGTTAGTTTCTTAAAAGTCATTCTTGGTGTATTTTGTAACATCATTTTCAATAATCTAATAATGGCATCCATTTCTGAGGGCATCAAACAACTTTGCTTCAACTTAAAACGTTGCACATTAGGCCGTCAACAGATTTGGCTTCGAAGCCTTCAGTGCAATTGAATTTTACTTCGGACTTAACCAAGGAATAAATCTAAATAACCAAATATTAACCCTGAATTTATGTTTCTATTCAATCTAGTCTATTCTCTTGTAGTAGACTCCCCCTGATCTCTGAAATAACTCAATATAACGTCTAGGAATATAGTGCCCAAGGAGATTGTGCGCATGAAAGGGTCTTGCCCGGAAGAGAGTTACTACACACATATACTAGACCAACATCGTTGGCTGGAGAGAAGACATAGTCGACCTGGGGAGCCTCTAGTGCATTAGACGCTTTACACACACACGCACACACACATCGCAAGAAGATTGCAATAGCGAACAGTTCGGCTGAAAAATTTATATCGTTTCTAAGACAGGGCGCCACTAGAATTAAATCCATGTCATTTTCTGTTAGCACCAACCTTCAAAACATGTGTGTATAAATTTGATAGCTGTCTGATTATTAGTTATTATTATTAGTTTGTGAGATATATTATAGCATTTTGGGTGAAGCAATTTTTGTTATTGTGAAAAAAAAAACAATTTCGCTGTATCGCCCTCGATGACAACTATGTTGAATAAAAAAATTAATTTTGCCAAAAAAATGTATTTTTCTTTTAAACAATACGAACTTTTCAGCCGAACTGTTATATGTAACATAAGCTATATGTCGTGCGCTAATAATCATAATAATATGGCTTTTTGAAAATTAAAGCTCTTTTAATCATCAATAGAACGCTTATTTGATTCCAATATTTTTTTTGGAACCAAGCAATTTTTAACTTTTATACAGTCTCAGTAATCAAATACCAAAACAATGCGATTAAATACGATCAGCTGTTCAATATATATACCAACCTTTTAAACTCAAATATCACGATTACCAATAGGGATCAATGTAACCTAAAAAGACGCTTTCCTATTTTTCTCAGCAGCTCAGTCCACGTGCGCATCGTTCTATTATGTATTTTAACAGCTTTAAATGCATTAAAAAGTATTTACAATAATATTTAGGTGTAAAGTGATTGTTAAACATTGAAAGATTCACGAGTATACTTTAAGAAGTTAAAATGCCTGTAATGGAGCGAGTTATGTAAGAATGTCTAAGTTTATTTTTTAAGCTTGCAACTTAAAACATTATGAATAATTTTTAATATTTCGCAGTAAACCTAAAACTCATAAAGGGAAAAAAGCTATTTTAGCAAGGGAACCTAAAATAATTGAAGATACGAAACAAACATTCTTTTTGAAAGGCACCAAGACAACAGAAGTACTTCAAGAATGTATGAAAGATTTGGTAAGATATTAATTTTTAAACAAAACATTTTAAATTATCTAAAAAATTTCAATACATTTCTTTTCATTTCTATAGTATAAGCTGAAAACGCCAGATGCTCAGATATTGAAAAAAAAAAATGAAGTACACCCATTTGAAGATTCAACACTAATTGAAAATTTTGGCAGAAAGTTAAATGCTTCCTTATTTATGATGATATCAAATAGCAAGAAGAGGCCAAATAATCTAGTTATGGGTCGGCTGTTTGAGCACACTATGTTAGATCTTATTGAATTTGGAGTTGAAAATTACGAAGCTTTGGCAAAGTTCAAATTAGATAAAATACCAGTTGGTATAAAACCTATGCTAGTTTTCCAAAGCGAATTATTTGAAAATAATCATGAATATAAAAGGATACAGAATCTTCTGATAGATATGTTTCAAAGAGAACCTGTAAATCAAATTAGATTGCAGGGTTTGGAACACGTTTTAAGTTTCACAGCTCAAGATAATTGCATTCTTTTTAGAAGTTACAAGTACGTTTCTTTCAACAATAGAAGACCATTCTTTAAAAAAAATATCAAATGAATTATAACAATAAATTTATTTTATATTTCAGGGTAATGCTAAAAAAATCAGGTTTAAGAATACCAAGAATTGAATTGGTGGAAATTGGACCACGTATGGATTTGAGGATCAGAAGAATGAAATTAGCATCTGATGATCTCTTTAAACAAGCTTGTAGGAAGCCTAAGCAACTTAAGGTTTCTATTTTCCTTTACATCATTAATTTATTGACCATTAGAGATCAAAATACTATGTTATTTTTGTTTCTAGATCAAGAAAAAGAAAAATATTTCTGAAGATAGTTTAGGTAAGACTCTTGGTAGAATACACATGGGTACTCAGAAACTCCACACTATTCAGACCAGGAAAATGAAAGGTTTGAGAAAAACAGCAACAGAAAAGAAATTAGAGAAGAAACGAAAAGCCACAGCAGAGGGAGAAGATAATTCGAAAAAGCAAAAAATGGCACAAGAGAGTATTGAATAAGTTAAATTTACAATTTTAATAGTAGGTAATAAATGTTATTTACATGTATGAAAGTATTTAATTTTATCTGCTTCTTATTGTCCAACTAGATTTTTCTTGTAGATCCTAAAAAAATTTCATTCAGTAACATTTGATTGAACATTTTAACTTACATAAAGATATAATTATTTTTTCATTTACCCTTATATCCACACCACAGCCTGATAGATTTTTCCTGAAACTATCACAACTTTTCAGAATTTCAATATCTTTTTCATTTTTGGCAAGAGCTTTTGCTCTAACTTCATTTCTGAAATCAACAACATGATCTAATATTTTAGAAATATCATTATTTTCTGTAGAACTTTGATGTTTTTTGAATCCTAGCTTTGACATAAATGTTTGAACATAATTTGAAACAGCTGCAACACTTGCAGGACTTCTTGATGTAATTGTTAATGACTGAAATGTTATATTATGAATTAAAGTTTTGTGTTTTTTTAAACTAAAAATTAATTAATTAAAAATTGATTATAAACCTTTTTCTGAAACATTTGATTGCTAACAGCAATTAAATTGGAAACAGCTTGCAAAGCTAATGGTGTATGAAAATCGTTAGCAAGAAAAGATTTTACTTTATTTCTGGTTTCTTCCAAACACTGTAAATATTAGATTGTAAAATATAAAAGTTTCTGATATAAATGAGTCTTTTTCAAAAATTACCTTAAGCAATTCAGATTCATTTATATTTATATTATCTAACTTTCCAGAAATGTAATTGTTGCAATCACTGAGGAAAAATTCAAACTTTTTTGAAATAGTGACAGCATTTTTTATAAGATCAACAGAAAATGTAACATCTGAAAAGATATTATAATGAAATGGTTCATATTTATGTTTACTTTCAAATTTAGTGCATAGTAAAACTTACTTGATCTATAATGACTAAGAAGGCAAAGCATCCTGAATTCATTTGCAGAATATTTTTCTAAAAGAGTAGGGATACTTATTGTATTTTGTAGGCTTTTAGACATTTTAATATCTCCTTGTACATTTAAAAGTCCTGTGTGTAGCCAATAATTGATCCATTGATTATTGTCATGATAGCAGCAAGACTGGGCTTCTTCATTTTCATGATGAGGGAATGCTAGATCTATACCTCCACTATGTATGTCAATATTGCTTCCTAAAACTGCACTGATAAAAAATAAAGAACTTTATAGTTTAACATACAGATCTTTTTACTTCATAAAAGTTAAAGCAAATAGATTAATATACCTTGCGATTGCACTGCACTCTATATGCCAACCTGGTCTACCTTTACCCCAAGGACTCTCCCAGTATGGTTCATTTTCTTTTACTGATTTCCAGAGGGCAAAATCTAAGGATGATTTTTTAATTACGTGAGACTCTTCTGGCAGAGGAACTGCTAATTTTCCATAATAAGGGTACTTTAAGGTATCAAAATATACAGAGCCTGAACAAAGAGCATTCAATAATGTAATAAATTTCTGGTTAAATATATAAGAATATTGATTTTAATTATCACTAACCATCTTTTCCAACATATGCTCCACCTTTGTCTACAATTTTTTTAATGAAAGAAACAATCTCTGGTATATAATCAGTGACTTTACAAGTCATCAATGGTTTAGAAACATGTAACAACTCCATGTCTCTAAAGAATTCATCTTTGTAATGTTTTGTAAGGTCCTGCCAATTTTTACCAGTTACTTTTGATTTAATAATTATCTTGTCATCAATATCTGTCATGCCCATAACAAGTACAACATTAATATCAAAAAATTCTGACAATATTCGGCGTATAATATCAAATTTGACATATGTACTGAAAAAAATGATATTTTACTGTAAGATTAAAAAAATCTCAATAAATATTTTAAATAATTTAAATACCTAGCATGCCCAATATGAGCGGAATCATAAATTGTCGGCCCACACATGTACCACGTGGCCACGTTATTATTTTTTAATATCAGTGGTGTTTTAGCTTTTGCTACAGGGTTGAAAATCACAATATCTGATATACTTCCACTTGGTTCTAACCATTTGACATGATTTTGAAGTCGTGATCTGGTATGTACAAACCTCTTCCAAGAATGGCGCAACGTTCTTGAAGACATTTTTAACTACTATACTTAAATATCTAACAAAAATTTTATTAATAAGAAAGAAAAAAACTATTCAACAAGCGAAAAATAGATTATTTTTATAATCAAAATTTAATTCATGCTGACTTCCGAACTAGCAGAAGAGTACCGGTAATGTTACGAGTTTCTTGTCACGAGAGTGCGCTGCTCCTAATTGTTGTTTATATAGACAACGTGTTCTGCTGGCTTAACTTGCTGGCTAACTGCAGGCTCGACAGTCAACGCGCGTTTGTCAATCAATTTAAAAACTATTAATGTTCAACAAGATAACAAGTCGAACCATGAGTGTCGCGAGCTGGAGCTGACACTATAAGTCCTGCCTTTGGCATTTACGTACGTTGGCGCCTTTTTTCATTACTTTTCTTTAACATCATATCTCTGGAATCCACGTCATCCTCCGCCTCCAAAGATGAACTCCATGAAGAACTGCGATGAAGTGCGGCCCTTTTTAATGTCGCATCGTGAGTTTTCCTGATTTGATATTTGATATTTGAATGCATTTTCTCAATAATGTTTGTCGATAAAATTAAAAAACCTAGCCGATAAAAAAAAGGCTTTTCCCTGCACTACGCGTAAAGTGGTAACTGTGCGCTCTGCTAGCAGGAAGCACAAAACCGCATGGACAGCCTGCCTAATATGCCTCGTGATCTCTCACATAATGTGATGTGCCTTTTATACTCTTGTTTGATGGCTCGAGCGGTAAAACAGCGCACCGCGTGTACACGAGGCACTTTTACTTTTAGGTAGTCTATATATGCAGTTCTGTATCGTCTGCGAGGGTGCAAAATTACCCTTTTACGGGTATTCAGAAAGCGAATATACGCAACACGGGAGTACAAGTAGGCGAACGCGCACTGTGTGAAATGCCAACATCACACGATGTGTACTTTGCTTACTGTACTCCCTAGTAGCGTAATATACTATGGACAATGCTCAACTAAAAATACGTCCCGCGCATTCGTCTTATTTACAATTTCAATGTTACTTTTAAGTAATTTTCTCAATTTATTCCTTTCAAATTCAATCGAAATTCCTCGAATATTCGCCATCTCATTAAAAATAAACATAAAAATACAGTCTACTAACAAAATAAATAATTTGTTTACTTGCAGTATTCTCAAAAATGATGAATGCTTTGATGAACATGAGTGCTTTGAGCATAGCACGTGCAGCATCAACTAAAGCGTCGGTTTATCTAACCCTAGGAAGTTTGGCGATGTTGGGATTCATTATGTCCTTCGCCGCAGTTGCCTTCATAGCTACAGTCTTTGGTATCTGTATTTCCGGGCTGATCGGAGCTATCGGTGCTGTGATTTTGGCCGTCTCGATAATCGTCTCTGTAGCTGCTATTCTCATTACCGGCTCGATATTCGTACCCGGTGGCTTCGTACTGGTCGCTGGTTTCTTCTGTATGATTGTCTTCAGCACTGTCATTGCCATTATCGACATTTTACCGGCTTGCTCTTTAATTGCATTTGCCTTTTTAGTCTTGACGCTGTTGGCTATTTTCGTGTGAATTACATGAACGATGATTACCTTTGTAATTTAATTTTTTTATTGGCAATTCATTTTTTTTGACAAAGTTGACAGCATAAGATGATTTTTTAAAGACTTTTTGACTCAAACCATATCGTATGTCGTGATAATGTGTTCAATGATTAGTATTATTATTTTAGATAGAAATTTTTTAACGAAACAAAACGATTATAACATAAGGCCTAATGTATGTATGAGAATAGAAAATTGTTGTTTTTTAAAACCAATGTATTTATTGAAAGTTTCACAACTCTTTTACAAAGATTTACTATTGTCACTGATTGTTATGCGTTTTGTAACATGACTGTTGACAGATTATACATAATTAATTGATGTATACATGTGTGTGTTATGATGTGTCTATGTACATAATTAATTGATAATAGTAAGTTTCCTATTTAAACAATATTTTATGCGAACTGAAACACAATATTGTTCAAATGACCGTGTTATTCTTTTACATCCGTCTTTCAATTTTTAATCAAAATGTTACTGCAATAAAAATATTTATATATTTTTCGTTTTTTTTTTTTATCAAATAGCTAATAATGTATTGTCCTAAAATCAACAGTTTATTGAAAAATATCATTTACTTATAAAATCAAAAGTCTTAAAAAATTAATGTATACTCAAAAATTATTTAATATACGCAACTACATAGTGCTGATGCTTTAAAATCATTTGAATAACTGACAATTATTGACCAAATAAAATAGTTATTTTTTTTATATTTAAGAGGGTCAGCTGGAATTAAGCAGCGTAAATTATAAGTTTTCTTTACTGTGGTGTAACGATCATTTTATTAAAGGTATTATAAACATTTTTTTTTATCATGATATCCTCGGTAAATGTTTTTATTTTCTACTTTTCAAGTCTTAAAATTTCACGTAAGGACCCTAGAAAGTACCCTTAACCATAAAACCTTATTTTTTGAAACAATTTGCTTTGCAACACTTTTCTGAATGTTAAAATGAATGAAATTATTTTTGAACAGCTCATTTTCTTTCTTTACTCTCTAAATTAAGTGAAGAATTTTTTAAATAGTCTATTTTTATGAGAATTTTTACAAATTTATCCAAAAATAATTTTGAAAGAAATTTGAAACGGCTCTCGTAAAAATAGTAAAATTGATTAATTTGAAAAATCCTTTACTTAATCTGGAGTACTGATCTAAAGGATGTTAATGAGGCCGATAAAATGATTTTCGTTCACTTTAACGTGGTAGAGCAATTTTTTTCAAAAAATAAGATGCTATGGTCAAGGGGACTTTCTTGGACCCTTGAAAGGAGAAAATAAAAGCATTTACCGAGTATTTCCAGATGAAAAATGTTCATGATGCTAACTTTATTAGAATGATTTTTACACCACCGCAAAGAAAACTTGTAATTTTCACTGTTTAATTGCAGCAGATCCCCTTAAGTATTTCACTGTTCAAATAGTCAAATTGTCCGTTTTTTTTAGATTTCGTTAGATTTTCCACTTTCTGGTCAAATTACACAATGAAAACAGCGCCTACAACAGCACCGCTGATTTTAATCATTGAAGGTTCATAGGTCTAAAAGTTAGTCGCATATTTCGACGGTGCCACCAGTGTCGCCTATGATTCATAGTTTTCCTTCTGACGTCGCCAATACATGATTCGTTCGGAACTGTTCAGACTGAAACGAAGATTGCCCGTGAATTTCCGCCCGGCAACGAAGCAACAAGTTTTCGTGCAATCGATACGTGCGGCACAATCGTCATAAAGTTTTATCTATACCACTATTCTTGATTATTTGCATTGTAAAAATCTGAACAATCCCAAGCGTCATCGTGATTGATAACGCCGCTTAAAAATTATCTCAATTTAATATTTGATAATCTGAATTTTCGACGAGACGTAAAAAATGATATACCGATTGTAGCGAGAAGTATATGAAGATCTATTCTAATGATACAAGATATAATCCACTAACAACCGTGGTATGGTCTGTAGTGAGTACAGTTTCTCGTCACAACATAAAAAATCATTAGTCCTTCGATTAGCGAATCATAGTGTCGAACACGCTTTTTTCTGTCTTTCATCTTGAAAGTAAAGCAATAGAAAATAAGAAAACGATTGATTTCTCAAAGCGCTATTTATTTGGTCCCCCTGAATGTAATCTAATATATTCTGTCCTTCCTCGATAAATTTATATTTAAACTCGTTTGAATTAAAGATCCGATTTACCGACAAGTAACCTGTTATTGGCGGCCGTCCGAATAAGTACAAGCTCAGTCAGTGTCCAAAAATTCATCAAAATTATTGCTCTAAAATCAGATAAATCAAACTTCAAAAGATTAGGTGTTATCAGACTTCATTAAAGTTTCATTTACAGGGTCAATAAAGAGTTTTAATAAACTACGAGCAGGGGGTTAAAAATTACACAATGGAGCGGATAGAAATGAATAAGATTTTCAGTTACATCGACCATCAACGCACCAGTACTGCAATGACTTAAATACTGTTGATAGACAAAATCGAGTTGAAGTTCCGTTGGTCATCATTCTGTATACTAAAATATCTGAAATAAACATATATTCAATAAACTTATTGGAAAGGTTATGTTGTAAAAGCACCCGATAAATAAACTGCGGCTATATCCAACATTATTATTTTCTTTGTACGTCAGTGCTGCGTAAGTTGTGATGCAACGCCTACCGCGAATTGTGTTTATTTTGTTAACGCTAAATATAGTTAAAATTATTGTGTGCTCCCAAATCCGCTTATACATACTTTTTTTATCAATGTAATTTGAATCCTAAACAGGATTATTGTGTTACAGTTGACAATTTTGACATTAATATTAAGTAACATGTTGCTGGAGGAAAAAAACAATATTTTAACGCTTCTGATATTTTGAATAAATTTAAATCGTTGGATTTTACAAAGTTGTTAAATTTTCTTTCGATAAGTCCTAGAGATAACTTTTTGCAACTGAAGTATATAAGCGCAATTTTACTAGGTGTGTGCTAATTCCAAACCAAATCTTTCAAGATTCAAGTTTATCGTATCCAGAGCTTTTCTTGTAAAATCCTTTGACTTTCCTCCGGTGACGCATTTTTATTGTACATTACAATGTACATATATCTACAAACTATAGCACAGTGACTTATTACAAAATGTTCATTGTAATGTTAGCAATATAAATCAAATATCGAAGCTAAGAAACCCCCCCCCCCCCCCCCCCCAAGAACCCTTTAATATGTTATAAAAATTATGTAAGTTGTTTTAAGTAATCCAGTTCAACTATTTTTTATCTTACAGTATGAACTGTTAATTCAGCTATTATTAAATATTTTACGTGTGTTCCAAATATACGATCTGTTAGTTGAAAAATTTATAGATTTTCGAATTTTTAAATATCCTTTTTTTTAGCTCTTAAATAATTTCCTTGCAAATATACAATTTCTTTTATATTCAATGTAATCTTGATAATTTTTAGTGAAATCGCATTTTTTATACGCAGCTTTTTGAAAACGTTTCATTTTATTGTATTCAGTATACCACCAAGAAACCAGATTCTTAACTTGTCTTTTATTATTATTTTTACGCGGAGCAGCGGTACAGCATCCTATATAATTTTGACAAATAAATCATATCTTTCAGAAAGGAGCATGCACCCGTATTCCTATGTGAAAACGAAATCATTAAATTCTTTTTTTAATTTGCTTCGTACTTTCGACCAATCAGTTTTAAATGCCATGAATTTAAATGTTTTGAGTCTGTAAATATGCCTAGTCGCATCTATTTCAAGTAATCATGGATAATGGTCGGAGCCAAAAGTTTCATCGTATACTTGATAATTTATTTTATTTAGAAGTGGCATAGTAGAAATAGCTAAGTCTATAATTGAATTCTGTGTTAAATCTAGGGTCGACGTACGTAGTTGTATCAGTATTACGTACAAACTCGCGCCTATTTTATTGCAGTTCCATCTTTTATCATGCAATTTGAAGTCACATATTAGTACAGAATGACCATCGTGTACAGCATAGCATGAAAATAGCTTGCTATCGGGTTTCGGGCTTTACGCTAACTCGTTAATTGAATGCAACTCTAAGATATCGATAGGTGGTAATGTTTTTTCAAGTCAAACATCAGCGATTTCAAGTCCAGGTGTTTGTTTTGTTGTATTTTCCATACTGGTTACTACTAAGCTTTTTCGAACCATAAAGAGGATGCCTCCTCGACGTGCATTTTTTCTATCTATACACATATAGCTATAAAAACCCACATAATTCAAAGCGATCTTTAAGTTTCAAAAGTGTTTCTGCACCTATAAATTATATAAATGATATAAACCGTGTTTGCGCTTAAGAATGCTACGCGCATTCCAAAGCGATATTTTGAGTTTCGCTAAAATAGAAACAAATACACTTCTGATTAACGCTAGAAGCACGGAGTGCTTCCTTTTCATTGGCTATTTTTGAGAGTTATAATGCGTATTATATACATGTAAATATGTACAGTTTTACACGTCAAGCTACAATAAAGCTACCAGTATCAGATAGAAAGCAAAATTACTTTTACAAAATAAAGCTGACTTGAAATTTATCTTTCTTCTTATCTTTTTTCCCCCTTTTTTCTCTCTAGAGTTTTTTTCTATCTCACTTATTTCTTTATGTATTCGCGTTTAAAAAAAACCTCGTTATTTTACCAAAAATGCTCTAAATAGGTAAAAAATTATCGGAAAAAAGCGATCGACCTTTCGTTTTAAAGCTGAAAAAATTCTCTTTCGAATTTGGGAATAGTTTTTTTTCTGCCTACGGGACTTAAATCTGCAAGCCTGTCAAAGTCAGATGAAATTTTTTACACTTTTTTATCTTTTTTTATTAGTCTTAAAAAAATAAAATTTTATGTTTTAAAAGTCATTACTATCGTTTTTAAAAGGTTTTTACCTCTTCTTTCGAATGCCTGTCGATTTTTTGAGATATGATTTTTGCGTGCCGAGTAATGACACTTTTTATCTCTGCCAGTTTTCATGTTGAATGCCCAAAAGCATGTGGAGGGGAGTGTATGTCTATAATGGATAGTATCATTTTCAAGGTGTGTACTGATAATAGCACTTGCTAGTTTTTTACGTTGTAAATACGTGACAGTAAAATATTATCAGCATTTATGCCAACCATATCTTCCATTCTCAATAGCTCTTTTTTAACTGCTATATAACAATCTATCGCTGGTCCACTAATAATTCCCGCAGATAGCGATACTAATTCAATCGCTGATGATTGAAAGAATTACGATTCTGAAGCCATGTTACAAATTCATTTATGTTATTTGTTTCCTATTTTATTCTACTATCAGAAAGAATGACATGTTGTTTGATATTGTACGATGTCAATCCTCAATTATTTTAAAACATCACATTACATTCAAAACTCACGGCATAGAAAAAAATAACGTGCTACAATACTTGAAATAATACCTTGACCATGTTTTAGTCCATCCTGCGACCTACCTTCACTTACTGTTAAGACGTTTAATGATAATGGTATCTTGTATAGATATGAATATATTAATTATTTGACTAATAAATATATTTAGACTCTTTGCTATAAATACTTGAAGTTTTTGCAGTAATATTTCCCTATTTTGTAGCAGTAGCGCAACGTTATATCACATAGTTATATAGCATTTTTAAGAAGCATTCGAATGATACACAGTATGACTGTTTTGACTGAAAAACGGATAAAATAGGTGAGATATGAATATTTTTGTAGTAATATCTTCGTATTTTCTAGCAGTAGTGGAATATTGTATCACATTATTATGTAGCATTTTTAAGAATTTTTGAAAAATATCCAGTATACTAAGATAAAAATTAATATTTAACCTATTTTTACCTGTAAAATGACTAAAAAACTTATAATATGAGGTCTGTCCGAAAAATGTTTTAAAAGGGTCTACGTTTATATCTTCGCGCCATAGTGTTCAAGCGACCTCTACCGGACAGAAACGTCAACAGTAAAGCCTCGCGAATCTATACATGGTGATTGGTGCCTAATGGAGTAATGGAAATAGGCATTGAACAATGGCGATCGCAAAGTTGACGACAGCGCCAGTAATTTAACAATTGGACGATGTAGTGGCGAAATTCCGAAGCTGAAGGGAAAACAATTTTACATTGTTTATATGGGAGCGCAGCGCCACCTCGATTTCTTTGCGATTGAAATAGTGTTTACAGTCTCTATGGCATCTATATAATTGGTAGCCATCTTTCCTTTGGCAAACAGTACAGCAGTGGACAGCGACGTAGAATAACACAGAAAATAAGCAAAATGGCGGAACAGCAAACTAAAAAACGTCGAATTGCTACTCCACATGATGACGATTTGTCAAATGTCGAGTTTGAAACGAGCGAAGATGTTGAAGTCATCCCTACGTTCGATAACATGGGCCTTCGAGATGAGCTCCTCAGAGGAATTTATGCATATGGTAAGTTTATCCAAGAACTACAAGTGATCTAACCTAATTTAGTATAAATACAACTACCCACACTTATAACATTTTTGTTACATTTAAACTAACAAATAAGCACTTTTCACGTCATTTTTCAGATTTTAGTAAAATAAAATAGGTTTAATATGTTTATAATACATTTATATGATCAATACCAAGCTTTGCCTACTATTGATTTTTGCATTACTAATCCATTGTAAAATCTAATGAAACAAAATAAAAATCAGTTCGTTTAATCATATGTCACTAGCTTTTTGTCAAGTTTATTGTAGTTTTTTCTCATTATATGTTTTTTTTCAGGTTTTGAAAAACCATCTGCCATTCAGCAACGTTCCATCAAACCAATTATGAAAGGCAGAGATGTAATTGCCCAGGCTCAATCAGGTACAGGAAAAACAGCAACATTTTCAATAGCTATACTGCAATCCCTGGACACGCAGCTGCGTGAAACCCAAGTGCTAGTACTTTCTCCTACCAGAGAACTTGCAACCCAAATACAAAAAGTTATTCTTGCTTTGGGTGACTTTATGAATGTTCAATGTCATGCTTGCATTGGTGGTACAAATTTGGGCGAAGATATTAGAAAACTTGATTATGGTCAACATGTTGTGTCAGGAACCCCTGGGCGAGTGTTCGGTAAGTATTTTTATTGTATAATTCAACTAAATTGAAATAAACATTCTGATTGATTGATGTTTGTTTTAAGATATGATTAAACGCAGAGTACTACGAACAAGAGCTATAAAGATGCTGGTTCTTGATGAATCAGATGAAATGTTGAACAAAGGTTTTAAAGAGCAAATCTATGATGTTTATCGATACTTACCACCAGCTACTCAAGTTGTACTTGTATCGGCTACATTACCCCATGAAATTTTGGAAATGACCAGTAAATTCATGACTGATCCTATACGTATTCTTGTAAAGCGGTAACTAACATTTTAACTTAATTCCAATAATTAAAATTCTATTATAATACCTAATACAATATTGGACATATTTACAGTGATGAATTAACACTGGAAGGTATCAAGCAGTTCTTTGTAGCTGTGGAACGTGAAGAATGGAAGTTTGACACATTATGCGATTTGTATGATACTTTGACTATCACACAAGCTGTTATATTCTGTAATACTAAACGCAAGGTTGATTGGCTAACTGAAAAGATGAGGGAAGCTAATTTCACAGTTTGTTCTATGCATGGTGACATGCCTCAGAAAGAAAGAGACAGTATTATGAAGGAATTTAGATCAGGTCAAAGGTAAATTATCAAATCGTTAATGTTTATTTGAAAACTAACCAACCATGAAATACTAATTTTCTTTGCACTTCCAGTCGCGTTTTGATCACAACAGATGTATGGGCAAGAGGAATAGATGTCCAACAAGTTTCCTTAGTTATTAATTACGATTTACCAAACAACCGTGAGTTATACATTCATCGAATTGGCCGTTCTGGACGTTTTGGACGTAAAGGTGTATCTATCAACTTTGTAAAAAATGACGACATCAGGATTCTTCGAGATATAGAACAATATTATTCTACTCAAATAGACGAAATGCCGATGAATGTAGCTGATTTAATATAGAAATTATGTATATCAGTTTTATACACTTTGCTTCATATACAAAATATAAATATGTAGAACAGTAAATATGTTCATGGTGTTTTATGTATTTGTTGAGTTTCTCTGAATGTACGATTAGACAAACATTTATTTATGAACTTGTTGATTTGTTTATTTATTTGATACGTAAACAAATACTGTGCACTGTAGTTATATGTACAATATATTGCACTGGAAACTGCAATGTCACTAAGATAAAAGAAAGCTCAAGAAATTTCATCATTCTGATACTCATTTCAATATTAGATTCAAGAAATGTTTTTAAAAGAATATAAATATTCTATAGATCTCTCAAAGTGATAATGCTGGACTTGACAGATTGGAAAAGAAAAATATAAAGGATACATTAGAAATCTGAAAGAAGTGAACAATGCGAAAGATACTTTTTTGCTTTATTAAAATAAATTGAGAAAATACTATCGTTTATCTGTTTGATTATGTTCATATTTGTGGTATTACATTTATCGCGTAGATCAACGTATTTATCGTATTTATTGATTGACTGATTTTATTATTCGAAAATCATTGCATATTATTTTCTTAACAACTAGACTGTATCAATCACATTTTTTTGCCTAGGTCACAATTATCTCATTTTTTATTCTTGTTTCTGCCTTAACTATCTTATTTCTAGATATATGATAGATAGCTCTCTAAATAAATAAATTTATATATTTATTTAAATATTAGTAAAAATGTATCGTGTCTTCCTTGGAGTGGTTTGCTAAATGGAACGTAATAGGCATTTGAAAAAATTATTGATATTACAGAAAGCAAAATTAAAATACTTGGAGAGAATTAAAATAAACAAAAATCACGTCTCTTTCTTGGAAATTTAAGTAATCAAATTTATTAAAAATTGACATAAATTAGTTGATCAGCGAAAGTTCAAAATAAACGGTGCTTCAAAATCAATTGATGAACCTGTTTATTTAATTTTGTATTTTTTTTTGAAAAAATAACACTCCTTTGTCTAATAATAACAATTTTGGATATTTGATCTGTTTTCTTTGAAGTATTCCAAAGAGTTTTTAGGCAAAGCTGACGACGATTATTAAACAACACTCTACTAATAGCAATTCCAATCTGTCCAGATACTATTTCTAATGCGAATGAATCCTATTAACTGATCAAACTGAAATGACCGGGAAAAATAAAAAGCAAGAATAGAGTTGACGTTTGTTCTCTATTTTATAGCGTGGTGGAGGTTGCTGGAGGTAAATACTTTAGGTTTGAAAAGCGACTAGTGAGTTTCCTTTCTCGCGCTAACGCGCTAAACCTTGTCGAGAAAAATCAATAACGCGCCCTATAGCAGACCGAGCTATACAGAGAATTCAGTTGCTTGGTTCGTTTATTAAGATGAGCCTCGCGATGAGAAAGTAGTAGGTGTTGTTTACGGCGAGAGCCGCTGGATTGAAGAAAATGCCACGCTAATTATCTACCATGAGAAATCAAGCCGAATGGATCCTTGAGTCAGGTATCTATTTCGCAATGTTAATTTTGGTCCTACGACGAGCTACGGTGCGACGATGCACTGGAAGCAAGCTCGTCTGTTTCTCCGCCTAAATGTCATGTTCACGCGAGCACTCTGATTGTCGTTGACGCGCGCAGAGCGGCCCGTCGCGAAAGAAAATGGATCAGCAAGGCGACTGCAGGAAAAACGCGAGGAGCTCGGTGATCTTTCGCTTCCAGCACGACTACAAGTTGGACGACGGAGCACACGCGCCAAGTAAGAGGCTTTCGCATTACCGACAATTATCCGTTGCTCAGCGAACGACCGAAGCGGGACGAGGAGTGCCGGAGGCGCGACGATCCGTCGGTAATTAATAAGTCGAGCGAACGAGCTTGCGGGGCCTCCTCGTTGCGCATCGGCGCGATCTCGAAGCCAAGAGGCTCGCGCCGAATTCCTCGTAACGATTTCCGTGCGTCGATGAGCAGCGGTGCATTTTCCGACGTGAACGGCGTACATTGAATTGGCAGCGAAAGAGGCTCCAGGCGCGAGCAGCGAGACGAGCGAGCAGTCGACCGTACGCATAGCGGTCTACCTCATGTCCGAGATATGCCTGACGATGGACGTGGAGCGGAACGCGACGGCCCAGCAAATCGTAAGCGCCATCCAGTCGGAGCCGGAGCTCGCGCTGTCGAGGGCGGCGGCCCCGTGTAGTCAGCCCGTGTTCGCGATCTGGCTGTGCTCGCCGCAACTGGAGGTGCAGCTGGGTCCGAGCCACAAGCCCTTGGAGCTGGCGAAAAAGTGGACTCGGCTGATCGGCAAGTACGGCTCGCAGAGCTACACCAGCAGGAGCGACGAGGAGCCGGTGCTGTTTTTCCGCAAGAACGTGTTCCTGCCGAGGAAGGACGAGGAGCAGATCAAGGAGCCGAAAATCATCGAGCTGCTGTACAGCGAGGCCAAGAAGAACGTGCTCGACGGTCGGTACGACGGGGGGGGGGGGGGCGGCGACGGTCGCGGCGACGGTCGCGGCGGCAGCGGCGTCTGATCGGCCCGTTGGCACCCTCCTCTTGCAGGACGATACCCGTGCGAGAGCCAAGCGCGCTGCGCGAGCCTGGGAGCGCTGCAGGCTCGCATCGAGCTCGGGGCTTACAACGTGCAGGCGCACACGCTCGCCTTCTTTCGCAAGCACCGCGGCCGCTTCCTGCCGCACCACTACAATTCGCCGTCGCTCCTGTTCGGCCTGGGCTTCGGCCTCGGCCTGGTCGGCGGCAAAGGCGCGCCCGAGGCGCGACTGCTCGAGCAGTACAAACGCATACCCAGCCACTCGACCGCCAACGCCAACCCGCGCAAACTCATGAAGAAGTACTTGGAATTCTGCTGGGGCTTGCCGTGCTACGGCGCGGCCTTCTTTCACGGCCAGATCGAGAAACCGGTGAGGGGACTCGCCTCTTGGATTACCAATTGCGACCTGCCCGTTCTCATTGCCATCAATACCGTTGGAGTTCACATTGTCGACAATTCGCAATGCGTAAGTTGCCTTCTCACCTTGCATTTTTCGCGGCCACGCTATTGCGTTCACATTTCCTTCGTTTTTCAGTCGCCTTTTCAAGCACTATCGTTAAATCGAAGGTCAAAATAAAAAGGAGGAAGGAAATCAGCTACGTGATGATACACCGCGATTCATTTATAAACATTTAAAGCTACGGTTGCTCTCAGACTTTTCAATCGCATATTCAATCCTCTTCCGTAATTTTCCACTATATTTATCATATACTATAAGCTACGGAAGTGAATTATGTGGATTTGATTTTATGAATAGCTGTAGCGCTGCAATTTCTTTCAGGCTATCGTCGATTTCATTGTTATAAAGATAAACACAGTAATTGTTTAAAAAAAATTTAGCAGGGATAAACTGGACCTTACATTCTCGCAGCCAAGCAAACACTGTGTCTGGCATCAATTTGTCCATTTAACATAATAGAAACTTTGATTTCTTAATTATAGATCGATTTGGTTTTTTGCAGAGTTTATTACTAGGACTGAAGTATTCCGAGCTTAATTGGGAGATGGCGAAACCGTCTGATGAAAACAATCCGGATTGTTTGCCTTGTTTATTCCTTCAATTCCCTGTACGAGAGAATGGTGCTCGTGTATATAAAATTCTACAAGTATTCTCGAGACAAGTAAGACGCCAGAACGATTTGGCTGGTGTAACGATCGAAGAATTTTTTACAAATTTGAATTTTTCAGGCGATAATGATGGATACTCTGATATCAGGGTTTGCCGAGAATAGCAGGCAGTCTGAGGCTGTCAACGAAAATACAAACTGTAATTACAGAACACAAGACAGTTTCATGCTATCGAACGCTGGCGCCTTTACGAACAAACTTAGCAAATTGACACTTGCAACATTTGATGACGAAGGTAATATTTGATGACTACGCAACGCACTAAAAACTACTCGAGATCAGTTACCAAATGTCAATCCTTTTATTTCGATTACAGGTCTTTGCATAGGTCAAATGGGTTCTTGGTCATTCCAATAAGTTCATTTGAAAAATGCGCTGTATAGAGTAGGTCATTTTTTTATAATGTAGCAGTGAAAGCTTTAGGAAAAAAATTCTAAATTTTTGTATAAAAATCAAAACAAATCTGTACATACTTTGATTAGACTTAGAAAAAGAAATTGGCCATCGGGTAGTTTGTTTTTTCCAACCCTTTATTACTCGTTGTAAAGGATAGCAAGTTGTTGATCTTGTTGCAAAACCTTGACGAGCTTGCGATATCGAGATTGAACAAGCTCTTTGTGGCGGTTCAAATACAGATCCAAAGATCGCAGTTTCGCCTCCATTTCCTTGACATCTTTCAAAATTTGCTCTTTTTGATCTTTTTTTACATTCTCCGACTAGAAAATAAAAGGCAAGATCGAAATTACTGCTCGACGAATAATCAATTGCTGGCTGTAAGAACGATACTTACATCAATCATCATTGACTGCATGTTCTCCAGCTCGCGATTGCATTTCTCAAACTCTCGCATTATTCGCTCGGCTTTCATTATCGAGCTTTCCTTGAAGTCGTCGAGACAGTTACTTCTGACCTGTAGCGCTTGCTTTTTCGTTAAATATTTAACGTTACCAAGCTGGGAGATGTAAGGACTTAGCAAATCAATTTCGGCCTCTATTTCCTTCTTACTCTGCTCTTTTCTCTTTTCCTCCTGATCAGCAACGGCGCAAATAAAAATATTTTAAACACGAACGAAATGACGAATGGTGCGAAAGAAAATATTTTTATCGCTCACCTCCAATAGAATTTTTTCCTTGTTCTCTTGATTTCTGATCGGGTCAAAGCGCGATATTTGCAGAGCTGATTTCAGACGCTCGTCTAATCTGAGTTGCAAAAATTCGTGAACTACCGATTCGGCGTGTCGAGCGTCGGTGATTGACGCGTCTTCTTCGTTCAAGTGCATTTCCAATTCATCGGTCAACTTATCCAGCTCTTCCGCGGGACCCATGGGATCCGGCTGTCGAGAGAAGAAGATAGTCAGAACTGTCTTTTAAAAGGAGTTTCGATGAGATCTAACGCTGATTAACCTGGTAGTTCTGTAACATTTCTGGCAAGGTGGGATTTTTATTGCTCCTCTCCGCTCTGGCTGGCTTCGCAAATCGTTTGATGGCTTGCGTGTACTCGTCGTCGCTGTAGTGGTAAGTGAGACGTATCTCGTGTTCCACAAAATCGAATTCGCGAAGCGCGACATCCATTTTCGCGTCCACGAGCTCGTTTCTGCGAAACTTATCCGTTATTTTCTACGAAATACCAAAACGTATATCCACTTACTTTGATTCGGTCGAACGCTACAAGACAGTTAACAAAGCTAAAAACTCTTACGGTAATCGTGCGGTAATGCACATCCTCCTCTGGGTTGTTCTCGTTGGGCGTCGAGTATTCCACAAATCTTGAATGAACGCGAGCACAAAGCCGTACGAGCGATTTCAATCGGAGCGTTCGCTTTTGCAATACTTACCGATTCACCAGCCCATCGTCGCGATTCCCGTAATCGAGAGACGCGAACGCGCGGCCCATCTCTATGCGAACCAATTCGTCGAGCCTCTTTCTCTTATAAAACTCCAAGGTCCTCTCGTCGTCCACGGCATCTCTGCCGTGCGTGCAGTACCGATGAGCTGCGAAAAGCGACTGCAGCAGGTAAAAACACAACGGCAAACTGAAAGTGCCGTACCTTGACAAGCGTCGGGACGGCCTGCAGCAAAGTATTCGGTAGCTGTCTCTCGGCTCAAATCCTTCTCCGAGCGCTCCAAGCAATCGCATCGGTTCTCGAACTTCTCGTAAACGCGAAGCGGCGTTTTATAGTCGTAATCGTCGTACGCGACGACGGACCGTACCAGACCGTCCTGCCGAGCGTAAGGGGCGTGCAGCTGGACTTTCGTTTTTTTGTAATGCACGACTTTCTGGCCTCCTGGGTAGCGGCGCTCGTAGGCTGCGAAACACGCGACAAGTCACAATCGAAGCAGCGCTCGCTAATGCGGCCATACCCTCGTGCGAAAGTTGCAGGGGCTCGACGTAGGAGGCCGGCATGACCATGTGAAAATATCGACGGATTTTCGTTTGAGCAGCGTGCTCGTCGTCGTCGCCGCCGTCCTCGCCGCCGTCTCCGCCACCGTCGTCGTCGTCGTCGTCCGCCTTGACGTCGATCGTCTCCTTCGGTTCGCCGGCAAGCAGATGCTCCCAGCACTGCAGATCGCGCAGATCCCACTTGAGCTTCGCGCAGGCCTCGGTGCAGTCCTGCACGTTGACCCAGTAGTTGCGGTCGTTCCACAGACTTTCGAGGCCCAGGTACGCGTTGTGGCTCTCGAAGGAGCTCGACGGGCAGAACGTCCCCGTGCTCGGCTCCACGAACAAGGGCTCGACTATTTCCGAGCCAGCCGGAGCTTGTCCACCGGGCAGCAGAACGATCCAGGCGTGAACTCGACGCCCGAAGTAGGGATCGGCGGCCGGTCTCTCCGCCTCCTGCAAGATTCCGCTCCTGCAAGATCTCGGGCAATCGTGTTTGCCAATTGAACGTTTCGCGACTCACAGTGATCATCCGCCGCCTCATCTCCTCGTAATCTTGCCGCTCCCGCTGTCGTTCCCGCGATATCTTCTCGTCCAACGCCGCCAAAAACCGGCTCTCGAAGTTCGGCGGCGACTTGGGCCTGTACTTGCAGTCGGTCGGCTGCGGCGCCGCCGCCTTAGCCTCGTCGGCCGCCTCGAGATAGGGGCAGGTCCGTCGCGTCTGATCGCAGAGGCTCTGCTCGCGAGAGGCGTATCCGCTCGCGACGTACGCATTGCAGCCGAGTCCCAGCAGGAGGCACGCCAAATAGGTGGCGAGCTCGAAGCTGTTGCCGCGCTGCGTGAGCTGGACGTGCGTTGGCGAGCGGACGTGCTCGGGCTGCGAACGCAAAATAGCCAAGCCAGTGCGCAATTGGACGTTCCGGGCACTCCGTGTAAGCCGCTTTTCGGATCCACGGCCAAGCGGACCGACGGAAACGTCACCCAGCAATCGTGGTCGATATTCACGCCGCTCGACTTACCGTTCGTGGGTAGCGGCAGGTATCTAGCGTTGGTCGATATCGTCGCGACGGCTGAGAACGCGGCGTGCGCGCACCTGTCGCTGGCAAACAGAGGGGGCTACGGTCAAATCAATAGACCGCGCTACGTCTCCCTCGTTACATTTTCGTGCAAATTAACTTTGTTTCCAAACGATTGTTCGGTGCTGCCAAAGCCGCGTTGATCGATCATTCTGGGCTAATCCCTAATATTCCGTTTATTTAACGAATTTCTGCGTGCCTGAACGACTCTCAACTATTTTAACGAAACAATCGCAATTTAACTATTGTCGATTGTTGACAATCACATTTATCAAATTTCAAACGTATAACGTTAACAAATAGGTTTCCTACATAAGTTGAGCGAAATTAGACGAGCAAACGAGATTTACTCGATGTAGTATAATACACTTTATAATTTATGTTAATCTTATCCGCTAAATCTTTTCAGAAGAAACTTTCGACGACGCTTTCGGCAAATCTCCAAGCGATACATGCCGACTGATAACGTTTTCGGTAAATGAAAGTAATTAAGTCTATTGGAAATAATTGGCTTAATAGGCACTCATGTAAAAGTATGCTTAGAAGCTTGCGATAATGGTTTATGATCCCAAAAGGATAAACGGCAAAAGGACGTAACGAGCCAATTCTATAATTGCGTGACACTTGTTTTTCTTTTCTTTATTGTTTTCGCATCGTTTTTACAGACGAGCGCGCTCGCCGTAAATTTCGTCACGAGAAAACGTTGAGGATACGAAAGCGAAGGGACGCTAGCGAGAATTTCACTCAACTCGTATGATTTACGAAATAGCGAAGATCAGCAACAATCGAAAAACAAGTGCGTCGGTTTGGCGCGTCTTCCGATATTTCTCGCCGAAGACCTCCCGATTATACGGGTCATTTTCTACCTGTCGAGAGTCGATGACTCAGATTCGCGACGAACATTACGAGCCTAATGAGCGCGTTGCGGCGGCGATTCGCTCGTTTCTCAGTCGCGGCTGAGAAAGAGACGAAAGAGAAAGGGAGAGAGAGAGAGAGAGAGAGAGAGAGAGAGAGAGAGAGAGAGAGAGAGAGAGAGAGAGAGAGAGAGAGAAAAGAAATAGGAGAAAACAAAAAAGCACAAAGTCAATTTTCCGAGTGATAAGTTTTCGCGGCGTCGCGCGCGATGAAAAATAGAGCGCGTTCGCGCGCCGAGCGACCGGCGGAGCGTACGCTATTTACGCAGACCGCTGATAACTGCTTACTCGGGGAGAGGCAAATTCATCGAGTGTCTTCACTCCGCGTTGGCGAGGCGGGTTATCGGCGACGGCGTCCTCGCAAGGCACGCGAGCGATTGTTTCGCTAATCGGCGAGCTGAATCGCCGACGCCAGCTGGCCCGATCGGCTGCAGCTCGGCGGACGAGGCTCGCGGCGACTCGCGGAGTAACAGCGAGCGAGCGAGCAGCAGCGGGCCGAGTCGGGGCCGAGCGGACGGGACTGGTTGTGCAGCGAGGGCTTCCGACTCGGCTCGCTGGACGCCGGCGCTCTGGAAGCGAATCAACGCCGAATATACAAGAGCGATCCGTCGAGGGACGACGCACGGAGCCATTACGGAGGAGTGTCCGTCGAGTCGCCCGTGATTCGCTTCGCGAGGGCTTCGCGAGCACTTTTTGCTCAGCGCCGTTCGACGGCGCTGCGAAAATACGCGTCCGCCTCGCTATCGCCTCCGAAATACTCGGCAATCGATAGTCCGTGAAGCCTGGCGATCCCTTCATAAAGTAATCACTCGGACGAGTCTCTCTCTCTCTCTCTCTCTGTCTCGACCTAACGATCGAACCGAAAGCATCGGCTGATTCAATCGCAAGACGGTCGGTAAGAGACGTCCGCCATCCGTTATCGAGCCATCGAGACATCGAGCCAAGAATCGTCGCGCCGCAGGCTAATTACAAAACCTTCGTCGTCGACGGCGCTTTCCCTGTACAATGCATTCAGCGCCAGCGAACCTCCGCTGCGGCTATACGCGCGAAAGCCGGCGAGCGAGCGGCTTCTCTTGGTGTGTGACGCTCAAATTACCTCCGGCCTCCCTGTGGGTGCCGCCACTGCCGTGGCCGTCGTCGTCGCCGCTATATAACGCACACGTATACACGCGCGCGGACACAGAGACGGAGGAGCGCGCCGCTACTGCTGGCGCTGCCGCCGCCGCCGTCGCCGCCGCCGCCTCGAGCGAGGCAAGGTGGCGAGCGGCGACCGAGCCAGAGAGAAATGCGGACAATACCTATACTGGCCGACGCCGGCTCGGGTCACCGTGCGCGCACGCCGCGGCCTCTCTTCTTCTACTTCTTCTTCGTCTTCTTCTTCTCGGCGCTTTTCTCTCCTCTCGGCTTTCCCGAAAAGCCTCCGCGGCGCGTCTTTGCGAGCTCGACCGTGGGCGTCTACCTCTCGCTCGGCTTTGTCTCTCCGTTGTTGCCGTATCGACGCACGCAAAAGTCGCCGAACGAGAGAGAGAGCGAGAGAGAGCGAGCGAGAGAGAGAGAGAAAGAGAAAGAGAGAGAGAGAGCAACGACGCGGACGGAAACGTCCGAAGGCCGCGATCGGAGCGGAAGATGTCGTTTGTCGACGCAGCGCCGAAACATTGCGCGTCGAGCGACGGGCCTTCGTCGTTCTCTGGGTGTATCCTCGGTTTAACGACCTCTAATTGCTCGCGAGCGCCAGTCACGCAGGTCCGCGGCGCTCGCTCGGCGAGCACGGAGCCGCAGGGCCCTCGGCGAAAAGCGGAGAGAAATCCATCGACGACGCGCGCTCGATCAACGCGAAACTTGTTTTTCTCCCGGGCACTCGCGTCTCCCTTCTCGCTCGGCCGCGCCTGCCCCCTTCCATTATCAAATTTACATCCGCCGCGCGCATACCGAATTTCGGATCGAGGGGCTGCGCGCCTAGCTCCTCCGGCTCGGTCGCTCGCTCGCTCGGCGAGGCGAATCCGACGCGCATCGGGTGACGCGCGAGCGCGCGCAAGGGTGTGCGCGCGGAAAAAAACAATTCGATCGGAATTGCCGCGGAGCACGCGCGCGCGCCCGAGTCGACGATAAATCGCTCGGCCTCAACTGCCACGGCAGAAGCGGCGGCGGCGGCGACGGCGGCGGCGACGGCGGCTCCGCCGCGGCCGAGAACCGCGAGACATGCGGCGCGCGAGAAAAAACGAGCCACGGGAGAGCGAGAGAGACGGCGAGCGGTTTGGGCCGCGCGACAAAAGTAGCCCAATCGTCGCGGCTCGCGCGAGTCGGCGTTGCCTCTTTATGCCTAGGCGCGCGCATCTATTCTCTGTCTGGGCGCGCGCAGGGCCACGAAAGCGGCACGCACGTGCGCTTTATTTCGCGAGCTTTGCCCCTTTCGCCGGCCCCTTCCGCGCGCTCGCGCACGTGCCTTCTTTTTTCTCGCTGACGCGCTCATTCGCGCATCCGCTTGATCGAGGCGCGGCGGCGGCAGCGGCAGCGGCGGCGGCGGCAGTGGCGGCGATCCGCGTGCATGTGTCGGCCGTCTGCATAGCCGCCCTGTTTATCATGCCACGGTCCCCGTTTCCTGCTCCCTCCCCGCGCTCCGCGCCGCGCCGCGCCGCGCCACCGCGCGTCCGCCTCTCGCCGAGCGCGGACGGACGGTCGCCGCGGCCGCCGAAAACTCTCGCTCTCCCAAGCGTTTGTCGGCGCGAAAAACCTGCCTGCCTGCCCGCCTGCCCGCCTGCCTGCCTGCCTGCCAGCCAGCCGGCCGTCGTCCCCCCTGCTCTCGAGCCAGCGAGCGGGCGAGCGAGCCGCAGCTTCCCCCGCGCGCCCGACAGCCGAGGCAGTGGTGGTGCGCCGTTACGTCACGAGCTCTCTCCTCTCGCGCTTCGCTCGGTTTTGACGCGCGAACGGCTCTTTGCTCCTCGCTCGCGCGCGCGAAACGCGCCATAAATAAAGCTGCCGCGGAGAGCGAGCGAGAGCGAGAGAGAGAGAGAGAGAGAGAGAGAGAGAGAGAGAGAGCGCGCACGAGGGGAAAAAAGAAAAGACAGAGAGAGAAAAAAAGAGCTTGACCTGCGCTTCGAGAGAGCGAGAGAGAGCGCGCTATATCAGGGAGAGGACGACGCCGAGAGGAATGCGCGCGACCCAACGTCACGGAACCAACGACCACCGGATATTGCGCGCGTGCATACCTATACCTGCGGACGAGCCTCGCCTCGCCGATATTCCACGTCGCCGTCCGCGCTTCCGCGCCGCGCTGCTCCGTCGCCGCCTCTCCCGCTCGGCGCTCGGCGCTCGCGCCACTTATTTCGGGCTATCGATCGACAAGCCCCGCGCGCTGTCCCTCGGCTCTCGCGCGGATTTTCCCCGAGTTTTTCGCCTAATTGCGCACGGGCGCGCGCAGTCCTTTGTCCGCGGTCGCTCGCGCCTGCGAGCCTCGGCTGAAATTTCAGCGGCGCGCGACGCGCCGACCGCCGCCACCGCCGTATATATCGACTGGCTCTCGAATTGTTCTGGCAGCGACGCTCCGCGAGAAACGAGAGCCGAGGGAAGTTTCGGCCGCGCCGGCTGCTCGGCGGACTGCGCGCCTCGCCGACGCGCGGATTTCACCGAGCATCGATCGGCGGATCGCGCGTCGCGCGTCGCCAATGCGAAAACTTGACCCAGATAATCGCGGCGAGCGTATGGAGGAGCGCGCGCGGCCGGGCGGCCCGACGGAGGAGCGCGTGAAAATTTGAAAATCGCCAGTCGCGAAATGGGAGCAGAGGCGCGCGGATCGAACGCCGCGCCGGACGCGCCGCAATACGGCCTTCGCCAGGCGTTGCGCGATCCGCGCGCCAATTAATCATTCGCCGATGAAGCTTGCCCCCATCGCGCGACACGCCGCGTTCTCTTCTTTATCTCGTTAGCTCGCGATTTAATTTCGCCTGGCGAGCGAACAAAAGAGGAAAAATAGCCGAGCGAAGAGAAGCGGAAAAAAAGACGGCGAAGAAGCGAGCTCGGCGAGCGAGCCAACGGCAGCGGCAGCAGCTCGCGGCGAAAAAAAAACGCCAGCGAGAGAGAGAGAGAGAGAGAGAGAGAGAAAGAGGGAGTGGTAAAGGAAGCGCACGCACACGAACGCGCGAGCGACCGACCGACCGACCGAGCGAGCGAGCGAGCGAGCGAGCGACGAGACTTTATTTAACGCCGAAATTTTTTGGCCTGCACGCACGGCGAGGCTCGG